CGTTGAATCATATTAATGCTCCAGAAATAAGTGTATTGATTCCTATCTTGAAACTTGTTGCTGAAACGCTAGATACGATGTAATTAATCATATTCCAACATGTTCTTGTCCAGAAAGGTTGACGGGTGATCCAATTTCTAATTGACGAGTGATTGAAAAGACACCGCCATCAGAAATTTGTAACTCATCATCTTACGGGTCAGAACAGTATTTGTAGAGCCATTAATGATCACACCAATTGCTCTTGTTTGCATAGTTTCATCGGAACCATATTAAATTACAATCTAGAATGTAACATCTTGTTGTAAATCATCTTTGTATCTTGGGAGCTTATCTTTCGTTTTAAAATATGATCTTTTGGCTACAATTTAATGTATGAGTCATATCTCAACTTCTAAAAATACATCTAGAATAATTCTCTACATTGTTTCGTTTATTTATTATTTCCTTTTCTCATATTCAAATATAATATTTTAACTTTAATTAAATATACAGGGAATTTCATATAACTCGCAATATATGAATGCAAGGATAGTAGAATCTAACAGGACTGCTTTTTAGTTTTGTAGAACTAGAAACATTCGGCCAACACTAGACCTAGAACTAGAAATATTCGGGTTTAGCCGCACGTCTCTCAAGACGGCTAAACCCGAATGATTCTAGTTCTAAGTCTTGTGTTAGTTCTAGTGCAAAACTAAAACTAACACTAGACCGAGAACTACAAACATTTGGATTTAGCCACAAGTCTTTCAAGACGGTTAAACCCGAAACTTTCTACTTCTAGGTCTAGTGTTAGTTCTAGTTTTAGTGCAATAAAAATATGCAACATGGTGATATCTTATGCTAACTACTCTAACTAGCGCTACCTACTACCGTCACTAGGTCTTCATGAATGTTTTTTTCCATCGGTTATAATTATTGAGTTATAGAAGAAAATTTTTGAAAACGTCAAAATTTCCATTTTTCTTGAGTTAGGTTGGTACTGCTGATTGGTGGATTAAAATAACTTATTGGATGTGTTTTATGNACATAGGGCCAACACTAGACCTAGAACTAGAAATATTCGGGTTTAGCCGCACGTCTCTCAAGACGGCTAAACCAGAATGATTCTAGTTCTAAGTCTTGTATTAGTTCTAGTGCAAAACTAAAACTAACACTAGACCGAGAACTACAAATATTTGGATTTAGCCACAAGTCTTTCAAGACGGTTAAACCCGAAACTTTCTACTTGTAGGTCTAGTGTTAGTTCTAGTTTTAGTGCAATAAAAATATGCAACATGGTGATATCTTATGCTAACTACTCTAACTAGCGCTACCTACTATCGTCACTAGGTCTTCATTAATGTTTTTTTTCCATCGGTTATAATTATTGAGTTATAGAAGGAAATTGTTGAAAACGTCAAAATTTCCATTTTTTTTGAGTTAGGTTGGTACTGTCGATTGGTGGATTTATTGGATATGTTTTATGGGTTAATTCTAAACCTTTTTTGTATGAAATGTTTTTTTCCATCGGTTATAATTATTGAGTTATAGAAGAAAATTTTTGAAAACGTCAAAATTTCCATTTTTCTTGAGTTAGGTTGGTACTGCTGATTGGTGGATTAAAATAACTTATTGGATGTGTTTTATGGGTTAATTCCAAACCTTTTTTGTATAAAATTTTTTTTTCCATCGTTTATAATTATTGAGTTATAGAAAAAATTGTTGAGAACGTCAAAATTTCCATTTTTCTTGACTTGGGTTGGCACTACTGATTGGTGGATTAAAATAACTTATTGGATATGTTTTATGGGTTCATTCTAAACCTTTTTTGTATGAAATGTTTTTTTCCATCGGTTATAATTATTGAGTTATAGAAGAAAATTTTTGAAAACGTTAAAATTTCTATTTTTCTTGAGTTATGTTGGTACTGCTGATTAGTGGATTAAAATAACTTATTGGATATGTTTTATGGGTTCATTCCAACCTTTTTTTGGTATGAAATATTTTTTTCCATCGGTTATAATTATTGAGTTATAGCAGAAAATTGTTGAAAACGTCAAAATTTCTATTTTTCTTGAGTTAGGTTGGTACTGCTGATTGGTGGATTAAAATAACGTATTGGATATGTTTTATGGGTTAATTCTAAACCTTTTTTGTATGAAATGTTTTTTTCCATCGGTTATAATTATTGAGTTATAGAAGAAAATTTTTGAAAACGTTAAAATTTCTATTTTTCTTGAGTTATGTTGGTACTGCTGATTAGTGGATTAAAATAACTTATTGGATATGTTTTATGGGTTCATTCCAACCTTTTTTTGGTATGAAATATTTTTTTCCATCGGTTATAATTATTGAGTTATAGCAGAAAATTGTTGAAAACGTCAAAATTTCTATTTTTCTTGAGTTAGGTTGGTACTGCTGATTGGTGGATTAAAATAACTTATTGAATATGTTTTATGGGTTAATTCTAAACCTTTTTTGTATGAAATGTTTTTTCCATCGGTTATAATTATTGAGTTATAGAAGAAAATTTTTGAAAACGTCAAAATTTCCATTTTTCTTGAGTTAGGTTGGTACTGCTGATTAGTGGCTTAAAATAACTTATTGAATATGTTTTATGGGTTAATTCTAAACCTTTTTTGTATGAAATGTTTTTTTCCATCGGTTATCATTATTGAGTTATAGAAGAAAATTGTTGAAAACGTCAACATTTCTATTTTTCTTGAGTTGGGTTGGTACTGCTGCGTGGTGGATTAAAATAACTTATTGGATATGTTTTATGGGTTAATTCTAAACCTTTTTTGTACGAAATGTTTTTTTCCATCGGTTGTTATAATTATTGAGTTATAGAAGAAAATTGTTGAAAACCTCAAAATTTCCATTTTTCTTGAGTTAGGTTGGTACTGCTGATTAGTGGCTTAAAATAACTTATTGGATATGTTTTATGGGTTCATTCCAAACCTTTTTTGTATGAAATGCTTTTTTCCATCGGTTATAATTATTGAGTTATAGCAGAAAATTGTTGAAAACGTCAAAATTTCCATTTTTTTTTAGTTAGGTTGGTACTGCTGATTGGTGGATTAAAATAACTTATTGGATATGTTTTATGGGTTAATTCTAAACCTTTTTTGTATGAAATGTTTTTTTCCATCGGTTATAATTATTGAGTTATAGAAGAAAATTGTTGAAAACGTCAAAATTTCCATTTTTCTTGAGTTAGGTTGGTACTGTCGATTGGTGGATTAAAATAACTTATTGGATATGTTTTATGGGTTCATTCCAAACCTTTTTTGTATGAAATGTTTTTTTCCATCGGTTATAACTATTGAGTTATAGAAGAAAATTGTTGAAAACGTAATTTCTATTTTTCATTTCTCACTTCATGTTATCTCAACTCCTAAAAATAAACTTATTACGATTGTTTGAAATTTTTACATCTATTTTTCAGATAATACTTTTGGGTATTAATTTACAAAAATTAAAACTATGACTAGAATGATCTCAAGTCTTAAAAATAATCCAGCAACAAATTTTTACAATTTCTTCTTCATTTAATTGCAATTTCTCAATAATTTTCGTTAACTAATTAATTTTTAAATGAGCTTTTAAACTATTGCAGATAGTTGTTGCGTTAAAAGGATCTATAAATACCCATCTTCTCAACTGGCTTCTTGTTGAGGGTCAAATTCAATTTTAACCTTTACGTAACTTTTCCCGTGTATTTCGAGCATCCGTATTCTTAATCAAACTATTTATTAAATTTATCTTCTATTCTACTAATTAAAAAAAAAATGCAAAGAATCCTGTTTTTGGTTAAATAAATGGTGTTATTTTAAGATACGAAAAATAAGTTCTTATCAAAATACACTTTGATTTCTTCGAAAGTATTTCAGTAAAATATAACATTTATTTTTTTGGAAAGTTAATAGTTTTCTTAGAATTATAAACATGTTGGATCAAAACACCAACCTTGGCTAAGGTCAGTTTGTGTAAAGATCCGAAAAATGTATCAAGGATAACATATAGCAATAAACATGTTCAACGTTAGCTTTTCTTTAAGTATTTTAAATTTTTCTTTATTGTTGCAAGTTTTTAAGAGGAAATGCAAAAAAGTCATGGGTCATCCTAGAGGGTTTTTGAAGGAGGGTTGAAGGTCGATATGTTAACGGGTTACCGGGTTCAACGTTAAAGGTCGTCGTAGCCGCGTGAACCGTTGACATTTCAAACTGGTTGGTGGTGGTCGCTGCACAACGAACGAACACCTGCGAACCCCGGGAAATGCAACCCCCGACGACCTCGGTTAATGTCATAGGTCGCGAAACCTGCATACGGGGGCGTTTCGATTTAGAACTCCTCTTTTTGCGATTGTTGTTATTCCGATTTCCCCCTGCATAAAACAAATCCTTCCTTTTCCCCTTTTCTCATCATCAACCATCGATTTTCCAACAACAACCCCAGCGACGGCGAGTTGCTAGACGTCGTCGTTGTGTAAAGCTCTGGTGGTGCATTCACTGTTCCTTTCAACAGACGACCTTGCAACACGAACATCATACCTTTTGTAATAATGTATGGGGGTGGATTTTTTCGCCCCTTGTTATGACGATGATGTGTTTACTGGATTATTGATTTATTTGACCTAAAAATTAAAACTGTAAAAAAAGAATGATTGGACAACGCGAAAAAGAGAAAATCACACTTTAGTTATTTATTTATTTATTTTCAAGTTTAAAAAGAAATACAATTCTAAATCCCTTCAAACAATAATCCTTCCCCCTTTATAATCGGTTCAAAAAGCGCATCAATGACGTACTAGTGACGTAAGCATACCGTCGGTGACGTCACGAGCCGTCGGTCGATAGCGCGTTGTACACAGTGACCCACATATCGCGGGCGGCGACGGATGGGTGGGGGAAAAATGGGGAACGAGCTGTAGATGGAGAGTTAGAGGGGAGAGGGGGAAATAAGCTCGTCGCCGTTATCGTTGAGGAGATTTTCTGAAAAATGTTGTTCCGTTTCAGGAAGCCATTGAGGAGGCCTCCGTCGTCACCTCGGCCAGTGACATCGACCTGGCCAGCATCAGGGAGGAGGAGTTCGAGCTCCACACCACATACATAGTTCCTGACCTGCCCGTGGAGCCCGGTACCCCGAATAGGGCCGAGGCGACTTTACCACGGAACCTGGTGCTAAAACCGTCTCAGGCACTATCGGATGTAAGTTGGTTGAGATTAAATCTAAAAAAGAAATTTTATGTATTCAAAGTTATCAATATAAGAGTTTAGCTGAACATAATCAGCTTTTTGCAATCAGTTTTAGATGTTGAGTCTAATCAACAGTCATTTTTGTATCAAAATTTTTTAATCCAGCATAGCTCGAATATAAAGCAAAAAAGCTTCATTCATTATATTGACACTACAAAGATTACTACAAAGATACTTGAAGTTGTAAGAAAATATAACATCATTGTGCCCAAACTAACAAACTTCAAGAATATAATCGACATCAGTTGTCAAAGCAAGTTGTTGAGTATCTTAATTTTTATCTTAACCCTTTGACATATGGACACACTGACTTCTTTTCCAATGATAGATGCCAAGTTGTCCAATTTTTTGGCATTTTGTCTTCCAATTCTCGATATCAACGAGTTGAGATGTTCCTGAATGTTTGTCCAGAGAGATGCATAATCGTTATATGCTTTTTTGATACATACAACTTCTGATTATTAAGTTTGCGAAATCTAGAACTTATTATTACAATAACAGAGATTTTTTTTACTTCATCAATAAGCTAAATAAGACTGAATGAGGAAACTGGTTAAATAATTTGGATTTGCTGCAATATAGATCTCGGACATTCAGTTTAATAATAGTGTTAATTACATCGGTACCGGAGTGATCTAATACATAGACAACAATGAGTTTATTGATTTTGAATGCCTGGTCAAACACAACTATCCCTCTAACGAGACCTAATGTTCTAATGGCTTAATAACAATTAAACACTGATGAATTACAAACAAATTTGTTTTTCATAAACTTTGTTGTTATGATTTTTTGAACCCAACTCTTCATATTTGTAATAGATTCGAAGGGGAAAATTAAAAAAATCGTATCTCAAGAACGCATTGAGATATAACGATGAAATATGACTCATTTTATAGTAAATTTAATGTAGATTAAGTGTGCCATAAACTATTTGTTGTTGTCCATAAACATCGATATTATGATTTTTTAACCCCCATCATATTTAACAGTTATAAATTCGAAGGGCAAAATTTAAAAAAATCGTATCTCAAGAACGATTGAGATATAACGATGAAATATGACTCATTTTATAGTAAATTTAATGTAGATTAAATGTGCCATAAATAATTTCTTATTTTCCATAAACTTCGTTGTTATGATTTTTTGAACCCAACAACCCATTTATTTGTAATAGATTCGAAGGGAAAAATTAAAAAAATCGTATCTCAAGAACGAATTGAGATATAACCATGAAATATGACTCATTTTAAAGTAAATTTAATGTAGATTAAATATGCCATAAATTATTTGTTGTTGTCCATAAACATCGATATTATGATTTTTAACCCCCATCATATTTAACAGTTATAAATTCGAAGGGCAAAACTTAAAAAAATCGTATCTCAAGAACGAATTAAGATATAGAGATGAAATATGATTCATTTTAAAGCAAATTTAATCTAGATTAAGTGTGCCATAAATAATTTCTTATTTTCCATAAACTTCGTTATTGTGATTTTTTGAACCCAACTCTTCAGATTTATTATAATAGATACGAAGAGTGAAATATCTCCAGAACGAATTGAGATATAACAATGAAATAAGAAGCACTTTAAAGAAAATTTAATGTAGATTAAGTATGCCAAAAATTATTTCTTATTTTCCATAAATATCATTGTTATGATTTTTTAAACTCAACTCCCCATATTTGATTGTAATAGATTCAAAGAGTATAATTAAAAAAATCGTATCTCAAGAACGAATTGAGATATAACGATGAAATAAAAATCATTTTAAAGCAAATTTAATGTAGATTAAGTGTACCAAAAATTGTTTCTTGGTTTTCATAAACATCGCTTTTATGATTTTTTAACCTCAACTCATGATATTTTACAGTTATAAATTTTAAAAACAGAAGTTTAAAGAATAGTATCTCAAAAACAAATTGAGATATAACGATGAAATAAAATACATTTTATAGCAAATTTAATCTAGGTTAAGTGTGCTATAAGTAATTTCTTATTTTCCATAAACTTCGTTGTTATGATTTTTTGAACCCCAACTCATCATATTTGACAATTACAAAATTTAAAAATAGTAGTTTAAAGACTCGTATCTCAAGAACGAATTGAGATATAGAAATGAAATGTAAAGCATTTTAATGCAAATTTAATCTAGATTAAGTGTACCATAAATAATTTCTTATTTTCCATAAACTTCGTTGTTACGATTTTTTGAATCCAACTCTAAATATTTGATTGTAACAGATTCGAAATTGATGTTATGATTTTTTAAATGATATTAATTGAAATTGTAATTTAATGATAGCATTAAAGCCTTTCTTTTTTTGGATATTTTTAGGCTCAAGGAGTATGGAGTACAAGCTTCATACCAATGGGCACAAGATTTGGCCCATTGGTCGGTGAAATCTATGCCAAAGATTCTGTGCCAGCAACGGCTAATAGAAAATATTTTTGGAGGGTAAGTATAGATTAACTTTCGATCTTATTCCTTGTTCAGTTTCAAAATAAACGTTTCAAAAATTAAATTATATTGTAAAATTGTTATTTTGGGTTCTTGTTTTTTTCTATTTTTTGGTTATTTTCTTACATCCAGGTACAGCTAAGGGACGGATTAGTTAGAAATGCTTCTGGCGATAAGGTACTTTTGTAAATTATTTTTCTAACCTTGTACAAAAACTTCCCCTTCCCAATAAAACGTTAAACCGGTCAGACATTTTCCGAAAACGTTCCGTCGAATAACAAGATGTTTTCCTTTTAATATAAATAAACCTTTCTGTTATTTTCTGATTTCTATTTATACATTCGACGTTTATTCTTTATACATTTCGGACAAATCTGACGTTACCTTAACCGTACTTCAAAGAATCTTCATGATGATGTAATCAATCAAAGAATTTTTTTTAATCAAAATAACATTTTCAGATTTACAAAGATAACGAGCTCTACTACTACATAGATGGTTACGACACCACTAAAGCCAATTGGATGCGATTCGTCAACCCCGCATATTCAAGCGAAGCTCAAAATCTCATAGCATGTCAATACAAAATGAATATTTATTTCTACACCATCAAACCGATCCTTCCAAACCAAGAACTTTTAGTTTGGTATTGTAGGGAGTTCGCAGAGAGACTTAATTACCCATTAACAGGAGAACAAATGCTTCAAAGAATACGTAAGGAATTACAAAAAGTTCTCTTTCTCGAAATCAATCGTTTATTTTTAGGCCAACAAGTACAACAATCCAACACCGAAGCCATCACCGTTAGCACCACCGATTCAGGAAAAGAACCCTACGAACATCAATTAACACCAACGGACGGAAGTGTTCGTTCCGACGAAGGTTATCACAGTAACGGTTATCATGACGACGCTTTTACCCCACCGGAAGACTCGAGCGATTCGGATAGCGAAAATAACTACGTCTTGGATTTTAGTCAAAAACCGAAAGAAACCGCGGTAATCAAACAATCCCCGCAATCACCGGAAGTCCAAAAGAACGAATACCGTAAAGTAAAAATCAAAATATCAAAAGCGTATTTATACACGTCCAAGAATTCTGAAAGCGATCATGAGTTAGAAAAAGACACCGTCATCCAACAACCGGAAGTGGTATTACCCGAATTGGGAAACGTGGTTGTGCAAAATCCCAATGCGACGACTGTAATCGTAAGCGATTCTCCACCTCTTGAAGTTCCTAATGGTAATAAACCTTATTACGAAAGTGAGGTGAAAAATCAAATGATTTCAAGGTACACACCTCCTTCCTCGAGCATTTTGGAAAACATTTTATTAAGGAATAGAAACGACTCAAACAATAACGATAATAGTCAAAGACAACCGAACGCGACACCACCTCCAAGTTCCCCGACGGAAATGGCTTATTCTTACAAGAAAAGTCATCGATATGGTGCGGTTCCATGTAGTCCTGATTCCAGTTCGAATCTTCCCATTCAAAATAGTTTTTCGCCAAACCCAATGAAGCCTTTAAGTCCAATTCCGAGGTACATAGAAAATTACGGTCACATCCAACCAACAGGTTATTACAACTTATTTCCCTCACCAACCGGAATCGTACATAGCACGATAACCTCAGCCCCAACAACCACTTATTCACCACCGATCACCTCCAATTACAACCATCAAACAAATCTGATGATCAACACATCTCACATCGGCGGAAATCACTTATTAACGCCCTTAACACCTTTACAACACGTCAGACAACCTTCGAATGGTTGCAAAAGTCCCGATAATAATTGTACGTTAAGTCCAACGAGTCCGAATTCTAGTAATGGTTCGAGAGGTTATCGAAGCCTTCCATATCCGTTAAAGAAAAAAGACGGTAAAATGCATTACGAGTGTAACGTTTGTTGTAAAACTTTCGGTCAACTTTCCAACTTAAAAGTACATTTAAGAACGCATAGCGGCGAGAGACCATTTAAATGTAACGTTTGTACGAAATCGTTTACCCAATTGGCGCATCTCCAAAAACACCATTTGGTGCATACGGGCGAGCGACCGCACGAATGTACCATTTGCAAGAAGAGGTTCTCGTCGACGTCCAACTTGAAGACGCATCTTCGATTGCATAGCGGACAAAAACCGTACGCGTGCGATTTTTGTCCGGCGAAATTCACGCAATTTGTGCATCTAAAATTGCATAAAAGGCTGCATACGAACGAAAGGCCGTATATTTGTCAGGAATGTGGGAAGAACTATATCAGCGCTTCCGGTTTAAGAACGCATTGGAAAACGACGAGTTGTCGACCAAATAGTATCGAGGATGAACTTAATGAATCTTCACCTAATGGTTACTATGAGTATGCTGTTAGTGATGGACCAGTTGGTAAGATATTTAGTAGAAATATATAGTTATTTTAAAAATTTGATTCTTAACATATAAGATAGGTTATATTAGTTTAAAGGCGACGTTTCAAGCTTTCATTTAAGACATAAATTGTTTCTTAAACACCATAAATGCTCCGGAAATGATTTTTTTTTTATTGACTTTCATCGCAAACGTGGAGTCAACCTTAACTACTTTTTATGACATTTTTTCTCAAAACTTTTCTTATCAAACATAAATCTTATCATACATCGTTTTAAAGAGGAAATTTTAAGCTTTAATTTGACATATAAGTCATGTTTTTAAATTCAGAAATAAAGCGGAAATGATTTTTTTAGTTTAATTTGATCATTTTTTACAATTCATTTTTCAAACAAATTTATCTCAAAAATTTGATCATTAACATATATGTTACACTACATTATCTTAAAGATGACGCTTTAAGCTTCAATTTGAGACATAAATCGTTTCTTAACTCCCACAAATATTCCGGAAGTGATTTTTTAAAGATTAACTTTCATCACAAATGTCAAATCAAACTTAACCTTATTTAACAACTTTTCATGCTTTCCTTTCTCAACATTTTTCTTATTATACATGAACCTTATCATACATCATTTTAAACAGGAAATTTTAAGCTTTAATTTGACATACAAACCATGTTTATGAGTTAAAAAATAAACCGGAAGTGATTTTTAAGTTTGATTTGATCATTTTTTACTATTCATTCTTCAAACAAATTTATCTCCAAAATTTGAATATTAACATATATATTACACTACATTATCTTAAAGATGACGTTTTAAGCTTCAATTTGAGACAAAAATCGTTTCTTAAATCCCATAAATACTCCGGAAGTGATTTTTTAAAGATTAACTTTCATCGGAATGTCAAATCAAACCTAACCTTATTTAACAACATTTTATGAATTTTTTTCTCAATATTTTTCTTATCAAACATGAACCTTACCATACATCAGTTTAATAAGGAAATTTTAAGCTTTAATTTGATACATAAACCGTGTTTTTAAGTTAACAAATAAACCGGAAGTGATTTTTTAAGTTTGATTTGATCATTTTTTACAATTCTTTCTTCAAACAAATTTATCTCCAAAATTTGATTATTAACATATATGTTACACTACATTACCTGAAAGAAGACGTTTTAAGCTTTAATTTAAGATATAAATCGTTTCTTAAATCCCACAAATACTCCAGAAGTGATTTTTTAAAGATTGACTTTCATTGCAAATGTCAAATCAAACCTAACCTTATTTAACAATATTTTATGAATTTTTTTCTCAAAATTTTTCTTATTAAACATGAACCTTATCATACATCATTTTAAAGAGGAAATTTTAAGCTTTAATTTGACATATAAACCATGTTTTTAAGTTAACAAATAAACCAGAAGTGATTTTTTAAGTTAGATTTGATCATTTTTTACAATTCTGTCTTTAAATAAATTTATCTCAAAAATTTGAATATTAACATATATATTACACTACATTATCTTAAAGATGACATTTTAAGCTTCAATTTGAGACAAAAATCGTTTCTTAAATCCCATAAATACTCCGGAAGTGATTTTTTAAAGATTAACATTCATCGCAAATGTCAAATCAAACTTAACCTTATTTAACAACTTATCACGCTTCTTTTTCTCAATATATTTCTTATCAAACATAAATCTTATCATACATCGTTTTAAAGAGGAAACTTTAAGCTTTAATTTGACATATAAACCGTGTCTTTAAATTAAGATATAAACCGGAAGTGATTTTTTGAGTTTGATTTGATCATTTTTTACAATTCATTCTTCAAACAAAGTTATCTCAAAAATTTGAATATTAACATATATATTACACTACATTATCTTAAAGATGATGCTTTAAGCTTCAATTTGAGACATAAATCGTTTCTTAAATCCCATAAATACCCCGGAAGTGATTTTTTAAAGATTAACTTTCATCACAAATATCAAATCAAACTTAACCTTATTTAACAACTTTTCATGCTTTCCTTTCTCAACATTTTTCTTATTATACATGAACCTTATCATACATCATTTTAAACATGAAATTTTAAGCTTTAATTTGACATACAAACCATGTTTATGAGTTAAAAAATAAACCAGAAGTGATTTTTTAAGGTTGATTTGATCATATTTTACAATTCATTCTTCAAACAAAGTTATCTCAAAAATTTGAATATTAACATATATATTACACTACATTATCTTGAAGATGATGCTTTAAGCTTCAATTTGAGACATAAATCGTTTCTTCAATCCCATAAATACTCCGGAAGTGATTTTTTAAAGATTAACTTTCATCGCAAATGTCAAATAAAACTTAACCTTATTTAACAACTTATCATGCTTCTTTTTCTCAATATATTTCTTATCAAACATAAATCTTATCATACATCGTTTTAAAGAAGAAACTTTAAGCTTCAATTTGACATATAAATCGTGTCTTTAATTTAAGAAATAAACCGGAGTTAAATTATTATAATATATACTTACCTTACTTTTTCTTCCAGAAAATCTCGATTGAGTCAAAGGATTTACATTGGCCACAGTGCAGGTTATGTTATATTTCGGAGAAGGAACATGTTTAGGCCTCCAGTTCACTTTGTCATATTGAAGCTCACACGTTATATTGTACTACAAAAAAAAGGAAATAAAAATAAATTAGCCCTAAATCTCAATAAAAAAAAGAAACAACGTACTGGTAAAGTTTCTCTTAAATCATAATCCCCAAGACTTCTATCTTGAACATCTAAAATATCTCCCGCTTGTTGCTGGTTAAAATCTTCTAGCGATTCCAAATCGTCAACGTAATCGTTTTCGGTACCTTTCGAAAATTGTAACCAATCGAAAGCAGAATCTTCATCGACGATTTGAGCAAAACTTATTGCAAGAGTAAACAGTAAAAAAGAGAATTGCGAAATCATTATTCCACTATTTTCTTTTTACTTTGATTGTATTGTTAGCAGTTGAGTGTTATGTTAAGTACACCTTACGAATGACTACAAAAACAATCCTATTCCCAGTTTTTATACACGAGACTTGATTAAAATGATATGTCAGATGTAATTCCATCGTTTTTTCTGGGTAGATACGGTTAATTAACGGCCTGTGTTGAGCCGATAAGCTGTTTAACCAAGTTAATTCGAACGAGTACGTTGGTTTTGTTAATCACAATGAAAACATAACAAGAATTAAAGATTATCAGACATGTTGTCTGATAGATAACTTTTATATATTAAATGGAATAATTGTTATTAGTTGTTATTGCTCATATTGAAGGAAAAAAGTTTATTATTTTAATTAAAAAGATATTAATTAATATTAAGTGTTAATCGAAATGCAGACTGTAATTTAAAAATTCGTGGAAGGGTTATTTATGAAAATGAAGAAGTGGTTTTGATTTCAACTTAAAGCTAAAGATTTCTTCTTTAAAATGATATATAATACGTGTTGGGTTGGATAATGAAAATCTTTAGAAAAAAGATCGTGAAATTTTCTTTAAGTTTTCGTCGTATTCTCAAATAAGCAAAGTACAGGCTATAACTCAAAAATTCGTGGAAGGGTAATTTATGAAAATGAAGAAGTGATTTTGATTTCAACTTAAAGCTAAAGATTTCTTCTTTAAAATGATATATAATATGTGTTGGGTTGAATTATGAAAATCTTTAGAAAAACAAGGATGAAATTTTCTTTAAGTTTTCGTCGTATTCTCAAATAAGCAAAGTACAGGCTATAACTCAAAAATTCGTGGAAGGGTTATTTATGAAAATGAAGAAGTGATTTTGATCTCAAATTAAAGTTAAAGATTTCTTCTTTAAAATGATATATAATATGTGTTGGGTTGGATTATGAAAATCTTTAGAAAAACGATCGTGAAATTTTCTTTAAGTATTCGTCGCATTCTCATATAATCAAAATACAGGCTATAACTTAAAAATTCGTGGAAGGGTTATTTATGAAAATGAAGAAGTGATTTTGATCTTAAATTAAAGCTAAAGATTTCTTCTTTAAAATGATATATAATATGTGTTGGGTTGGATTATGAAAATCTTTAGAAAAACAATGATGAAATTTTGTTTAAGTTTTCGTCGTATTCTCATATAATCAAAATACAGGCTATAACTTAAAAATTCGTGGAAGGGTTATTTATGAAAATGAAGAAGTGATTTTGATCTCAAATTAAAGTTAAAGATTTCTTCTTTAAAATGGTATATAATATGTGTTGGGTTGGATTATGAAAATCTTGAGAAAAAAGATCGTGAAATTTTCTTTAAGTTTTCGTCGTATTCTCATATAATCAAAATACAGGCTATAACTCAAAAATTCGTGGAAGGGTTATTTATGAAAATGAAGAAGTGATTTTGATTTCATCTTAAAGCTAAAGATTTCTTCTTTAAAATGATATATAATATGTGTTGGGTTGGATTATGAAAATCTTTAGAAAAACAATGATGAAATTTTCTTTGAGTTTTCGTCGTATTCTCAAATAAGCAAAGTACAGGCTATAACTCAAAAATTCGTGGAAGGGTTATTTATGAAAATGAAGAAGTGATTTTGATCTCAAATTAAAGTTAAAGATTTCTTCTTTAAAATGATATATAATATGTGTTGGGTTGGATTATGAAAATCTTTAGAAAAACAATGATGAAATTTTCTTTAAGTTTTCGTAGTATTCTCAAATTAGCAAAATACAGGCTATAAATTAAAAATTCGTGGAAAGGTTATTTATGAAAATGAAGAAGTGATTTTGATCTCAAATTAAAGCAAAAGAGTTCTTCTTTAAGATGATATATAATATGTGTTGGGTTGGATTATGAAAATCTTTAGAAAAAAGATAGTGAAGTTTTCTTTTTCGTCGTATTCTCAAATAATCAAAATACAAGCTATAACTCAAAAAATCGTGGAAGGATTATTTATGAAAATGAAGAAGTGATTTTGATCTCAAATTAAAGCTAAAGATTTCTTCTTTAAGATGATATATAATATGTGTTGGGTTGGATTATGAAAATCTTGAGAAAAAAGATCGTGAAATTTTCTTTAAGTATTCGTCGCATTCTCATATAATCAAAATACAGGCTATAACTTAAAAATTCGTAGAAGGGTTATTTATGAAAATGAAGAAATGATTTTGATCTTAAATTAAAGCTAAAGATTTCTTCTTTAAAATGATATATAATATGAGTTGGGTTGGTCATAAAAATTTTTAGGAAAAAATTCACGAAGTCCGCTTTAGTTTTATCTTAAGTTTTTATCTGAATTTCACACGTTTTCTTATAGTTGAGATTCGATAAGAATTATTCCAGTCATTTTTCGTAAAGTTTGAATTCAAGTAAAAATTAGCCCACACATTAATCTTCTGTATCGTATCTGGTTGCTGTAATTCCAAACTTGTTTTTGAAGTCTTGAATCAAACCAGATTATGACATCTATTTAGTATTAAAACAAACATTTTTTTCAAGCCTGACGTTTTGCCAGTGTAAATACAAACTCGTTCTGACAGGCAGTAATTTCAGGGTTCTTTTCACAGTTCAGAATTGTCAATGTAGTTTCAGACTTTATAATGTAGTTCGGAACCAAGACGGCGTAATTTCTGATACTTTCTTGCATTGTCCAATTGTTCCAGTACATTTTCTTAAAGTCTAAACACTTTCCAGTGTAATTATGGTGTTGTCCTGAGTCAGTGAAATTATAGACGATTTCATGCAATTTGGAATTCTGCCAAAACAATTTCTAACATTTTCTTGAAGTTTGGAATCTGCCAGAAATGAATCTAAGCAATTTTAAGTAAATCTCTTAAAAACAACTCTACTCCAGAGATACGATATTTATGAATAAAATAAGGCAAGTAAATAAAACAGGTTTTTTGTAAATAAATAATGCAAGATAATTTATTAATCAAATTTAATAGCAATATGACATTTACATCCAACACCAAACTTTTCTATTTCATAAGACCAACATGAACTACCACGTTTTCTCTTCAAAATAGGAATTTTTCTAAAAACGGTTTTACAAAAATAATCTTCTTCGGCAATCTTTTGGTGCTTAATAATACAAAACTAAAAATCAAATAAATCAAAGTACTAATTAATTAATAAGTACTCAAAATTTACTCACATCTTTACGAGGAGAATGTCTCGAATAACTCAAAGGGTTTGTTACATCCGATGATACGCAAGTGGCGTTGTACATTGGATAATTTTTGTATTCATACAAAGGATCTCTATCCCAAAAAGGAACTTGAATAAATTGTACTTCACAAATTTTTTGAAACTAAAATGATATTTTTAATAAATTTTATGAATTAATCTAGAATAATTTTAAGTTTACGGGTGGGGATTCCCTCGTATCGTAATCACCAAGACTTCTATCGAAAATATCCACGGGTTTTAACGATTCCCAATCATTCTCATCCTCTAAATTTCTTAAAACCCGATTATCACTACTCGCATAGATACTTTTCCGGTCTACATTTTCGAAGTGAAGATGCGACTCGAAAGGAAAAGCAAACGAAGTTATAAAAAACAAAAACATTAATTGAATCATTTTCACAATTTCTCTCTTTTGGAGAAACTGGTCAAAAACTAAATGGAAAACGGTGTGATTCTGGGTTTTATAGAACAATACCCAACCGATAAAATTGTGTTAATTAACTTTTCGGATTTCTGAAATGTTAAGCATTTAAAGCTATAACGTAAATAAGTCCTTATAGATAATACAAGTTATCTGAAATATTTTTCGAGTGTTAAATCTTCTATGGATCAATACATTTTTGTATATACAAGGATAATTACTGATGCTATTGACGTCAATAAATTAAATACTCGTAGTTGTAATTATTGTTAAGGTAAATAATAAAATAGAAGTGCAAAAGAATCTCAGATGCAGGAGAAGTATCTATCTTTATGACGTGTGGAGAAGCACTGACATAAGCTTCAATTAGTCAGACTGCAATGGGCTAATCATGTGGTCATGTAGCACTAATGAGCAAAGATATGATTCTTAAGCAGTAGAATGCACTCATCAGAGTCAGGACCTGGAAGATAGTAGCTCTTGATCGTCCGTGTACTAACAGATAAACAAGGCAAAACCTTAATTAAGGACATTGGATAGAGAGACAAAATAAAATAAAGATTTAAATTTAATTTACTTGCTTTTATTGAAACTTGAACATTTAAAAATAAAGCATACAAAGTTTTAGAATACTATCTAATCCAATTTAATATATTTAAGTCCAATTGAACATCCAATGCATCCCACCCCAATTCTTCGATGATCTTTAATGATATATTGCGTTTTGCATATTTCTTTGTTTTTGTCTGTTTCTTGATGCTTTATTACACAAAACTAAAAAGTTTGACAAAAAAATAATATTAAAAATATTAAATAATCTAAGAAATATGTTTACGTCTTGTCTTGATGTTGGCCTCCCAAGATGCTGATAATGATCTGTTGATTCGCACGTAACGTTCAGGTAATGTTCTAAATGTTTGGATTTTGGCATTCGCAGGGTAACATTGTTATGGACTTTAATCTCGCAGGTTTTAGTAAACTGGAATACAACAAAATATAATTAAAATGTTAAATTCTATTAAAGCTAGTACTGGTAAAGCTTCTCTCGTGTAGTAATCCCCATAATCAATGCTTCTATCATCGATTTCTAACAAATCCGATTCGCTGTCTTCGCCGAAATCGTGCAAATCAGAATCATAACTATCAAAATCCGAATTGTAATTGGTGACACGAGCTAGAGATTGCGTGCAACCAACGAAAAGTAAAATTAGTAAAGGTGTCATTTCTGTTGAAAATTAACAACAACTAACAACACCTTTACGTATTCGATTCTTTTATATGTCACATATTCAATTTATTTTTTTTTATTATATTTTATCATCATTTATAACAAACACATCTGCATTATTGAGGGAATTCCAATTTCCAATAAAAGATAATCCTTATGTACAAGTGAAATAATCATTTCAATTAGTTGTACCTAATCTATCGTGTGCATTTGGGACACTTATTATTAATAATTATTATTACCAGCACTAATATATCATCTGTTGGAGAATATTGTTGATGTTATTAAGGTGGGTTTTAATAAATTATGTTGATTTATGTTTATCAATTAATTAATACATTGATTTATAACAAAAAATTCAATTAAATCTTTTTACTCAAACAAATGTGAATATTTTATTAACATATTTAAACTATGTCCACAGTAATCCTTGTTATTTGCTTAAGACTTAATCACACAGTAAATTCTTGATTTTGCAACCCCTACAAATAAAGCACTGCTTAGTTTAATATAATTCAACAATTTTATCAACAATATTGGTCATTTTTACAGTTTTCTTCATAAATGATTAATTAATGATTAAATTAATTTAGAGCATAAAAACACATGAATCGTTCAAATGATGAATTTATTTTCTATAACAACCATAACATTAAATTAAACAATACTTGATAATCCAAAATTATTAAAAAAATTAAATCAAAATTTATTTTTTCTTGCAATCGAACCTCACTTCTTAAATATGACATTTATATCAAAACAAAAACTAAATTTTTAACCTAACTTTTTACTTTAATTAAAAAGTTGTTTATATTTCAAAAATATCATTTTTTTGTATAAAAAAGCAAAAAAAAAAATTTATAATTGGTTTTATAAATACATTAAGATTATTTGTTAAAGCAGGATGAGGTGGAAACGGTTTAGCCGTATTTTTGAGTTAAAAAATAAACCGGAAGTGATTTTTTAAGTTTGATTTGATCATTTTTTACAATTCATTCTTCAAACAAATTTATTTCCAAAATTTGAATATTAATATATATATTACACTGCATTATCTTAAAGATGACATTTTAAGCAATTTGAGACAAAAATCATTTATTAAATCCTATAAATACTCCGGAAGTGATTTTTTAAAAATTGACTTTCATCGCAAATGTCAAATCAAACTTAACCTTATTTAACAACTTATTATTTTTCTCAATATTTTGATGAATTTATTTTCTAAAACAACCATAACATTCCATTAAACAATACTTGATAATCCAAAATTATTAAAAAAATTAAATCGAAATTTATTTTTCCTTCCAATCGAACCTCACTTCTTAAATATGACATTAATATTAAAACATAACCTAAATTTTTAACCTAACTTTTTACTTTAATTAAAAAAATGGTTTATATTTCAAAAATATTACTTTTTCCTATAAAAAAGCAAAGAAAATATTTACAATCTGGTTTTATAGATACATTAAGATTATTTGTTAAAGCAGGATCAGGTGGAAACGGTTTACCCAAGTAAGTTTAACCTAAAAATTTAAAAAAATCTTGAAATATTTTCAAATAATTTACAGATTTGGAGGGGTTGGTGGACAAGGTGGAAATGTATATTTAGTTGGGAATGAAAATCTTACTTTAGAAAACGTTAGATCTGCACATAAAACTAAAAAAATCGCTGCTAAACATGGAAGAAATAGTACGCATAATTTTATATTAGGAGTTCCTGGGGAAAATGTTAAAATTGAGGTTCCAACAGGCATAAGTGTACTTACAGATGATGGTGCAAAATTGGGGGAAATAAATAAAGAAGGTGAAGAAATAATTGTTGCTAAAGGTGGGCAAGGGGGTCATTCAAAAAATGATTATATTGGGAGAATTGGTGAAAGTCATTCGATTAAATTGGATTTAAAATTGATTTCGGATATTGGATTAGTTGGTTTTCCTAATGCTGGTAAAAGTACTGTGTTAAAAGCTGTTTCACAGGCTAATCCAAAAATAGCTAGTTATCCATGTAAGATAAAAAGAAATCATAATAAAAAAATACTAATTATTTAATTTTTTAGTTACAACAATAAGACCAAATGTAGGAATAATTTCTTATAAAGATTTAAGACAAATTTCAATGGCCGATTTACCAGGGTTGATTGAAGGGGCTCATATTAATAAAGGTATGGGACATAAGTTTTTAAAACATGTGGAACGAACAAAAATGATTTTATTGGTTGTTGATATAAATGGATTCCAATTAAGTCCACAACATCCTTTTAGAAATTGTTTTGATACCATCATTTTATTAAATAAAGAATTGGAAATGTATAATCCAGATTTATTAAATAAGCCAACAATGATTGTTATTAATAAAATGGATGTGGAGGGGGCGAATGAGAAATATCTCGAAGTTAAAAAGAAAATGAATCATTTATCTGGTAAAATTAAAATTATTTTTTAATAATAATAATAAAATTTGATATTTCCAGATTATTTTGGAGAATACCCCATTGAGATTCGACCCGAAATTCCTTTAAAATTCCAACAAATTTTAGCAATATCAGCTCAAACAAATAAAGAAGATATTGAAGTTTTAAAAAATAAATTAAGAACTCTTTTAGACGTTTGTTACCAAGATAACAAAGTAGACGAATTTAAAACTTTAAAGGATACCATTGAGTTGCAAAAAGAAAAAGGACCGCGTTTAGTTTAAAAATTAAAATTTATTTACAACAAATTTGTTTTTATTATCATCTAAACGCTTCAGGTTGAGCCAATTGCGTCAACTTAATCCATTTACAACTAATAGCTTCGTTTCTTAAATCATCAATTAAACTTCTTGGCCCTAAATCACAACGTTTTTCTGTAAAAACCGAATCGTAATCTGTAGTTATACCACTATTAATTAACCATCTAAAAAAATCGTTTATTAATTGTAAATATTCTTAATTTGAATTAAATACTTTTCCATTCCATTCCACGCGATCATCACCCCATTATCCGTACATAACTTCTTTGGGGGCCTCACTAAATCGTATCCCATCTCGTCGCAAACAATTTGCAACCCTTTCGCGATAAAATTGTTACAAGCAGCCCCACCGGAAACGACCAAAGTCTTTTTCTCGCCCATCATGTCTTTTCGATTTAAATATTCCATTCCGCGTTGTACTCTTTGACAAAGATGTCTTGTTACGATTAATAAAAAAGATGCGCTTAAGTCGTAAGCATGGGGAATTATTCCATCAGGAGGGACACCTAAAAATTTGAAAGGAGTTAAAGCTCATTTACAATGCAACAAAATAATTGTAAAGGATGAAGCAAACGACGATGGGATGATAGTGGATGAAGAAGCTGGCAGGATTCAGAAAGATCACATGACAATATGGAAAAAGAAAAAAAGAGCCCTATAAATTCAAAAAACTAAGTGCAGAAAGACAGTCGGGCCACCCTAAACGAAATTCAGGCCTACACGTGTCACTCCGCACTGATCAGAAAGTGTACCAGCAACCTGAGAGAACTCGCTAGGGGCAATGATGTTACTCTATGGTGGGTTTAAAACATTGAGGGCAATGAGGAGGCGGACAAGCTGGCCAGAGAGGCAGTGAAAACACCCTTTATTGGACCCCAACCCGGTTGTGGACTACAAAAAAGCCACCTAATACAGATAATTAACAGTTGGGAGAGCTTCAAAGGTAGCTTTAAGCTGGAAAAAACTTCCAGGTCATAGACAAGCGAAGAGTACGCAAAACAAAACCAAAGAGGTTTTATGCCTTAGCAAAGGGGATCTAAAATACCATCTCTTCCACATTAGACAAACTGGGGATCAAACTTGTCGACTTTACAACGACGAGTCAGAAACGGCTGGACATATACTGTATAAATGCGTCGTCAGAGGTCGTCTAAGACATACAATTTTCGGTAAAGCTCTTTTGACACTTACTGACATAAAGGAAAAAACCTTGGAGCAATACTAAGGTTCATTAAGGACCTACAATAACTAGCCCTAAACTTTTGGAGGGCTAAAGTTACAATAGATCTTATAGGTCGCGGTGATGAGAGGACCCTCAGCCTGGCAGCAATAATAATAATAAGTGCAGAAAGAAGAGCAGACTTCTTTACTGACGTGGAAAATGGCAGGAATATGTATGAACACAAAGAGAAGCAAGAAGAAAATAGGAAAGGAAAATAATGGAGGAGATGGAGAGGTTGGGATAAAAATAATGGAAATTAGAGAAGCAAAAAAGAAGGGAAGGGGAAGCATACAGTCATCAAATACTTGTGGTCTATTCTTTTCAGGAGTCCAAGAAAATATATGAAGTAAGGAGGGAGTAGGAGTAAATAAAGAGTAAATAAGTATGCCCCTAAATCTATGCACCAACGAAAGGGACAGAAGAAGAATAAATACAAGATATAATACATATAATAAATCAAGTCTGCAGAAAACCTTCGATAAATCCAGAGAACAAGGAGAAGAAGTAATTATAATTAGATACTGGAATGCGAAAATAGGTAATGATATACACAAGGGGGGAAGTAGTATAGGAGAATATGGGGATCAGGGAGAGGCAGTGATGAATAGAAGTGGGCAGAGAATGCTGGAATTTTGTCAAATAAACGACTTATTGTTTTCAAACACTATGTGGAGTCAGAGGAGGCAAGATAAATAAACGTTTGTGGCGGAAGAAAGGAATGCTAAGAGTATTATTGATGAGGAGGTAAAGACTGAAGCAGAAATGGGAACCAACCAGACTAGTCATGGCAACTATTAATAATATAGAAATCTGAAGAAAAGTGATGAAAACCTACACGAAAATAAACATCCATAAACTAAGGCTGGAGGAAGAAAGACTAAAATACTAAAATAAAAAACAAACAACGAATTTCAGACACTATTAGAACAAACAGAGAATTTAACACAGAAGAAAAGGTGGAGAATTTTTGAAGAGATAAACGTAATAAAGCTATGGAGGTGTGTGGAATGAGAAAATATAATAATCAGGCAAAGAGACACACTGGTGATGAAGAGAGTCATGGAAGAAATACTGATAGCAGAAACCCATAAAAAGGCAAGGAAGATGGTTGAAATATGGACAGAAACTATTAGAACAAACAGAGAATTTTACACTGAAGGAAAGGTGATAAATTTTTAAAGAGATAATGCGAAATAAAGCTATGGAGGTGTGTCGAATGAGAAAATATAATAATCAGGCAAAGAGAACACACTGGTCGAATGAAGAGAGTCGTGGAAGAAATACTGATAGCAGAGAACCATAAAAAGGCAAGGAAGTTGGTTGAAATATGTACAGAAAGAATTGAAAAGATGAAGAATTAGAATTCAACAAAAATAAATGTAACATTGTGATAACAAATAAAAAGGAAATAAGAAATAACCCGAAAGCAATATTTATTAAGGAACAAAAGATAGAAGAAGTATCATCATATGAGTGCTTGGGCAGTATAATATTACAAATTGGAAGGATAGATTTAGACATAAATGCAAGAATAAGGAAAACAAACAACATATATCATACTCTAAACAGAACTATTTTTGGGAAGGAAATAGATAAAAAGATAAAATTGAAAGTGTATTAATATATGCCAGTGAATCATGGACACTCCAAGATACACAAGAAGGAAAGATCATAGCAATGGAAATAAAATTTTTACAGAAAATAGTGGGATAAGATAAGGAACTAGAAAAGTAGATCAAAAGGAGATAATCAGCAAAATAGAGAGAAAGCAACTAAACTGGTACTCTCACATAATTAGAATGGAACATAACACAATAGTAAAAAATGTATTTAAAGCAAAGAATAAGGATAAGAAGAAGAGGGGAATTGTAGCCAAGAACCGGAAGGAGTGGAAGAAGTAGATGAAGGAATAGAAAAAAGATTTATACCATTAGGCATAAGGATCAGGAGAAGAAGAATAAAAGTTAATTCATAAAATTTGTATTACCATATTGCTTTTCTTCGCGTTGAATCGCTCGTAAAACTTGCGTTTTTGTCCCTGCCAAACTAAAGTTGCAATCTTTGTAATGTTGTAGTGGTACAGAAAGTTGAAATCGACCGGGATCTGTACATTTAGAGGCGGCAACTTCGATTGCTTGACCGCCGGACATTTTTGAAAATTCGGGAATGTTTTTTAATTTTAATCGTCGCGCTGTCTAAAAAGTATTTCATTCTATATTCTATTCATTTAGAGAGTGCATAAAAAGTTACTTTATCAAATGCTTCCCCTGGAGCATCATTTTGACAATCGCCCAATAATAAAAACGTTTCCACATCTTTTACAAGCGCTAAAAGGCAGTGACCCCCGCTTATTAATAAAACAAGAAAAGGGAAATTAATTTTTTTTATCATCCTTGCAGTTAAAGCATGCGCTTGCATATGGTGAATTGGGATTAACGGTTTGTTGTGTTGTCTACATAAGTATTTGCTGTATTTTGTACCAATTTCCAACGACATAGGTAAACCTTTATGAGGAATAAAATCAATAATGTTTAAATTACATTTTTGTTGTTACTTTTACCAGGTTTAACAGTAACTGCAATTGCGTTTACATCATCGATTCTTAATGCAGCATTATCTAAAGCATCCCGAACGACTTTTTCAATGTTTTTTCTGTGTAAATCTTGTGCTATAGGAGGAATAATCCCTCCATTACTACAAAATCAATAAATTTAGACTCAAATTAATAAAACTATTTATTTTTATACTCTAAATGTATTTGTTGCTGTGAATGTAGAGCTTCCCCTAAGATATTCCCTTTTTCATCCACTATAGCACAACCGGTGTCATCACAAGATGTTTCTATACCTAAAATTAATTGTCTAGAAAAGAACCGACGAATTAATTGTTTATTAAAATAATTATATGATTTTAAGCCGGGTAATTTTTGAATTTTTAACATTTTTTGAGGTTATGTTAAAAGCGAAGTTAGCTTAAAAATACATCGATTTCATTTGACATTTATGTATAGACCTACTAAAATATTGGGACGAAAATTTTGAATTATAAATCGAAATTAACCGGGGAATGTATTAATATTAAAATAAATTGTGAAATGATTAAATTTAAATGTTGAAGTAATTTCGATTTTTGTATTTGTTATTAAAAGTGAGAATGGAAACAGTTTATAATATCCATACAAAATTTCGGACGAAATGGAGCGCACTGTACTTTCTTTTCAGCTGATTTAAGCGCGTTATATTTCTGTCAAACGCGTATTCAGCAACAAACATTTTTGGTGGTATATTAAAAATGTCTTCGAGGTTGTATCATTAAAATATGTTTATTTGAGGTAATTAATAATCTTTTTTTATAGTGCGGTAGATGATTTATTGAATTCCCCGGAATATCATAGTGATGATATAGGGGATATAGGTGCCGAAGAAGAGGAGGCACTTTTAGAGGAGGAATACGAACAGCAAGAACAGCATAACCCTGAATTGCAGGATGGTGAAATTTTAGACCTCGACAGTGGGAATATCATTGAAGAAGGTTTGTGGTTTATTATTTTATTGGATTTGATTTTTATTCATTTTCTTTGAGTAGAGGGTGATGAGACCTTTGAGCGAGAAGATAGGTTTCATTCTGAACGCCCCATAAAACAAGGTAAGAGAACTTTATTTGTAATTTTTTTTTTGGGCTTTTTAACTTTCTAGATTTCTCCTCATTTGGTATTATTAGGATAATAATAAAAATCCCTTGTATGTGATATAGTTTTTATTTGGTTATATTTATATTGGTCCTAGTTAGCTTTTGTGTTGATACTTTGCCTTTATTTAAATTGGGTTAGATCAGAGCTGGACAAATTTGAGAATATGTATTCTTCAGCAAAACTGCAACATCTCAGGAAGTGGTTAAGTTTATGATAAGATAATAAATTTATTTTTGTGTGGATACATCACTTCATGTGTGTACTAGTGATATTAGGCTTTATCCCCAGTGCAGTGAATTCAAGGTGTTAATTATTTTCATTGCTGTATGATTTGTTAGGTAAGTAGTTTTTGATATGTTGTTAATCTAAGAAGATTATTTTCTTATAAGCAACCACCTATTGTAAATCCTTTGATATTATTAAATAAAGTTTATAATTTGAAGTAGTTTGAATATAAAATAATACTTAACCATGAAAAATTTTGGGTATACTACACTTTGTCCAGCTCTAGGTTAACTTGTTATTAGCTTTGATTATTAAAAAGAAACCTCTCTTTTTTAGTTGAGGTTCAGTTAAAATCTTCAGGTCCAATTAAAAGTAATTGGAGCGATAACAGAAATAAACGTTCAATGCGAGGCGGTTACAGAAATAATAATTATATCCAGAGACGAAATAACTTTCAAAATAACACTCAAAATAAGCGAGTGTTAATAAATCCGCACTTTAAGGGACATGTTCCTGTAAGGAATAACAGTGAGTTGTCTCAAATTTCCCATCTTAATTAGAATTGATGAATTTAATTTTTAGTAAGTTTAGTTTGGGATAAAAACTTAAATAAAAAGCCCCTTATTCATGTACAACCTTGGGCGCAAAATCCGGTTTGTCAAAATAACCCATGGAATCAATCTTGTCAACAACCCCACCAACAACAGGTATTAATATTTAGTTTAGATTTAAAAAAAAATGTAAGGTTTAATAATTTTAGATCCACTCTGGATATTTAATACCACAAAAAATAGGCGTTGTCGCCTCAGCTGCTTCTAACGTTTTTATACCTCCCATTAATAACCAACAGTACATTCAACCCATCCCCCAAAAAAATGTGCAACAAACATTTTACCAGCAGCCAATTTACGCGCCACAACATGAGCCTATTAATGGTTTTAACCAATTTACACAATACCATAACAATAACAATTCATCTACAATGACATCTATAGGTTGTGCGAACCCAGCTCCCTTTCAACAACCTGTTGTTCAACAAAATAACTACATTCAACAGCCACGTTTTGAATCTCCCCCTAAAAACAATAATTTTCAACGGAATTTTGCAGTTAGAGGAGGAAACAAAATGGTTTCAGTTGAAACTCATCGGAATTTAGCAGGACCCCAAGCTAGAAAACGATTTCTCAATAAATCGTCCCCTCAAACGAGAACTAACCTCCAACAAGTAAAAGTGGCGGATTATATCCCACTGAATACGAAGGTTTGTATTTATTTTGTGTTTATGAAGTGTTTTAAAATTTTTTGTTTAGCAACCAGAAATAACGATTAAGATTGAAAAAGGAATAGAAGAGGAAGATGAAACTGTGAAGAAATACCGTCTCCTTATCGAAGAACAAAAAAAATTGAGGGAGGAAATTTTGAGGCGGAAAGAAGAGCGTAGGAAAAACGCGGCTGCAGGTGGTAGTGGCGATATCGTTTCGGAACCGTTGGTTACATCCAAAGTGTTGACGAACTCGTTAAAATGGAGTAAAACGATAGAAAATAATAATATTGTAAACGAACAAAAAAATGTAACGGTTAACGACGTTAATGTTGAGAGTAATTCGTGTACAGCTGTCGATAAGAACGCGGTCACTTCGTTCCTGTCGAACAGGAAGATTATCGCTAAGGACGATACGCTGCCCGACACATCGATCGTTGTGGTAAGCAATTTGGCTACCGGTTCTACGGAAGTCAAATTGCGAAAACTGTGCAAGGGAGTCGGTGACGTTAAGGTAAGAAAGTTTGTGTAGTTCATATTCGGAAAGAATTGAAAATACATTTCAGAATTTTGACATTTTTATTTTTTTAATCAAACTCTAATTTTCGTTTCTTTTTATTAAACATATTAATTCATTTCAAAAGTAAGGATTTAAACAGTCAGGATTTTTTTTGTAATTAATTCTTATATCACTTAAAAAAAAAAAGAATAGCTAATAAGTTTTGTGATATACAAATAAAAACATTAAATGATTTTGATTATAATTCATCTTTTTGGTATTATTTTTTTTTTTGATTTTTATAGTTTAAAAAAGCGAATTAAATAAGAGTACCTTATTTAAATTGCTAATGAAATAGTGAGAAGGTTGTTTATAATAATTATGGTGAATTTATTCCGGAATTCTAAAAAGTTGAAATTAATTTAGTTCTTTAAAAATTTGTTGGTTTTTAATCCTTTGATGATTTATTAATATTTGGTTATTATCTGAAAAATATATCGTGGAAAATTGTGTCAATCCCAATTCCCGTTTAGATATCATCCACCAAATTCCTCCAAAAAAATCAGTTCTTAATTAATTTTACTTATAACTTTTTTTGATTTTTATTTTTTTGTTGTAAATTCGATTTTATTTCTTGGAGTTACCTTCTTTTTAATCGTGGATTTAGATGTTAAATAATTAATTTAATATTTAATGAAACTCTCCTTATTTCTTATTATTATTGGGTATTTTTCTTAGTTATTATCTTTTTAAGTGTAAGTTACGTTAAGTAAGATTCTCTTAGTATGTAAGTTGATAAATTTGTTTTATATGTTTTTATTAATTATTGTAGATAATTAAATTTTTTAAAGAAGTAAATGTTTAAAATTTTTATCGTATATAATATATAAACACTTGTGAATTAGAGAACTTACAATAACATATATATCGATTATAATTTCGAAAATGAGTTTAGACATTTTATTTTTGATCAAGTTTGGTGATCTTGTTAAGTAATCTCATTGCGTTATGTTAATCATATTGTTAGGTATTTACATAGGCTACCTAACAGGATTATCTTATACAGGCTGTTCAGAAATTGGCGGATAATCTTAATGTTAAAATGTTGTTCTATTATGTTGCCAAATGTGCTTTTTATGAAAAAATGTTAAAAGCGAACTTTAAAACTAAAGAAAATAACAAAAAACTAGTTTTCAAAATTCTTTTTATTCTAAATTACAGCTTATTTATCAACAGATATTGAATATTAATGATTATTTATGGACAAATTACTCGACCTTCGAGAACCTCCTGGAGATGTAAGATTTTCGCTTTAGAATCGAACGAAGAATGTCGCTACATGTAGATTATCTGCCAATTTTTGAACACCCTGTATATAGAGTGCACTTGCACTGTCCCACATAAAATGCAACAACATGTCTAGTGTTAGTTTCGTTCAATAAGAATATAGCACAATCTAACGCTGAATAACAATTAAAACTAGAACTAACACTAGACCTAGAAACATTTGGATTTAGCCTTACGTCTTTCAAGACGGCTAAACCCGAATGATTCTAGGTCTTGTGTTAGTTGTAGTGATAGTGGTAGTGCAAAACTAGAACTAACACTAAAACTAGAAACATTCGGATTTAGCCGCACGTCTCTTAAGACGGCTAAACCCGAATGATTCTAGTTCTAGGTCTTGTGTTAATTCTAGTGAGAGTGCTAGTGCAAAACAAGAACTAACACTAGACCTAGAACTAGAAATATTCGGGTTTAGCCGTGCGTCTGAGGACGCACGGCTAAACCAGAAACTTTTTAGTTCTAGGTCTAGTGTTAGTTCTAGTTTTAATTTATTGAATGAAATATGCAACACAGTGATATCTAATGCTAACTAGTGCTACTTAGCACTGTCACTAGAACTTACATTTGACCTTGAACTAGAAACTGTCAGGTTTAACTGTCATAATATATAATGGAATATAATGGTTCTAGGTCTAGTGTTAATTCTACTTTTCGTTCAATAAAAATATACCACAACCTAACGCTGAATAACAATTAAAACTAGAATTAATACTAGAAGTAGAAACATTCTGGTTTAGCCGTGCGTTTGAAGACTTTGGTGTTAGTAGTAATTTTACACTGGCATTGTCACTAGAACTAACGCTAGACCTGAAATTAGAATCATTCGGGTTTAGCCGCACGTCTCTCAAGACGGCTAAACCCGAATGATTCTAGTTTCAGGTCTAGTGTTAATTCTAGTGACAATGCTAGTGTACGATTACTACTAACACTAGAACTAGAAATATACTGGTTTAACTGCACGTCTCTCAAGACGGCTAAACCCGAATGATTCTAGTTCCAGGTCTAGTGTAACTTCTAGTAACAATGCTATATATATTTTTATTGGGCTATAACGAACACATCCTCGTATTGATCTGTTATATCGAGGTTTTACTGTGATGTCAAATTATATTGACATATTGCATTTTATGTATGACAAAGTAAGTGGGTATATTGCATCTTTATCTTTTATTTCATGATTGGGATCTCAGAAACTATTAAAGTAAACTGACATTTGTATAAACAATTGCGTTGATCTATTTTGCAACCTTTCTAGATGTACTATTGATTAATTAGATTTCATCATTTCATATAACTCTGACAGATCGTAATTTGCCCAGTATAAATTTATAGTTCATACAGGTTTTATTAAGATTATAAGCGAAGATACCATTTTGTCATTAGTAGTTGAAACGTTTCTTTCTATTTCAGGTAATATAATTTCCTTAGTTTTTCAATTATTGTTTCTGGTTTCCATCACGTTGATGAAGTACAATTTCTGGATTAGATTCTGTCTCCCAGGTGTAACGTAACTCTCTATGCCGGTATGGATGAACAATCCATATACTTCTAAAATCAACACACAACTGAACTCGACTATAAGAACAATACCAGGATGTCTTAAATCCATTTCTTTTCATTGGCAATATGAATCGATTCAAATTTCGACACTCACACTAAATCTTGCGGAGAAACTGGCTAAAAATGACTACAACATCAACTTTGAGTGGGAAAAGGGTTAGAACACTAAAGCACCAAGAGGAATAAACCAACAGATTCTGCCCGACCAAAAACCAAAAGGATATGGACTTCTTTGCCATCTATGGAAAGACCTCCACAAATGGGGAGTGTTGCCATTGACTCCATTATCATCCATATGTAATCCATTCTTTAGAGGCTGAGCCAATAAAATAAGTATTTAATAATAAATTGTTTAAATTTATTATTGATGAAGTATATTTTCTAAAACATTTAGTCGTCTTGAGTGATGAACGGTTGATGTTGTTATGCTTCTGCCGCAATCGGCTTCGGCTTTATCAAGTGAAGTTGAAACTGGTTATCATATTATGATGGTCTCGGCTTTATCAGGTACTGTTGTAGACTTTTTAAGTACTTAAGCCGGGGTTGCTTGCGACTGAGGTTCAACTTGAAAGTGCTCACCATATTATTATGCCTTGGCAAAACTCAACTCTATGATTTAGCTGAGATAATAAAGGTGAAAAAATGGTGAACTCCGATAGTTGCAAAATATCTTCACCTCACATGGCAGTAAGACTACAACAGCTGGAATACCATTTTGTCATTAGAGTTGAAACGTTTTTACGTTATATAATTTCCTTAGTTTTTCAACTATTATTTCTGGTTTCCATAACATTGATGTAGTACAATTTCTGGATTGGATTCTCTCTTCCAGGTGTACCTATCTATACCGGTATGGGTAAACAGCATTAACACACAACTTAACTTGACCATAAGAACAATATCAGGATGTCTTAAATCCATTTCTCTTCATTGGCTCCTAACGCTAAACAAAAAATAAAATCAGAAATATGAATTGATTCAGATCTTGACACTCACAATAAATCTTGCGGAGAAACTGGCTAAAGAGTACAACATCAACTTTGAGTGGGAAAAAGATTAGAACGCTAAAGCACCAAGAGGAATAAACCAACAGATTCTCCCCAACCAAAAACCAAAAGGATTTGGATGGAAATCTATCGAAAGACACAAATGGGGAGTGCTGCCATCGACTCTATTAGTCTGTGTGGGGAAAAAGACTGGAACTTCAAAGCATTACCAAGAATAAACTAACAAATCCTCCCTAACCAAGACTATTTATGGAAAGAGGATAATTTTTTGGAACTTATTGTGTCGAAACTGTCTTTCATTTGTATTTATCATTACTAAGACAAAATTAGGTTGGGATTTCGAACAGTGTTTATCTGTTAATTATTTCAGCAAAAATCATTTCATTGACATAATCGTTGTATCAATCTCATAAAATACTTCGTACTTTCTGATCTATCAATGTCATACTATGATTTGTTTTCTTTAGTCAGTTTCTGAGATCCCAAATTGCCTATAATGCAGAATTTTAGGTCATTATTTGTCATCATGTGACAAATTTGAAAATATAAAATTTATATTGTAGATTTAGGTGTTTATATTGTTGTATCTTAGCTGTTTAAGCAATACCAACCACCAACATAGCTGTGATAAAAATCCTTTTTGTTATGGATTTATTCCATTAAAACGCAGCGTGTAATAATAAAATCGTTTTAAAAAGAATAAAGCCATTTCAAAATGGAAACATAACTAAATAATATAGCTAATATATTAAAAAGCACACACAAACCAAAAAAAGATGTTTCTCTTTTCGCTTATTATCCTTGTGTTTGCAGAATTTGGTAATATCACCGGTAGAGCGTCAGGCAACAATTGAGTTCAAAAGTGTTGCTTCCGCTCACACGTTTTATAAGAAATACCAGCGTTTTATGTTAGATTTGTCTATGATTCAAGTTGTACTTAAAAAAACATAAATTTATTAATTACTTTTTATCGACTTTTCGTCATCATTGTTGTATTCTTTTCTTATAATTAAATAATAAAACGTAATATATTTAGATTTAAGTTATTTTTTACTATGTATTTACTTGTTATTAATTAATTATTTCATATATTTTAAGTTGAATGAGAAAAAAATGTATTATATACACGCTTTTCTTAGATCAAAAGATTTTGCAAAATAATACAATGAAAAAATTAATTTTGTGTGTGTAATGCTTAATAAACTTTTTTAAGTATATCAACACTACACTTTAAGAGTCATTCACTTTTATAATTATTGATTAAATCTAAGTCATCAAACAATATCATGTATATTATTTTCTTTTCTCATCTTATCTTTAAGCATTTATTCTTTCGTTATTATCTAAAATAATCGATAATAATTAAAGTGTTTTTTTTTTAAATTAAATTTTTTATTATTCCTCAAATCCATGAATTATAATAATTTATATTTTAATTAATTAACTTTCCAATATACGCGGTTATATATTTAGTTACACGAATTGTAAGTCCATAATTGCCAAATATGCATAATTTGCGTCCGAAGATGCACGACTAAATCCGAAAGTTTTAGATCTAATTTAATAATCAAGAGCTGAACAACAATTAAAACTAGAACTAACACTAGACCTAGAACTAGAAAGTCTGAAGACGCACGACTAAACCCAAATGTTTCTAGTTCTAGGTCTGGTGTTAGTTCTAGTTTTACACTAGCATTGTTATTAGAACTAACTCTAGACCTGGAACTAGAAACATTCGGGTTTAGCCGTCTTGAGAGACGTGCGGCTAAACCCGTATGTTTCTAGTTCTTGGTCTAGTGTTAGTTCTAGTTTCACACTAGCATTGTTACTAGAACTAACACTAGACCTGGAACTAGAATCATTCGGATTTAACCGTGTTGAGAGACGTGCCGCTAAACCCGTATATTTCTAGTTCTTGGTCTAGTGTTAGTTCTAGTTTCACACTAGCCTTGTTACTAGAACTAACTCTAGACCTGGAATTAGAAACATTCGGGTTTAGCCGTCTTGAGAGACGTGCGGCTAAACCTGAATGTTTCTAGTTCTTGGTCTAGTGTTAGTTCTAGTTTTACACTAGCCTTGTTACTAGAACTAACTCTAGACCTGGAACTAGAAACATTCGGGTTTAGCCACACGTCTCTCAAGACGGCTAAACCCAAATGTTTCTAGTTCTTGGTCTAGTGTTAGTTCTGGTTTTACACTAGTCTTGTTACTAGAACTAACACTAGACCTGAAACTAGAATCATTCGGATTTAGCCGTCTTGAGAGACGTGCGGCTAAACCCGAATGTTTCTAGTTCTAGGTCTAGTGTTAGTTCTAGTTTTACACTAGCATTGTTACTAGAACTAACTCTAGACCTGGAATTAGAAACATTTGGGTTTAGCCACACGTCTCTCAAGACGGCTAAACACGAATGTTTCTAGTTCTTGGTCTAGTGTTAGTTCTAGTTTTACACTAGCATTGTTACTAGAACTAACTCTAGACCTGGAATTAGAAACATTTGGGTTTAGCCACACGTCTCTCAAGACGGCTAAACACGAATGTTTCTAGTTCTTGGTCTAGTGTTAGTTCTAGTTTTACACTAGCCTTGTTACTAGAACTAACACTAACCTTGTTACTAGAACTAACACTAACCTTGTTACTAGAACTAACACTAGACCTGAAACTAGAATCATTCGGATTTAGCCGTCTTGAGAGACGTGCGGCTAAACCCGAATGTTTCTAGTTCTAGGTCTAGTGTTAGTTTTAGCTTTACAGTGGCATGGTCAGTAGAACTAACAGAAGACCTAGAACTAGAATGATTCGTGTTTAGCAGTCTTGAGACACGTGCCGCTAAACCCGAAACTTTCTGGTTCTAGGTCTAGTGTTAGTTCTAGTTTTACACTAGCATTGTTACAAGAACTAACACTAGACCTGGTTCTTGTAACAATGCTAGTGTAAAACTAGAACTAACACTAGACCTGGTACTAGAATCATTCGGATTTAGCCGTCTTGAGAGACGTGCGGCTAAACCCGAATGTTTCTAGTTCTCGGTCTAGTGTTAGTTCTAGTTTTACACTAGCATTGTTACTAGAACTAACACTAACCTTATTACTAGAACTAACACTAGACCTGAAACTAGAATCATTCGGATTTAGCCGTCTTGAGAGACGTGCGGCTAAATCCGAATGTTTCTAGTTCTAAGTCTAGTGTTAGTTTTAGTTTTACACTAACATTATTACTAGAACTAACTCTAGACCTGGAACTAGAATCATTCGGATTTAGCCGTCTTGAGAGACGTGTGGCTAAACCCGAATGTTTCTAGTTCTAGGTCTAGTGTTAGTTCTAGTTTTACACTAACATTATTACTAGAACTAACACTAGACCTGGAACTAGAATCATTCGGATTTAGCCGTCTTGAGAGACGTGCGGCTAAACCCGAATGATTCTAGTTCCAGGTCTAGTGTTAGTTCTAGTTTTACACTAGCATTGTTAGTTCTAGGTCTACTTTTAATTCAATTAAAATATACATCAATCTAACGCTGAATAACAACTAAAACTAAAGGTTAATAATAGTTAGAATTAAATGTGGCCAATCTAAAATCGTTTACACAATTTGTTAAGAAATCAATCAACCCACTCTTTATAAAAAATTTCTTTTTAAGCCATTTTGCATCATTTCGCGAATAAAGAAATCAAAATAATGTTTATTTAGTTGATTTGTTAACGTGATTGTTATAGTGTCAAAACAAAGCTTTACCATTTCCTTTGGCAACGTAAAAATACATCACGCTACGCTGTTACGTTTTCATTCGTATTTAAACGTTGAATGAAACTGGTTTTCAAACCGAAACGTGTCTTCCAAAAAAAGAAAGTGATTTTTAACTGTTAGATATGAAATCGTTTTTAGAAGAAATACGAATACGCATTATTAAATGTAAGTATGTAATCAACAATTTTTTGTTAAATTAAATGTTTGGATGTAAGGCACATTTTAAACAAAAAACTTTATTAAATTAAGATATATTTTAATTTCTAAAAATTTGATTAATTAATATATCTTATTTAATATATTATGTAAGATTCAAATAATTTTTGGTAATTATATATTTTCTAGACATGCATAAAATGTACTTACGTGTATATAATTTAATAGTAATTTCGTAATAATTTATCCATACAAAACGAGGTCTATTGTTTATTTCGAGGAGTGTTATTGTAACGACTTAAATTTTCCTTTTTTCAAGTACACAACCCATTATGTATTTTAATATCGAAATTATCGCGCACCATTTGTATTCAATAACAAATTTATTTAATTAATTATTTACTCGAATACATTTCGTGTGCTTATCGAATTTAATTTAAACAAATATATAATGAAAAGCTGATATAACTCAAAAATGCTTTCACCTTTTATAACGTTGCAATTGACATTAACATTTCGATTTTCAAGGTGTACAATTAATGTTATTCAATCGTTCTCTATCATTAAACCTCGGATATATAATCAATTGAAACGAAATCAATCGACGTTTATATAATCCATTCTTTAGAAGCTGAGCCAATAAAATAAGTATTTAATAATAAATTGTTTAAATTTATTATTGATGCAATATATTTCCTTAAACATTTAGCCGTCTTGAGTGATGAACAGCTCATATTGTTATGCCTTGAGGCAGTGATTAACACTGTCAATATCAATTTGAAAGTGATCATCACATTATTATGCCTCGGCAAAACTCAACAGAGTGTATGATTAAGTTGAGGTACTACAATTGATGCCATCCGGTATCAAATTGACCAATAATGTTGCGATTATTATGGGCTTATTTCATCGAAGATGTGATAAGTGCAGGTGTGGATGTCATAAAATAAACTTAGTGGAAGATTATGTTTTTCTAAGTCACCACTATGAAGAACCTGTTTAGAACTGTTAATAGGAAGGAAAAAATTGAGACATTTGCATGCACTATATTTCTCCAGCATCTGATTAGTTTGTTAAGAACTAAGTAAAGGTGGAAAAATGGTGAACTCACATGGCAGTAAGACCACAACAGTTGGAATGAACACAAAATTCTGATAATGAAGTCCAAAAACCTTTCATACACATAATTTAATAAATATAATAAATTATTTTTTTTTAAATCTTATATAATTGATAATTCAATAAAAATAGTAATTGTAAGCATTGAAATATAACCACTTGTATTAAAATTACAAGATAATAAAATTGATTTTAATCGATTGCAAATGATCTTGTTTTACGACCAACGTTTTAGTATCAACACGATAATACGACATCCCTATTTTCTAAAAAGCGCCGTATAAGATATGACTTGTTGAGATAAATCTGTCCAGTACGTTTTGTAGTTTACGAGTGTTAGGTGGTACGTCATTGCTTTTTGGGCAAAAAAGATCTTTGATCATTTTTATTAACATCTATTTTATATAATATTTTTTAATAAATTAAGTTAATCCGAATCGGATTAAAAATTATTTTTGAAAAAAATGTCTCAAGGTAAGCTTTATTTGAATATTATATCAAAAAATTTATTGTACTTAATTTAAATTTAAAATTGATAAAGAAAATCATAAATAACAAATATTATCTGTTTCGTTAATTCTTTCATCTTTCAATTTGAATTATTTTTTGGAGGAAATCTAAATTAATAAATAATAGAAAATTATATATATATTTCTTATCGATACAGTTATTTATTTGATTAAGTACTTAATATTTCGATGTATTTAGTGCACAGATTTCATATTATTTATTTACAATCCCATTAAACACTCATGTACCAATACAATCGAAAAGCTTTTAGCATTTTTTTTTAAACTCAACGAGAATTTTGACGATCATAATGTTTAACATTTATAAATCATTACGCAAATACTCCTTGCCCCCTGTAATCCATTTAAATCAACTTTGACCCAAAGTTATCTTCTATTTTTAACGAAAATAAAATCCATATCTTTCATCTTAATTATTAATATTATTAAATATTTAATGGTATTACACAATCCTTATTTCTTTTAATTTTTTAAATTAATTAACAAAAAAAAATTTAAGTGTAAATATTTAAATTCGTTTCTTTGTAAATTGTATCTGTTTATTTTCCGTCAAATTTTGACTTGTATATTGCTATATTTTACTCCTAATTATACATTGTGAAATTAGAATTAATAAACACGACGAAAACGTAATATTATACCATCATTAAATTTGCTTTAGAATGCTTTTTCTTGCATTTATTAGGTTGAGCTTAATGACTCATAACAACGAGGTTTATGGAAAATAAGAAATGATTTATGGCACATTGCATATTCATTAAATTAGCTTTAAAATGTATCTTATTTTATCGTAATATCTCAATTGGTTCTTGAGATACGATTTCTTAACTTTATTCTTAAAATTTAGAACAAGCATGCTATGTTGTGGTTAAAAATTGATAACTTTGAGGTTTATGATAATTAAGCATTGAGATAAAATTGTTTTAATCCAAATGTCTATTTTTTATTGAATATATATTTAATTAATTAATTAAAAATTTTAGATGCAACAGATAAAAAATCATTTTTTGAAACAATCATTAGAGTTTTCCTAGCGGAATTTTTCGGAACAGCAATGTTATTATTTATTGGTTGTATGGGGTGTGCTTTTGACTTAAAACATCCATTTCCCGGTTTTGCGCCTGCTTTAACTTTTGGTTTAGCCGTCATGGTGATAGTACAGGTAAAAATTAAATTCTCCAAAAACTTCTCGATATCTAATTCAAATTTGAATTCTTAGATATTCCTTCATATCAGTGGATCACACATAAACCCGATTATAACAATAGCCGTGGTTATTTTTGGAGCTATGAAACCATTAGTGGCGGGTATATATATTACAGCGCAAATGTTGGGGGGAATTTTTGGATTTGGACTTATTAAATTGTTATTAACCGAGCATTTCACGGAGGTTCATATACCGAGTCCGGGTGGAAACGGCACAATTCATCATCTTTGCGTGACACAACCAAATCCGTATATTTCACCATTCCAAGTAATCCCATAAATATATAAAAAAATATTAAGGAATTATATAATATTTTTTTTTAGGCTACTGCTATTGAAGCAATCACATCCGGGATTCTTATTTTACTTCTTTGCGGAATAACGGATAAAAGAAATCATGCTAACACCGATTCACTTCCGTTAAGATTTGGTTTTGCTATAACTGGTTTAGCAAGTGCTAGCGTAATTTTTTATTAAATTAAATCTTAAGTGTGATGTTATAATTCTTTTTATTTTAGGCTCAATTCACTGGAGGAAGTATGAACCCAGCAAGATCTTTTGCTCCCGCTTTACTTAATGGAATATGGAGTAATCAATGGGTAAATATAGAAAATTAATGTTTTATTTAACTCATTTATACCATAAACTCAGATTTGTGCAAAAAATGTACAATAACCTAACAGAATAACAACTAGAATTAGAACTAATACTAGAATTAACACTAGACCTGGAACTAGAATCATTCGGGTTTAGCCGCACGTCTCTCAAGACGGCTTAACCCGAATGTTTCTAGTTCTAGGTCTAGTGTTAGTTCTAGTTTTGCTACAATAAAAATATACAACAACCTTGTTCTGAATAATAGTTGTTAAAAGTACAACTAACACTAAACTTAGGATTGGTAACATTTAGATTTAGCCGTCTTGGTTAAACCTTAATGTTTCTAGTTTTAACTCAATGTGGAAAAAGAGATTTTTCATTTCTTCTAAATAATACAAATGCATTAAATTTAATTAAATTTACAGAAATCTGTAATTTAAATTTGTAGATTTATTGGGTTGGACCAACAGCTGGCGCTATAACTGCAGCTTTATTCTACAAATTTTTGTATTATGAAAAACCCGAAGTAGCAAAACCCGATGAATTACAAGAATTAGACGAGATCGGCGATAATGGTACCAAAGCATAATTAAAAAGATTCTTATCAAAAAAAAATTAATCCAGAAATTAATTACTTAAATTATTATTGTTGTTATATTTATTTTTTCTAAAAAAAGAAAAATATAATACAAAAATAAAGTTATAATTTTAAAAAATTAATTAATAAAAATAAAGGTAAACAACATGATAACTCGTTTTTGTTTACAATTAACGATGCAATAATTTGCGGTTATTTCAAGGTGCCTGACAAAATCAATTTATAACTCACCGGTTTTCTAAGCATATTTAATTTTTTTTTTCACTTGATAAGACGAAAATACCGTATCTAAAGTCGCTCTGATTTTATTTTGCAACGGAAACCCACGATATCCTTTGTGATTTGTTTGTTAATCTAAAATAGTAGAAATGGTTCAATCGGATGATCAACAAACACCGGCAAAAGAAGAAAAAGTGATAAAAGGTAAGTTTAAATAATTAATTAATTTTATTCTAACATTATTTATAAAACACAACTTAATATAAAAATAATTATAAGTACATGATGTGAAAATGTTAAGGGTCAAATTCTAATTATTATATCCTTGTTTATAAATATACATAGTTATTCGATGTCAGTTTGTGTTCGTGATACCCAGATGGCGGGGTACTTTATGTGTAAATTAATACATAATCTCGTTAATTTTTTGTACTCTTTACAACATATTCCTTGCACTTATAACTTCTTTCCAATCTTAGTTCATTCTGCATTCTTGTATTTCATGTGTAAATTAACCCTGCCATCTGGGTACCACGAACACAAACTAACATCGGTTCAATAACTATGTTATATGTTATATCTTATCTTTAATAGCAATGTTTGTATAAATTTTATCAAATAGGATTTGGATTTACACAAATTGATTAGGTATATAGCTGTGTAACTATATAAACATTTAAAATATTGAGAGTTAACATTTCAAATAAGAAATTACTTATTTGAAAGAGTAGAAACCATCAGATATTTAGGATCCACAGTAAACGAAACAAATGTCACTGGAGTAGTATTGAATCGCCGATTCTAGACCGGAAATTGCACCTCCGCACCTTCGTGACGTCATCAACCCAATGTAAAAGGATAGGGAAGGGTACCAACCTACGGCTGGGGAGAAAAAAAAGTAGCAGTCTACCTGGTTGGTAGTGGTTTAGTTCCACTACCAGCCACAAGGTGGCACGTTACTTTTTTTTAAAGTCACCAGATCTAGATACTTTTCCAATACCAACCTATTTTTTTTCCTCCCCAGCCGTAGGTTGGTACCGTTCCCTATCCTTTTACATTGGGTTGATGACGGAAGTGCAATTTCCGGTCTAGAATCGGCGTTTCTATACTACTCACTGTTAAAATCGAGATGTATGAGAAGCTTAGACTATGTCAACAGAGGATGAAAACAAATTAAGAGTTTTTGAAAGACAAGATATATAAACAGGTACAAGACGGTGCAGACATATTATGGTACATAAAAGCACAGCCAATAGGATGGGTGGCATAATGTATATACAGGGTGATTCTCAACCTATACGCGTAAACTGAGGGATTTATTCCTCAGGACAAATAATGACTAAGATGAAAAAAATTGTAGTAAAAGTTTTTTTAGTTTCCTAGATATCCGATATAATCGGCGACATTTAGATAATGTGTTTCCTGGAAGATGGATAGGTCGAGATGGTCCAATGGCCTGGCCACAGTGATTGCTCGGTTTCAATCCTCTTGATTTATACCTTTCGGGTCACTTAAAAAGCATAGTTTAACGCCACAGAAATTAATACTCAGCAAATATTGCAAAATCAGATACATACTGCTGCTCAGACAATCCGCTAATACCCTGGTTTAGGCCGCGCTGGTGTGGGATCGTGGATTCGGGGAGCCCAATTGATAGAAAATATGGGAAATAACTTCTAACACTTGTGATGTTATTTTAAAATTTTTTCGCCTATTAATCATTATTCGTCATGAGGAGTAAATCCCTCAGTTTATGCGTATTATGCGTATAGGTTGAGAATCATCCTGTATAATAAATAGAAATCTGTAGTATAAGAAGAAGAAAATGGAGAGATTGCCATAGTTGAAACAACCGCACGTGATTAGTATGTAAAGTTCAAAACTGGAAATTTTGACCACTTTCTTTACCACTTTCTTCCAGTTGCGTTTGATGAAGAGCAAATAAATTTGAACGAAAATTTGCATCAAGGAAACTGCCAGAGAAAGTTGAATGCTCTAGAGAAGCATCGTTAACTTCGCTTAACTCATGGAAATAATTTCCGAATCGTTACTGGCGATAAAGGAATGACAACATTAATATAAAGCTGCAATTGCTTGAATGGAACCTTACGATCAACGCAGAACTATATATTTAATAGATGGAACGAGTCAACACACTCACATTTGCTTATGGCATTCGGGCAGAACCCTTCATTCACGGAGGAAACTTTTATTCTGGCTCTCTTGGCCTTCCCCTTAAGAGAGAAGAACCACGTAGAAGCGAACCCCACTCTCCAGGAATCACTCGTATGGCGCAGTACTTAACATTACACAACATTAATTTTACCGCAACTCGTTGGAGGAGTTAAAACGGCTGTATTCAAGAGACAAAACCTAATCAACAGGATGGAGCCCTCATATTTACCAAAATGATCAAACGCATGGCCTAAAAATGCTACCTAAAGGATTTCCACCTCTTTTGCAAAATACCCAATAATCCACATTATCTTAATAAGACTTTGTTGCTGAATTTAATATTTTCATTAATTTTTCAAAGTTGTATATAAACAATACAATGTGTAATGGTAATGCGTAGTGCTTCACGGATGGTGAAATATGTGTTGTCGTGGTCGATCGGAGATTTCATCCATTCTTCCTGTTGGTTCTCTTTGAAAAGGGGCAGACGTTTCGCCAAGATCTCACCTGGCATCTTCAGTGTGTTGTCGTAGTCTCGTAATCAAAACTAAAGCACTGAATAAATGTTATTGTGTGACTAAAGCGTTTTCAGATGCACGGCTAAACCCGAATATTTCTAGTTCTAGATTTAGTGTTAGTTCTAGTTTTACACTAGCATTGTTACTAGAATTAACACTAGACCTGGAACTAGAATCATTCGGTTTTAGCCGTCTTGAGAGACGTCCGGCTAAACCCGAATGTTTCTAGTTCTAGGTCTAGTGTTAGTTCTAGTTCTACACTAACATTGTTATTAGAACTAACACTAAACCTGGAACTAGAATCATTCGGTTTTAGCCGTCTTGAGAGACGTCCGGCTAAACCCGAATGTTTCTAGTTCTAGGTTTAGTGTTAGTTCTAGTGCTATCGTTAATTCTAGATTTAGTTGTTATTCAGTCATTTTTATTGAACTAAAACTAGAACTAACATTGTTACTAGAACTAACACTAGACCTGTAACTAGAATCATTCGGTTTTAGCCGTCTTGAGAGACGTCCGGCTAAAGCCGAATGTTTCTAATTCCAGGTCTAGTGTTAGTTCTAGTTTTACACTAACATTATTACTAGAACTAACACTAGACAGACTACCGACAGGAGACTACGACAACGCACTAAAGATGCAAAATGAGATCTTGGCGAAACGTCTGCCCCTTTCCAAAGGAAACCAAGAAGAACGGATAAAATCTCGGATTAACCACAACAATAAATACAATGTGTTTCTCAACAACAATAAAATGAAACTTATTTATTGTTTATTACTACTAATTATTTAATTTTTTTTTCGATAAATAATTTTTTAGATAATCCGGATAAAATTATTTTTATTACATGTGTTAAAAAAATCTATAAATATCGTTTATCTATAAATAAAATCTCGATAAACGATTATTTTTAAAGATTAGAATTCACTTGAACTTCAAGACTAATATTTGTTTAAATTAAAAAAAAAACTATTTCGATTAATTTAAACTTTTTTTAAACTATCAAAATTGTTATTGTAACCCAATTCATTTTATTTTATCATTAACACCTTCAGATTATGTTACCATTCCCTATCACGGATTAAATTAAAACGAATCCCCACGCAGTTTTAAAAGTAAATTCGCCTCAATTACATTAAAACAATGTCTTTAAAACCGGAATATGCAGAAATAGTAGTCGTGAAAGAAGGTAAATTAATTAAATTAATTCATTTTATTATTATTGAGGTAAAAAAAAACGATTAGAGAGAAAAATCTGTTTTTATGTATTTGTTGAGGCTTACAACGGCAATATAAATTTATGGTTTTATTAAAAATTGTGGTTGAATTGGTTTGATGGATTAGTTTTATCTTGTTTCTGAGTTTAGTTATAAAACTAATTTCGTTTGGAAATCAACGATGTTTCTTCTTTCTTTTAATTCAGATGAAAATATTTATACGATACTCGAAAAAGCCATTGCTGAAGTCTTCGGAACGGCCACATTGTTGTTTGTGGGTTGTATGGGATGTATTGGTGCAGAAGTATCATTTGCTCCACATTTTGGTGCTTTAAGTTTTGGATTAGCTGTTGCAGTTGCTGTGCAGGTAAACTAAACTAGATTAATTTTTAATATTAACTAAAATAGTAAATAATTTGATTTTAGATGTACGGACATATTTCTGGTGGACATTATAATCTTTGTGTAACAATAGCTGCGGTTATTCTAAAAAAAATTGATCTTGTTTTAGCTGGTATATATTTTATAAGTCAAACTGTTGGTGCTTTACTTGGATACGGATTATTGATGGTTAAAAAGCGTAATTATTTCATTTAACTTGTTTTACATTAATTTTCTTTTTTAGTTAGTAACCAATGAAAATGATAATAAAGGAGTTTGTGTGACCCAAATCAACCCCTACATCAAAGTTTATCAAGTAATTAACTTTTGTAGTAAAAATATTTATTTAGAGCAAATTTTATTAACAGATTCTTCATTTTTCTTTGGAATTAATCAATTTGTTCATATTTCTTGAATATTTTGAGTTAAATCACTTTTTTGAAGTAATTACACATTTAAGCGCATATTGGGTTGCCTAACTTTCACTTAAAATTCAAAATTGAGAAACCTTGAGAGGAATTACAGCTTCCTAAAACGTTATAAATTAATTTTGGGTGATCTACATTGATGATTTTTTCATATTAATTGAATCTAAACATTTTTTACTCCTTAATTTATGTTTAAAATGTTTCTATTACGGTTAGAAAATTGTTTGTTACAGAATAAAGATGCTTGCCTACAAGGGTAAATGAGTAATAATTCTAAATGTGGGGCTTTGCTAATAAAACTCTTCAATCTTATCATGTAAATTCAACATTTATGACTTTTTACCCTTAATAAGTTATTGTAGGAACCTAATTAATCTAATATGAAGGAGATTTAAGCTTAAATACATTGAAAAGGGTGCTTTTAAAGCGAATAATAGTACAAAAGGGTTTTGACGTTAGAATAAGGATTTGATAGAGTGTAGACCAAATTAGGCTAATGAATCCATAAAGTTTTATTCTTGGCTTCTACAATGATGTGAAGGAGAATTATTTATGTTTTCTTTTTAATTTTTAGGGTTTTATCATAGAAATGATAATCAGTGGATTTTTAATTTCAATCTGCTGTGCAGTTTGGGATCATAGAAATACGAAAAACACTGATTCAATTCCGATTCGGTTCGGATTAACTCTTGGGAGCATCTTTATAGCCACGGTAAGCCAATTAAGTTTTACAGATAAATACTTTTTTTCCCAATAAATCTAAACCTTGATTCCAGATAATTCCTGTCGTTGTTAATCCCGCATAATCAATATGGTATAAAACATTTTGAACTTTATTACTGTTCAATTATCCTAAAAATGTGTAAATTTATTATTAGATACTTGTATAAATTATGATTATGAATCGATTGAGATTAAAAGTCATCTCGATTGTTTGAAAAATCTTGTAACAATTTATGATCGATTATTTTTCTGGTCTTTATATTTATTCCTCTTATTTCTAAAGGTTCTTCCTCTACGATTATTTATTTTGATTATATTTACTTCTGATATGATTAATTGAGGAATTTTTGATACTTATATTCATGATTGATTCGTTTAAAAAAAAATTATGTACATCTTGAAATGTACTTAAACTTGTCGAACACATCAAGTTATGAAGAAGTTTAATCGATAATTAATTTTTTTAATGATCAATTTTTAATCTTATATTTACTTCTACACATTACGCGTAACCAGAATTTAACATGTTTTGATTTATTACATTTGAATTATGATGAATTATTACAGTTTGTTTTTCATTTTAAAGGGGAAAATTTTCAAATGGGGTTATTTGATCAATTGAGGATTTTACTTATATATTATGATTGATTTGTACATAGAAATATATAAAAATCTTGAAATGTACTCGATATAGCGATATTTCCACAAGGTTCCTTCAAGAAATTAATTTTATAGCGAATTTTGAAAATTATCGATGAAAATTGCAACATCGAAAATTTTATCAAAACTTCAAATATTGTTTTCTCAAAAACTAAAAGTTATTTTTCAAAACGTGTTGGTTCATTGGAAAGAGGACACTTTTATTAACACTTTGGAAAATTTTCAAACTCATATTCCAAGAACTGGATTTTATACGAATTTTTAAAACTTAATCGGCGAAAAGTGCAAAATTCGAAAAATTGTCGATCATTTCAAAAATTTATTTCTCAAGAACTGAAAGTGATTTTTCAAAATGGCTTGTTGCATTAAAAAGAGGATACTTTAAATAATAACCGGTGATATTTCCACAAGGTTCCTTCAAGAAATTAATTTTATAGCGAATTTTTAAAATTATCGATAAAAATTGCAACATCGAAAATTTTATTAAAACTTCAAATATTGTGTTCTCAAAAACTAAAAGTTATTTTACAAAACGTGTCGGTTTATTGGAAAGAGGACACTTTTATTAACATTTTGGGAAATTTTCATACTCATATTTCAAGAAATGGATTTTATACGAATTTTTAAAACTTAATCGGCGAAAATTGCAAAGTTCGAAAAACATTTTAGATCATTTAAAAAATTTATTTCTCAAGAACTGAAAGTGATTGTTCAAAACGGTTTTTTGCATTAAAAAGAGGATACTTTAATTAATAACTGGTGATATTTCCACAAGGTTCCTTCAAGAAATTAATTTTATAACGAATTTTAAAAATTATCGATGAAAATTGCTACATCGAAAATTTTATTAAAACTTCAAATATTGTTTTCTCAAAAACTAAAAGTTATTTTTCAAAACGTGTTGGTTCATTGGAAAGAGGACACTTTTATTAACATCGTGCGAAATTTTCATACTCATATTCCAAGACATCGATTTTATACGAATTATTAAAATTTAATCGAAAATTTAAATTATTGCAATGGGGTTGCTAATGGCAATCTTATACTATCATTTAATCTTCTATAAGTAAAGTTAGATCTTCCATTTGTCATATCTAGTCTTATGAGAGCAGTATCTAGTCTTTTATTGGCAGCATTCAGTCTTTTGCAAGCAATATCCAGTCTTCTAGTATTTTTGCAAGTAATATCTAATATTCTGCCAGCACTATATAATCTTCTATTGGCAGTATCCAGACTTTTATTGGCAACATCGTCTAGTCTTACATTGGCAGTACCTAATTTTATATTATATAATAAACAGTATTTAGTCTTCTATAAGCAGTATCTAATCTTACACAAGAAGAATCTGATTAGATTCTACTAGAAGATTGGCTATTGCTTCCAAAAGACTGAATACTGCCAATAGAAGACTAGATACTGCTCTCATAAGACTAGATATGACAAATGGAAGATCTGATTTTCCTTATAGATGACTAAATGATTGTATAAGACTAAGTACTCACCAGATTACGTGACTGTTTTAGTGACACTCAATAATTCAAATGATTTTGATACGAATTACGTTCTACTAACTCATTAAAATCTTTTTAGGCCCAATATACCGGAGCAAGTATGAACCCAGCAAGAAGTTTAGCCCCCGCAATTTTCCAAAATATGTGGAAAGATCATTGGGTAATAATTTAATTTTAACTCAATCACTTTTAATTAATTCTCACTCTTCATTTAGGTATATTGGGTAGCACCAATATTAGGTTCGGCCGGAACAGCATTATTTTATAGATTCATTTTTATTGAAGGTTTAGCAAAAGCAGGTAGAAAATAATTCATTTCAACCATTTTAATTCGAGTATTTTTGTATCATAAAAATTTTTTTTAAATTATGTTATTTTTCGTTTATTTATCCTTTGATGTTATTAAATCATTTAATTATCAATAGATAAAAATTTTGTTATTGTTGTTGTTAATATTCTTGTATCATAAAGAGATTTAAAAGATCGGATTACTCAATTTTTGCGATTGGATTAATTCATACCGTATTGGATATTGTGTATCAGATAAATAAATTTCGCCTCGACTATTTAAGCCGATGCGAAATTATTATAACGCTTTATTTGCTATTGTGATTTTGAGAAGTTAAACAAGATTAAAAATGAAATCTACAGGTAATTAATACTATTAATATTATTATTTATTTATTAATTTTTTTTTTAATTCAAAGTTATATCAACCTTAATTATAATGGTGGGAGAAATTTTAGGAACAGCAACATATATATTTTTGGGTTGTATGGGATGTATTTCAAATACATATCCAAATATGAGTTTTCAGTTTCATCCCTTTAATTTTGGTTTAGGAATTGCTTTAGCCATTCAGGTAAATTAATATTTATTAAAATGCAATTAATTTTTAATTGAACTTGTAGTTATTTGGACACATTTCCGGCGCTCATTTCAACCCAATCGTTTCAATAGCAGCTTTAATAATGCAAACGGTTAAAATTACGATGTTTCCTTTTTATGTATTAGCTCAATTTATTGGGGTTTTCCTTGGATATGGTTTAATAATGGTAATAAATAAGGTGTATTAAAAAATGATTTTAACAAAACTTTTTTTAGGCATTAGTTCCTGAAACGTCGGCAGAACATTTATGTGTTACAGTCCCAAGTAGTGGAGTCACCGATGTTCAGGTAATAATCATAAATGAGATATCTTATTTTATTGTATAATGGTAATTAAACATATTAAGTTATATAAATAGAAATAAATAATCCTTTGGAATGATATAAATATAGTAAGATAAGATTCAATTTCATAATTAATTTATTATTTTTTTTTATCAATAGGCACTTTTCATTGAAACGATCGGATCGTTCCTTTTAGTAATGGCTCTTTGTTCAGTTTGGGATCCTAGAATGAAAGGACTTCATGATTCTTTAGCTTTAAAGATTGGTTTAATGCTTTCTGCGATATTTTTAGCAGTTGTAAGTAATTCAAATTGTGTACAAATAAAATAAATAAATATTAATGTTTCTGCATGAATGCTCTTAAAAGAAGCAGAGCATTCTAGCAAGAACTAGAAACATACGGGTTTAGCCGCACGTCTCTCAAGACGGCTAAACCCGAATGTTTCTAGTTCTAGGTCTAGAGTTAGTTCTAGTAACAATGCTAGTGTAAAACTAGAACTAACACTAGACCTAGAACTTGAAACATTCGGGTTTAGCTATGCGTCTTCAGACTTATCTCGTACGAAAATGTAAGTTTTGTTTCAACATTTTTTTTCTTAATATTTTTCCAATCCAACCCATCAATTATTATACACCATTTTAAAGAGAAAGCTTTGAGCTTTAATTTAGAATAAGTCTCATTCCTTAATTTCGATAAACACGGCTTCCAGGAATTTTTAAATTAGCATCTTTTTGACACTTTTAGGTTATACGAAAATGTAAGATTTGTTTCAACATTTTTTTTCTCAATATTTTTCCCATCCAACCCAACAATGATTATACATCATTTTAAAGAGAAAGCTTTGAGCTTTAATTTAAAATAAGTCTCATTCCTTAATTTCGATAAATACGTGTTCCAGGAATTTTTAAATTAGCATCTTTTTTGACACTTTTAGGTTATACGAAAATGTAAGCTTTGTTTCAACATTTTTTTTCTCAATATTTTTCCGATCCAACCCAACAATTATTATACATCATTTTAAAGAGAAAGCTTTGAGCTTTAATTTAAAATAAGTCTCATTCCCTAATTTCGATAAATACGGCTTCCAGGAATTTTTAAATTAGCATCTTTTTTGACACTTTTAGGTTATACGAAAATGTAAGCTTTGTTTCAACATTTTTTTTCTCAATATTTTTCCCATCCAACCCAACAATTATTATACATCATTTTAAAGAGAAAGCTTTGAGCTTTAATTTAAAATAAGTCTCATTCCTTAATTTCAATAAACACGGCTTCCAGGAATTTTTAAATTAGCATCTTTTTTGACACTTCTAGGTTATACGAAAATGTAAAATTTGTTTCAACATTTTTTTTCTTAACATTTTTCCAAACCAACCCATCAATTATTATACACCATATTAAAGAGAAAGCTTTGAGCTTTAATTTAGAATAAGTCTAGTTCTCCAAAATACACTCAGTACACTAATTTACTCAGTGTATTTTAATTCTGTCACAGAGGGTTAAGAAACGCACGGCTAAACCCGAATGTTTCTAGTTCTAGATCTAGTGTTAGTTGTAGTATTAGTGTTAGCTCTAGTTTTAATTGTTATTCAGTATATTTTTATTTAACTAAAACTAGAATTAAGACTATCCATCTTCAGACGCGCAGTATTGTACTAGAAGTTTAATATCTTATTTTATTTGTTATTAGGCACAATTTACTGGAAGTGGATTAAATCCAGCACGTAGTTTAGTCCCAGCTATCTTTCACGGAGTCTGGGACGCACATTGGGTAAAAAAATTATTCTTTCTTTGTTCATAAAGTTATGATAACCCATGTAGTATTTACATTAAGATACGAATGTAAAGTGGATGGTAAACTTTAAATTCTCCATTACAGCATTATTTGCATTACAAATTTTTATCTCACCATGTAAATATTGTTTTGAAAGCTTATCGAAAAATTTATCAAATCGATAAATCCAACTTATTTTGTATCGATATCACATTACATAATTTATTTTTTTAAACTTCTGTATTAATTTGCATTTGTCATCTATTTTTTATTAATTTCATAACGATTTAGTAATAAAATTGATTAATTTTTTTTTTTAGATTTATTGGGTTGGACCGATTTTAGGCGGAGGTTTAATAGCTCCGATTTTGTACCGATTCGTTTTAATGCACGGAATATCCATAGAAGGGAAAGATCAGCAACCGAAAAGTTCCGAAAAAGAACCCGTTATTTAAATAGTATAACAAAATAACTTATTAAGTATTAAATATGTTTATAAATCTACACACGAACTGATGACTCTTGACCGATAACAACATTTTAAATTTTATTTATATCAATGACACCATTATTCATACAAAACGTCCACAATGATTTGTTTATCTCTATTAAGTAAAGAATTGTTTAGTTTTAAGACGATTTACGATAATTATTCCGATTATTTTAATCTAATAATGTTTTGTATTTAGGGTGTAACGAAAAAGTTGGAATGTTTATGTCTAGTAAGTTAATTATTTTAACAAAAAACTTAAAGTTTTAATTAAATTGATTCGTTATTGCTCTAAAACTTACAAATAAAGAAATCTGTAATGTCAGAAACATTTACTACGCTTATTCTATAGTATAACTACGTACATATTTAACCTGTAACAAAAAAAGGATTGAAAAAGTTGTAGAACAACTTTTAAAAGGAATATAACAATACATTTTGCTTCATGTTAACCTGTTTGACTTGTATTCATAGACATTACATAAACAAAAAAATCTACGGAATAAAGATTTCAATGATTATTACATCAAAGATGGAAATAATTGTTAAGTTCTATATTATAGGATAAAAGGGATACGAACTTACTTAAAGTTCCAAATCAGTACTCTATAACAACATTTTGACAGATAAAATGTTAAGATTTTTTCAAGTTGTATCGATGATGTTAAAAATAAAATTGGTTTGCTAAATGCTCATTAAATACTGAACGTTGTCCACTTTTATAACGATGTAGTATTCAATAATTTTTCTTATACAACCATATGGAGCAACGGAACAAAAACAATATAAACAAGCAAACATCGCCAAAAAATGCACCACGATTAATAAAGAAACTTGTATTTGAAACATTTTTCTTTAAAATCACAAATGGCGAAGTTATTGGCTATATTCCAGACATTTGACACACCCTGTATATAATTTTTAATAAATATTAGCAAGTATTTGAAAGTCTGGGTTGGGTTGTACCTCACGATGCTTTACACCTCTCCAACTTTTATCTTTTCGGTGACAATCTTGTACTAAATGGACCGCGTTATGCATCACTTGACTAAGCGACCAATGAACAATGTTGAGAAAAACGGGATTTTCGTTTTCATCTCTCTAAAAATATGACTTCTCAGAATAGACAGGCTCAAACTATTGGAAAATTGCTTGCTGCCTATCTATTTTTATCACAGAACACTGATGACAGCCATCACAAGAACAGAATCCGCTTGGTCAGTCGTTTTGCGATTATACAGGCTGTTTCTGTACGTCGTGGCGTAAATTTAATCGCAAATACTAGAGTCAGAATGATGTTTCGTGTAAAAATTTAAGAAAGAAAAAAAAATAAAAAGAAAGTGCGGATAAGTGACTATTATATGATAACTAACTTCAGGTTTAAAATGTCAATCTCAATTTTGACATATTTGTAATCTTCATTAAAAATCCTTTAAAATGAGTACAAACACGACATATTTATCTTCAATATTAATGAAGTTATGGTCAACTTCCGGTTAGGAATGTCAACGTCAATTTTGACATATTTGTAATTGTCGTGAGAAATCCTTTAAAATGAGTCCAAACATGATACGTTTAATTCCAATATTACTCGAGATATCAGCAACTTCCGATTTGAAATGTCAATGTCATTTTGACATATTCTTAATTTTTATAAAATGTCTTAATATTTGTCATAAAAACAAAAATATATAATAAAAAAAAATCAAAAATTAAGGTTGGTATTAATATTTAAACATTAAATTGCTATCTTCATTGTTGCTAACTTCGGGTTTAATGTTTTTTATTCTAACTTTTTTGTTTTTTGAGATAAGTGCGTCATCTTTGGACTCATTTTAAAGGTTTTTTAATGAAGTTGACAAATATGTCAAAATTAATCGTTGAAAGTTCGAACTTTTTGGATTTTTGAGAGAAATGCGTCATGTTTGGACTCACTAAAAGGTTATTGCTATCTTTATTGTTGCTAACTTCGGGTTTCATATTTTTTATTCTAACTTTTTTGTTTTTTGAGATAAGTGCGTCATCTTTGGACTCATTTTAAAAGTTATTTTATGAAGGTTACGAATATAATGATAAAAGTAAAGTTGACGCTGACAACTAAAAATTTTTTTCACGACTAAACCTGAATGTTTATAGTTCCCGTTCTAGTTTTAGTTCAATAAAAATATAAACCATAGTAATATCTTATGCTAACTAGCGCTACCTATTACTGCCACTAGAACTAACACTAGACCGAGAACTAGAAACATTTGGATTTAGTCCCACGTCTCTTCAGACGACTAAACCCGAATGGTTCTAGTTCTAGGTCTTGTGTTAGTTCTAGTGATAGTGTTAGCGTAAAACTAGAACTAACACTAGACCTAGAACTAGAAAGTATCGGGTTTCTAGTTTTAGTGCAATGAAAATATGCAACATAGTGATATCTTATTCATTTATTCTATTCATGTATTTTTTCTATTGTAGAATTTTTTGGTGTATCTAAGTGTCGTATCTAAGTCGGTTCTTAGACGTATGATGCAAATCGGACTTGAAATCGTATAACGTGATTGGTGCTTAGCTTTATCCTTTAATACAAATGGTATTTTAGGTCTTTCGGTATTCTGCATTTTTTCTAAGATGCACCAGACTGTATGAAAATCTCTAAAAACGATAAAATGTCGCTGTATAACGCAGTCCAAATATTCCACAGCTTCTTGATGGAGCGTGTTTTTACGAATTTCTGCCAATGTCTACTGAATTTCTATTTAATAAGCGTTTGAGCCTCGGCCAGAACTCTTTTTATTTCGTTTAGTCTGTTTTCATTTATTCTTGCACCTTCACTCTTTGCAGCTATGTGTTGATATCATTATTAACCCGTTATTGGGACAGTGTTGAAGGTGCACCGAACCTTCAGGCACTTTCCAGATAAAGGCTGTGGAAAGCAAAACAGAAGCTCCTAGATACCTGCTTGCCGAATTCGTGGCTGCCTCAAGGCGATACAAAATGCAACCGTGACATTAATCTAAAGCAAAATCATCTTATCAGACAAACCTTGTATCAATATGGTATAAAAACTTAGCGCCTCGGCCGCAAGCGACCTCGGCGAATTTGCGCGAAATCATGTATTTTATAGTTTAAACTTGAGCGTACTGCAATCTGAAACAAAATCGTTTATCTTAAAATTTTATCAGACAACTATTAGATAGACTTTGTATTAATGTGGTATCAAACCTAGCGCCTCGGCCGCAAGCGACCTCGGCGAAATCACATAAAATCGTACATTTTTCGTGTTAAAACACAATCTGTGAGACAAAGTATCAAAAATCTTATAAAGTTGTCAATTTTATCATTGGTATCGATATGGTTTCGAAGGTAGCGCCTCGGCCGCAAGCGACCTCGGCGAAATTATATATTTTTCGGCTTAAACCTGAGTGCATTGTAATCTCAAGCAAAATCGTTCATCTTAAAATCTTATCAGACAACTATTAGATAGTCTTTGTGTCAATGTGGTATCAAACCTAGCGCCTCGGCCGCAAGCGACCTCGGCGAAATCGTACATTTATCGTGTTAAAACGCAATCTGTGAGACAAAGTATCAAAAATCTTATAAAGTATTCAAGTTTTGTATCGATACGGTTTCAAAACTAGTGCCTCGGCCGTAAACGACCTCGGCGTAAACAAACACAATCGTGCATTTACCATGTTTTATTTTAATCAACAATATAAATGATTAAAAAAACCTATTTGCTTTTTTCAAATTAAATCGGCACGTGTAACTCAATCTTTATAAAAAATTCATTAATGGAAATGAAAGAAACCCTTTCAGATACTTTTTCAGTCATTTTCTAGCTTTCTTAAAACAATCATTGTTGCAATCTTAATCACCAGTAAATTACCGTAATGATGTGGTTTAAAGCGGTTGTAGAACCTTTTGTAAATCTGCAAGAAAACAAATTAAGTGAGTATTAAAATCGATAACCTTCGATAAACCCTGTTAACTCTTTCATCTTAGCTTATTTCGCAATCGCCATCATTATTAGGTCGATTACGAAATAGGTTCTTCAAGTTTGAAATGTAAAAGTGCAAAATCCAAGAAACGAGCTCCCGGTTTATTATAAGTAGATTGCAGTGTGTTGTATTTAACATATTCAATGCCCCACCACGATACACACTATTTTTTTTTATTTTGAAACGGCACCCAAACGTGTATCTCATTCGATACGCTTCGGTCGAAGTGTTCGAACGCATTAAGTAGTTTTCAAATTTTAATAATAATTATTTTTGAATTAAATTTAAATGATAAAGAATTAACTATTGACAAAAAATTATATATAAGAAAAGAGTGATTTTTGTTTTTTAAATTTTTTCGGAAAAAAAATAGTTTAAAAATGCCGGGTAAGTTTAAAAAGCATTTTTTGAATTATTTTTAAGTTTTTTTTATATTTAATTAATTTGTATATGTAAAAAAAGATATTCAAAAGTAATTTGTTTATCAAAGCGATTTTAATAACTACCTATTTTGACAGTTAAAGTGGAAAACAATTCATTTTTAATGTGTTTACCTTGCCACTTCCAGATATTTTTATTTTTACCATCAACTATTCTGTTTAAACAATTAAACTTAACTTAATGTCTCAGATGAGATTATTAAAGTAGCTACCTTTTGATGTTTTATGTACTTTCAGGATGTTTTTGTCATTTTCAGTTTTTAAAGCTAATAAAATTTCAAATGCCACTTTAACAATAGGTTTAACTTGACTTTTTGACCTGTTTTTATTTTTTACCTTCTTTTTAGTAACCATTTTTGAATTAAATCAAAATAAGCAGGACAAAAAAGAAATTGTAGTTGAGATTTAAACGAGAGCAATGTAACATTTACCTGAAATTACAAAACAAAAAATTTCAAGGTTTTAGGTCACAAAGTAGATTTAAATTCGATAAAGAACTTCTGTTTTAATATGGGTTGGGTTATTATCTTAAATAATTCTTCTTTTTATTTATTAATACAAAACTATTTTGAAAGAAAAACAAAAATAAATAACATTTTCGTAAAGATAAGAAAATTTTAACCTAATTTCATGTATCACACCCTATATGTGTCATAAAATTCGCTTTTAAGATCATAGATGGCACTATTTATTAGTGTTTTGTTTTCGGCCATCTTGATTTTATAAAAATTAAGATATCTTGGGTGTTATAACACCTAGATATATCGAGTTTGGACTCATTTAACATGCTTTTTAATCATCAACCGCAATATTTATGAATCATTTGTTTTCGGCCATCTTGGATTTTTTTTAAAATGTAAAAATTAAGTTTACTGGATAAATAAGTCGGGTTTGGATTTATTTTTTGATTAATATGTAATCTTCACAAAATTTGCTTTAATTTGAGTACAAACACGGCATATTCAGCTTTAAAGATAACCGAGATTTGAGCTACTTCCGGTTCTTACTTAAAACATTAATTTTGTGTAATTAATTAATTTTCGAAAAAAATCCTACAAATTAAGTATAAGCACGATGATGTTATCGCAAAAATTAAACATGATTTTGACATTTTTAAGGTTATTATTTTTTCAAAAACATAAAAAGAATAAGATTTTCGCAAAGATCAGAAAATTCTAGCCTAATTTGATGTATAACACTCTATATCTATTACTAAATTGATAATTACAAATCTAGGTGGCGCTAAGTCATTTCGGCCATCTTGAATTATTAAAATTAATTTATCTTGGGGGTTATTACAGTTAGATATGTCGTGTTTGGACTCATTTCACTTGTTTTTTAATTATCTATAACAATATTTATAAATAATTTATTTTCGGCCATTTTGGATTTTGAAAAAATGTAAAAATTGAAATATCTCGGAAAGTTTAATAGATAAATCGGTCGTGTTTGGGTTCATTTTAAAGAATCTCAAAAATTAAAGGTGATTTTCATATTTTCATAACCTTAAAAATGCCTAAAATTTTTCAAAAACACAAAAGAATAAGATTTTCGCAAAGATCAGAAAATTCTAACCTAATTTGATATATAACACTCGATATCTATTATAAAATTCGTAATCACAATTATAGATGGCGCTAACTAATAATTTTGATATCGGCCATCTTGAAATTATAAAAATTAAGATATCTTGGGAGTTATTACAGTTAAATATGTCGAGTTTGGACTCATTTCAGTTGTTTCTTAATAATCTATCATAATATTTAGGAATCATTTGTTTTCGGCCATCTTAGATTTTTTTGAAAAATGTAAAAATCGAAATATCTCGCAAATTTGTTTGCATAACACTCTATTAACATTGTAAAATTGATAATTACAAATGTAGATGGCGCTCAGCAAAAATTTTGATTTCGGCCATCTTGAATTTATAAAAATTATATATCTTGGGTGTTATAGCTTCTAGATATGTCGAGTTTGGACTCATTTTAAATGTTTTTTAATAATCTATCGTAATATTTAGGAATCATTTGTTTTCGGCCATCTTGTATTTTCAAAAAAATTTAAAATTGAAATATCTCGCAAAGTTTAAAAGATAAATAGGTCGTGTTTGGATTCATTTTAAAGGATTTTTTATAAAGATTAATAATATGTAATACAAAATATACGTTAATAATAAGCTATTAATATCTATTTCGAGTACCAACGCATCCCATCTCCATTCAATGTTATTATAATATTTATCTCGCTGCAGCATACAATGATTTTATTATTCAGAATGTAGAATTAGTCTATTTTAAAAATTAAATTGTATTTTTTAAGACTCGTTTGTGTAGGATTATTTAAATGCAATTTATTCCAATGTCATTGGTTTATTTGCAAGTTTTGAATCTTGAATAAAGTTTTGAAAAAATAAATTAAACATAAAAAATTGCGGCGAACTGGTTTATGTGTTGCCATAAATTTCAAGTAATAAGGAATGTTTCTGAAAAACGTTTTGGATCTTCTCCAAGTGAAAAAAAATAAACATTATCTATCTTTTTAGCTTCTTAATAATTTTTTTCCTACTTTACGTAAATTGTAATCGCAAAAATAGGTAGAAACATTAACCTTAATTGTTAAATTGATACGTGAGAATCGCAGGCATTGCTGAGCAGGAAACAATTAAAAATTGCAACGTTTCTTCGCAATTGCAATTTATCCGGAACTCAAATTTACTAATTATTATATTTTTATTTGTTTCGAAGAGCCTATTTCATTCAAATTTGCTATGTTTTCTTGTTGACTTATTAACACATTGAAAAATACATCAAATCAAATCAATATTTATTTTTAACATTCACCACAAAATTTGTTTAAACAAATTTATTCATCTCCAACAAAAATAATATTGATTTATTTGGAATCCATGAAACATTGCCGATTAGTTTAAACAAAAAATGTTAACCTGTTTGACATTTTTAATATTAAATACCTTGCTGAGCAGGCACATTCCACAACATGATTATAAATGCAGAAATCGTATGGCTTGTAGAAACGAGCGATTCATGCTGTCTAAAACTTGTCTTTAGACATTAACTTACTTATTACAAAATGATTTAATACTAGATAAGTCAAAATTAAAATTACACATATTATATAATAGATTTTTGTTGGAAAATCGTAAAGTGCAATAACGTGCGTAAAGGCTCCTCCAGAAATAAATCCGTCCACCCGTATAAATACTGACGAGAAAACGTAAAATCTATCCATTGACGTAGAAAGGCTAATTTAAAATTAGAAACTAACCGGGGGTATAAACTCCCATTTATTGTTGGTATCTTCACATCAAATTAATTCAAATAAACCACTCAAATCTAAGTACAATTTCAAATCGAAATTAAAAGTAAATACTAAATTCTAAATGTTAATAATGATTGAAGTACGTGTAATTAACGTAAAATAATTTAACATGTATAGATGAATTTTTAAAAGCCATTTTAAGTGCGTGCAGGTAAAGTATGTTTTAGCAAACACGTTAGATACTATTTTAAAACAGTCTAAAGTTTTCACTGCATACACAACAACCTTCGCGAGGCTTTTGAATAACGAGAGCGGTAACTTCTAATATTATCACATAATGATACTTTATAAATATTTCATATTCTCGGGTTAAAAATAATTTGTCATAAATGCTAACTGCGTAAATTTAAAGAAGTAATCGATTCAATGTTAAATTTGCGTGAAATTCGGTTATGAAAATCTAAATCGTTTATCTTTGTATAGCATGCTGTTTATAGAATTAATTTGGAATCGATTATATTATTAACCTAATATAATTTGATAAAAATGTTATTTGGGTAAATTTGGAAAGTTATATTCATTTATAATCAATTATTTACAAATATTGTCTAATTAAAATTTTCTTATTGTAAAAGATGCTGCTAAAAGATTTTACTAGGAGTATCTTTCTAGTTCAAAAACTTCATATAAATACTCATCGATTCAATTTAAGGAGTAATATAGAAGTTATAGCGAAGATAACGAAGATATCTTTAATTTTTAGGTATTTTGTTCACTTCAACACTTTATCTTCTATATCTCCAAATCAGTTGCATATAGAGTATTCACCAACAGAACATTTTTTGCTCGAAATACTTCAGTGTATTCATAAACACACCCATCATATTAATTTAAAGAACGCTGTAGATATTATAAGAACAATAATGAAGATATTGCTGTTTTGTCGATTTTTTTTCTCTTTTTAACACAAAATCATTTTTATCTCCGAACTGATTGCTGATAGAGTATTCATTAAGACAACCTTTTTTGTTCAAAATACTTCAATTAATACATTAACTTACCCACCATATTAATTTAAAGAGTAGCTCAGAAGTTATAGGAAAGAACATAAAGATATCTCGATTTTACCGATTTTCGTTCTTTTTCACATAAAATGTTGTTTATTTCAAAATCGGTTGCTGATGGAGCATTCACTAATAAACTTTTTTTCTTCGAAATACTTCAGTGTATTCATAAACATACCCATCATTTTAATTTAAAGAGCGGTGTAGATGTTATAAGAACAATAATAAAGATATTGCTGTTTTGTCGATTTTTTGCTCTTTTTAACACAAAATCATTTTTATCTCCGAACTGATTGCTGATAGAGCATTCATTAAGAGAACTTTTTTTGTTCAAAATACTTCAATTAATGCATTAACTTACCCACCATATTAATTTAAAGAGTAATGCAGAAGTTATAGGAAAGAAAATAAAGATATCGCGATTTTACCGATTTTCGTTCTTTTTCACATAAAATCTTGTTTATTTCAAAATCAATTGCTGATGGAGCATTCACTAATGAACTTTTTTTCTTCGAAATACTTCAGTGTATTCATAAACAATCCCATCATTTTAATTTAAAGAGCGATGTAGATGTTATAAGAACGATAATAAAGATATTGCAATTTTGTCGATTTTTACTTCTTTTTAACACAAAATCATTTTTATCTCCGAACTGGTTGCTGATAGAGTATTCGTTAAGACAACCTTTTTTGTTCAAAATACTTCAATTAATACATTAACTTATCCACCATATTAATTTTAAAAAAAGCACAGAAGTTATAGGAACGAAAATAAAGATATCTCGATTTTACCCATTTTCATTCTTTTTCACACAAAATCCTGTTTATCTCCAAATCGGTTGCTGATAGAGCATTCACTAAGAGCACCTTTTTTCTTCGAAATACTTCAGTGTATTCATAAACATACCCAACATTTTAATTCAAACACCGGTGTAGATTTTATAACCGCGATAATAAAGATATTGCTGTTTTGTCGATTTCTTGCTCTTTTTAACACAAAATCATTTTTATCTCCGAACTGGTTGCTGATAGAGTATTCATTAAGAGAACCTTTTTTGTTCAAAATACTTCAGTTAATACATTAACTTATCCACCATATTAATTTTAAAAAAAGCGCAGAAGTTATAGGAAAAAAAATAAAGATATCTCGATTTTACCCATTTTCATTCTTTTTCACACAAAATCGCCGATACATCATTTCACTAAGAGTACCATTTATTTCATTAAATACATTTTTTTTTATTTTCAGGAAATAAAATAGTAGTAAACGACAATTCCAATACAGCCGAAAGAGTAATCAAATTTTTCGGCGAATTCTTCGGTACAGCAGTTTTGGTGTTTTTGGGTTGCCAAGGATGCGTTAAATTGACAGCAATCGGCCAACCTCATGAGTCAATAGCCTGGATTTTCGGTTTAGCCGTGATGGTGGCGATTCAGGTAACCACAACAATTATCGTATTTATTCCTGCGATATCGCCCCATAAATTCCTGAATCTGATTATTGATTCGATAAACACCGAATAAGAAAAAACAAATAACCCGATAATTCGTAAATAACGAATCGATTTCAAAACGGTTACGGGTTCTTCAAATAACCTTAATCGACGATGATAGCGAACAACAATGTGTAGATCACAAGGTCCAGATAAACAACAATCCGTACCTGTTGCCAAGAGTTCTAAATTTAGGTGCAGAAAGTTCGGTCGAAACACAAAATTTGTGTAATCAGTTTTCGTCGATTTTCATCTCGATTGATAAAACCAACAAGATTGACGAAGTTAAGAATTTTTTAGAAGGAGTAGAACAAACATGTTTTTTAAGTCGTGAGGGTTTGATCAATAAGGATTCCTTCTCCTAATTTTAGTAAATGGAAAAACAATCTGTAACTAACTCAAATTATAAATAGAAAGAGATTTCGACTTCTTTTTAGTTGCTATTAGAGGTTGAAAAAAATTTAAACGGTTTCGTTTTTAATTTTGGATATATGAACTTTGTGATGGCGCCTTGAGACGAAACGAAACGAAACGTTTGAACTTTATCCAAAAGGGAAGGTCTGAAAATATACGAATGAAAACGTAAATTTGTAACACTTTTAAACGTGACATAATTTTGTATTTACTTGTATTATTCATTTAAAATTTCGTTTTAGATTTTAACATAGAATTTTTTATTTTGTAGTGTTTTGGTCACGTTTCCGGTGGTCATATCAACCCTATAGTAACATTAGCTGCTGCTATCTTAGGGCATTTACCTTTATTGTTAGTTCCGATTTATTTTTTGGCTCAATTTTTGGGGGCTTTAGCCGGATACGCCACTTTAATGGTAAGTAATCGATGATTATTCGCAACAAGCGTCCCTGAACTACATGGTAATTTACTTAGTTGTTATTCAACAAGTTCTTGCCATTAAACGCGAAACTCTACACATTTAAATTAAAGCATTTTTAACCTTGAACTAATTTATAGGCTATGACTCCACCTGGAATTTTAAAAGGCCCCGAAGCTGCAGTAGGAACTTGTTCCCCAGCTTTTGGCCCGGGAATCACCGCCCCACAAGCTTTATTAAACGAATTCGTCCTCTCTTTCATCCTAACATTAACGTGTTGTGCTGTTTGGGATTGGAGGAATACGGATAAACATGATTCTGTGACTCTTCGTCTTGGATTTATGATCACTGTTTTAGCAATGGCTGGTGTAAGTAAAATAAAATTTAATTTTGATCTTATTTAATTAATTCATTATATTTATAGGGACCTTATTCTGGTGCTAACATGAATCCGGCAAGAAGTTTTGCCCCGGCTTTATTAAACGGAGATTGGGCCGGTCATTGGGTATATTGGGTTGGTCCGTTAAGTGCTGGAGCAGCTGCAGCTATCTTGTACAGGTTTGCTTTTACAAAATCTCAACCGGAAAAAACGAGGACACCTGAAGGAATCCCATTAAACGAAAAGGCTTAAAATTCAATTTATTTTTATGAAAAATGTTTATTAAAATTGTAAAATCCGAACGGAGTTTTAACCTATTCAGGTACAAATCAATTTTTTAACGTTATTATCATTCGAATAGAGTTAGTTTGTATAAAATGAAATGATCGCATCTTGTATATAACTGTTAAATAAAATAAATATAAATACTTATCTAATGTTAAGTGGAAATTTTTTGTTTTATTTGAAGTATTTAGAACAAGTTGTTTAAATATCAACGAATACCTGACTAAAATAAACGTTATCAAAGGTATTTAAGTTATTCCTGTTAAATATTACACCTTAAGATGGTTTCTATATCCTTTTTTATGTAAAGATCTAAAATTACGTCATCTTAAAAATTGGACAATTTTGAACACTTTTTTCTTAAAAACTAAATATAATTTTGAAAAACGGTTTCTTCCTCTAGAAAGTGTTTACTTTTCGTTATTACATAAGCTAGACATTACACATTTTTAAATAAAATAATAATAATTAACTTAAAAAGTTTATTAACACAATTTAAGACCTTTCCGTTCATTAATACGAAGAGTATAACACACACATCGAACAAGATTCTTCAATTAATACATTAACTCACCAACCATATTAATTTAAAGAGTAATGCAGAAGTTATAGGGAAAAAAATAAAGATATCTCGATTTTACTGATTTTCATTCTTTTTCACACAAAATCCTGTTTATCTCCAAATCGGTTGGTCATAGAGCATTCACTAAGAGAACTTTTTTTCTTCGAAATACTTCAGTGTATTCATAAACATACCCATCATTTTGATTTAAAGAGCGGTGTAGATGTTATAAGATCGATAATAAAGATATTGCAATTTTGTCGATTTTTACTTCTTTTTAACACAAAATCATTTTTATCTCCGAACTGGTTGCTGATAGAGTATTCATTAAGAGAACCTTTATTGTTCAAAATACGTCAATTAATTTATTAATTTACCCACCATATTAATTTAAAGAGTAGCGCAGAAGTTATGGGGAAAAAAATAAAGATATCTCGATTTTACCGATTTTCATTCTTTTTCACACAAAATCCTGTTTATCTTCAAATGGGTTGCTGATAGAACATTCACTAACAACACTTCTTTTCTTCGAAATACTTTAGTGTATTCATAAACATACCCATCATTTTAATTTAAATAGCGGTGTAGATGTTATAAGAGCGATAATAAAGATATCGCTGTTTTGTCGATTTCTTGCTCTTTTTAACACAAAATCATTTTTATCTCCGAACTGGTTGCTGATAGAGCATTCATTAAGACAATATTTTTTGTTCATAATACTTCAATTAATACATTAACTTACCCACCATATTAATTTAAAGAGTAGCGCAGAAGTTATGGGGAAATAATAAAGATATCTCGATTTTACCGATTTTCATTCTTTTCGCACAAAATCCTGTTTATCTCCAAATCGGTTGCTGATAGAGCATTCACTAAGAAAACTTTTTTTCTTCCAAATACTTCAGTGTATTCATAAACATACCCATCATTTTGATTTAAAGAGCGGTGTAGATGTTATAAGAACATCTTTCCAGTGCTTTTCTATTCGGAGTTTCTTTCTTCTATAGTACTTTCCAGTGCTCTTGTCTATTCTGCATATCTATAATCTGTAATCATTAGCTATCTAATTGCAAATTCATAGTTCTTTTGAGAGCAATAACTTTTATTTTGAGTCAAACCCCAAAACATAACAACATGAACATGTTAAAAACAATACCAGTGGGCAATGTTACGAAATATATATTAAAAAAATATAGTTATATCTAAATAGCTTTTTAATAGATTGGTGTAGCAGCGGAGTTAGGTTTCAACATCATCAACTCCAGGCTCTGGTATTTGAAAAAGTGCTCTGTAGAACACTGATCCTATTATACCACCCATTAAAGGTCCAACATAATATATCTAAAAAAATATATATCTAAATATCATCTAAATATATATCAAAAAATGCAAGTATGAAATTGTTATAAAAAAATCTATTTATTACCCAGTAAAAATCATCGAAGAAGTGATTATTTACAGATGGACCCAATGCTCTAGCTGGATTCATAGATGCTCCAGATATAGATGCCTATAATACATTATTATTAAAACTATCTTTGCGATTAATATAAAAAGTGCGAAAAAATGTAGTAATTTTTACTTGCCCCAGCTAAATATAAACCAGTAATAACCAAACCGATCCGAGCTGAAACTGAATCAAGTCGATCTCTGTTGCGCCAATCATAAGCAGCCCCGATAGCAACAACCCATAAAAATGTTAGAAAAAACTCGCAAAGACAGGCTGGATAATCTCCTACGTATGAGCCTTTTATAGGACAACAACATGGAACACCTTTTACAGACACGTAGTTATTTTCATCATCCTTCGAAAGTATTATCTATACGAAAATATTAACATTTCAAAAACATAAAAATAAATTATTTTGAAGAACAAACCATCATCAACGCATGTCCTGCAATTCCTCCAACGAACTGACCGATTATATATAGCGGTAAATCTATTAAAGCGTTTCGACCCATTATAAATAATCCGATGGAAACTGCCGGGTTTATATTCGCTCCAGAAGTATTTATGAAAGTCTAGAATTAAGAGTACATTTGCAAAGTAATGAAAATATGTCCCTTTGTGATTTTTTTTTACTTCAATCGCCACCATTGCTCCAAATCCAAACGCAAAAGCAATCTGTATTTTAGATTCAAGTAAAACATCGGCCATACAACCAAGGAACACCAGTATGGCGGTTCCTAAGAGTTCCGCAAAAAATAGTCTTAACAATCGTACCACGTTAATATCCTCGTATATTTTCCATCTATAATCTAAAACGTAAATAATCGGTTATGTTGGATCAAAAACTTAATTCAACTTAACTTTTTATAGAAATGTACTGTTTCATTATATTTATTCGTTAGTTAGATAGTTCACATTAATGACATTTTCGGTCGAAATTATATTGAGGAGTAAAAATTAAATTCATTTGATTGACGTTTTGATATTTATTTCTTTTTTTTGATTATGTCAAAACAAAGATTATATGATTGTACAGTTTTGCAAAAAAATTCCAAACAATATCATGACTATCATCACAATATGAAGACTACCACAATATAATTAAAAGTTTTAGGTTAATATAATCTCAATCACTGAGCCTCGGCTTAATTACTCAAAAGATCTATAAGTCTAAGTCTGTTGATGAGTAGTCGAGGCCGCTTATGGCCGAGGCGCTACAATATAATGACCAGATTTAGATTAATATAATGATCAACATTTTTCCAAGATTCTTTCAAACCAAAATTTTCAAAATCGTAATATTGTACGTCATAAAATGATTATATATGTCAATGAACCTTCAAACATTGTTTAAAAAAATTATTTCTTATCTTATATATTCGATATTAACGTGTATTACATACAATAAATCCTATTCATTTGGTGTTCAAATACAAATAAGTGGAATAAGAGAAGGTAGACCATGCAATGAAACCGAATTTTCATATTACGTTTATTTACAAATAATGTATGGATTGAATTCGGTAAAATCTTGTGGTGGATCGCTTATAAGTCCGAATGCCGTGCTAACCGCCGCTCATTGTTGCTACAAAGGGATTAATGTGACCGCTTATAGCAATTTAAAAAAAGGAGGTTGGACGTATGACCAACAAAAATTTAGTTCAAAAATCATCATCCACCCGCTATTTAGATCGTTTGCTGGAGGAATTTTGTTTGATGTCTGCGTTATACTCTTCGATGAACCTTTCGAAATAACGAACACAACAAAAGTTGTCCAATTAGGCGGTAGCGATGTGTTTAATGAGTTATTAACCGGCGATAAAACCGTCTATATAGCAGGATATGGTCGCAACGAATATCAATGCAATAACTCCGAACGAATTCCACACGAAAAATGGAATTTGCAATGCGCAGAAACCAACGTTGTCACTCAATCGGGGTGTTATTCAATTTTATATCAAAATAGTGCGGCGAGATACTTTAATGATGAACTGATATTTTGTTCGATACCTAGTGAAAGCCAAGGAATCGATTCTAAAGGTGATAGTGGCGGTCCGGTTATATATGAACGAAGAGTTCAAGTGGGAATTATTTCTTGGGGTTTAGGACCGTGTTCAAGAAATTTATCCGTTTATTGTAGAGTAGATGCTAATCGATATTTTATAGAAAGAGCGGCTAGTAGTGTATTAATGAACGGAAAGGTCTTAAATAGTATGATTATTGTATTAATAAACTTTTTAAGTTAATTGTTTTTAAAATGTATGATGTGTAGCTTATAATATGTATAATAAAGAAAAGTGTTTACTTTTTTGGGAAGCCCCGAAATTAATATGGTGGGTAAGTTAATACTCTATCAGCAACCAGTTCGGAGATAAAAATGATTTTGTGTTAGAAAGAAGTAAAAATCGACAAAATTGCAATATCTTTATTATCTTTGAAAAATAAAACTGTATTTAATACTCCAATATATTATTTATTGTTGACTCTACCGGTTGCGGCTTAAGCCATCATCAGGAGTCTTGTCAAATATAGGTTAGGAATTTCATTCGGTATTAAATTTGAAGATTTATGTTGTTTTCCAACTTTAAACGGGCTCGTATATTTTATGTTAACTAATTTGTAATTAAATGCCTGAATAAGAATATATACTAACGAAACAACCATACCAGAAAAGTCGAAAAGTAGCGGCCAGAGAATCACGTTGCATTGAGAACATTTGGATTATGTTTTTAAATATAACCCAAATAACATTAAAATAACATTAAGTTTCGGGTTTAGCCGCACGTCTCTCAAGACGGCTAAACCCGAATGATTCTAGCTCTAGGTCTAGTGTTAGTTCTAATGATATAAAACTGGAACTAACACTAGATCTAGAATTAGAAACATTCGGGTTTAGCCGCACGTCTCTTAAGATGGCTAAACCCGAATGATTCTAGTTTTAGGTCTTGTGTTAGTTCTACTGATAGTGTAAAACTAGAACTAACACTAGATCTACAACTAGAAATAACCCGAAACTTTCTAATTGTGTAGTTCTAAGTCTAGTGTTAGTTCTAGGTTTAATTGTTATTCAGCGATAGATTGTTGTATGATTTAGCCGTTTTAAGAGAGGTTGCAGGAAAGACACGACGAGATAGAGCACAGAACAGCCGTATTTGAGAAGAGCTCAATATGTTGCTGAAATTAATACAGGCCGAGAGGATGATCGAAGTTAAACCGAGAACAACATAGGAAGAGACAGATATAGATTGCGCTAGTCTGGCAAGTCTTGCTGAGGAGGGAAAAATTCAGAAAATGAGATCCCCAACGTCACGTTAGGGGGCACTCTAGGCAGTGCCGGCGCTAGCAAATGAAGCGCCAGGGTGCGGGAACCGGAGTCTCCCCCCCCCCTAAGCATTTTGGCGGAATGGGGAGCGCCCAAAATGCGGGGGAAAAATTAAAAATTCATTTTAATTTAAAAAAATTATAAAATGCATTTTAATTAAAAAAATATATATAATCAAAGAAATATAAATAAACTTAAAAAAGAAAATACTTCAGCAAAAATTTAAGAACTATACTGGTGAAAAACCAAACTTAAGGGAATAGTCAGGAATACTCTGGTCAGAAGGTTAATTTGCAAGAAAAAGTCTGAAATTGCAATAGTTATAAACTAGACTTCAGCAAAAAACAGGAATTACATTGTTCAAAGTCCATATGAAGTCTGAAATTACTGTTCAGAGAAAACAAAAAATTGATTATAAACCAAACATGATTTTTCATGGCAATATTTATGTGTTCAATAAAAAAATGCGAGGAATATGAATAAGAAACCAATGGCCCATTGTTATTGCACAGGAAATCACCAATACGGAAACTTTGCCAATGCAGGATAAGCACAAAAGCAAAGTAACAGCTGCAGAAATGAGGTACCGGGTGGTACAAGGTCCGTATAGATAATAAGAGGCTCCCAAAAAGATGATGATAGACACTCAGAAAGAAGTAGCTGTTAGTATCAAGAATGAAACATACATAACGTTGGCAGAAGACTAGATACTTCTAAAAAACAAAATACTGCTTTCTGAAGACTAGATACTGCTCTGGAAGATCAAATACTGCTTTCTGAAGATTAGATATTGCCGACAGGTCTAAATACAGCATCTAGAACACTAAATACTGCTTTCTAAAAACTAAAATTGCTTTGTGGAGACTAAATACTGCTTTCTGAAGACTGGATACTGCTGACAGGTCTAAGTACTGCAAAAGAAAGATAAGATATTGTTGGAGAAAACATACATAACGTTAGCAGAAGACTAGATACTGCTTCTAGAAAACTAAATACTGTTTTCTGAAGACTAGATACTTCCGACAGGTCTAAATACAGCGTCTGAAACTAAAATATTGCTTTCTAAAGACTAAAATTGCTTTGTGGAGACTAAATACTGCTTTCTGAAGACTAACTACTGCTTACAGGTCTAAATACTGCAAAAGAAAGATAAGATATTGTTGGAGAAAACATTAAAAAGGCGCCAGCGCCCCCTTTTAGGCGGCACCCCTTGCATCCCCCGGTAGCGCCGCCTCTGACTCTAGGGAAGAGAAAGAAAAAGAAGGCCGCTTGTTCTATTAAAAAAAGATATTAATATAAAAAAACTATATTTCAATTGTGTATTATTAACAAAATAAAATTGGTTTGATGTTTTTTTCGAGAAGAAAATGCTTTAAGTGTACAATAGTCTTATCTCCTAACTTAATAAATCATTAAATATTCACAATAATAAATGTAATAATATTATATAAGACGTAATATTTCAAACAGTAACCAATGAGGTATCAGATAACCAGATAATTTAATTAGTTACCTAATATATTAGTCTAATACATAAAATAATCTTATAAACAACAATAAAACACACAGTCATAAAAGGGGGGCAGTATCACTTGTGAATTGCAGTTTTTCTTTTTTAATAAAACAAAAAATTGAGATTTTTTCAACATTTTAACAAGGAATAATAAAAGTTTGATCAAAATGAAAAGTTAAAACGCGTTAAAAACTGTTCAATCACATACCAACACCAATGAATTCGATTTTAGAGCAATATTTGTACCTAAAACTTAAAATTTAATATCTTAACATAATAAAAATATTATTGCCAATGTTTCATTTTGCTGCGATGTGCGTGTAAATAACCGTGACTTTTAAACCTTCTTTTACAAACATTACAACTAAAATCTTGATGTAAAAATTGATTTTTTAATTGTGGACTAATAAACGGATGATTTCTCGTTCTACACCTATAATTTTGGGGCGAAAATCCGCGGTGTTTTTTAAATTTAACCGTAAATTCTTTTAATAATTCTAATGATGATTGATTTTGTTGATCTAAAGGCGAATAACATTGATTATTACTGCTACTACCTGGATTTGATTGATCACAATCTGTATGCCCTAAATAAGGATGTGATAAAGTATGAATATCTCCTTCTGTTTTAATATTTTCGATTTTTATATGATCTGACGTCGTCGGATAATTATATTCGTAATCGTTATCGTATTCATCGTCGTAAATTTCTTTTTTTATATTTATATCTGGTTCAATTATGACTTCTTCGAATTTAACTTGCGATTCGGGGCAAGGTTTTAACATCTCCTCGAAGTCGTTTTCATCTAACCACCGTTCGGATTCGTCCAAAACGGCGTTAACATTATCGTGAAAATGAGAAAAATTAATACGAAAATAATTATTCACAAAATCAGTTAATTTATCTAAAGGAGTTGGATCGTATTTAATACTTTCAATTTGATTATTTTCAAGTTTGTAACCGTAATTATAAAACTTTGTAAAATTTATTAAAGGTTTTAAACCGTTTATATTAAAACTAACTAATTGGGATTTAACTTTTTTCTCTTTCTTCTTATCATCTTCGATTTTCGTTAAAAGTTCTTTTAGCAACGAACACCTTATTCCTTTCGATACGTATTTTCTTTGCATTTTAGGTAGTTGTTGGGGGGATAATTTCGGCATGGATACTTTAACTTGGGAATTTTCGAAGATTTTCGACGCTTCATTTTCCGAGTTACCCAAAATCTCGCTTAGATAATTCTTTAGTACCGAAGTCGATTTGCAACACATCAAATTAAAATCGTACGATATTCGTAACTTTACGATACATTTTTCGCATATAAAAGCCGACCAACTATCCATTTCCAACACCTGCGAATTAAAAACGAAGAAAAATCAATATGACAGATACACCTCAAAAAAAAATTAAAAAATTTATTTACCATCCTCGTACAACTTTTTAATTTAACACTATAACTTATCGCATCATAATCGCGATTATCGATGTGCGTTAATTTTTCGTCGCTAGTTACGCATACGCGACAAAAATTCGATAGAAAATACATTTTTTTGGTCGCGTCCCGAAGAACCTACTTTCTATAAATGTCAGTCATAACTATCAAATGTCAAGATGTCACTTGTCAGTTTCATATCCAGCGTAACCAAACTTGAAAAACGAACGTAAATAAATCTTGTCAGGGGCGCCAATACAAAATGAGGAGAAATTTAGTGAGATTTAGTAATATTTCGTTTTATAACTAAGTCGTCTTGTTGTTCCTGGTTAATGATGACGTGAGCCAACGTGTCAAAATTTAACGCTTGTCGACGTCGAATTCGCCGTCAAATAGATTTCAACAGTCTTTGTAGCAACACATCTGGTTTATTTATTAAAAAAGTTCAATTAAATCTTTTTTATAATGGTAAGTTATTAATTTTTTTTAATTAAAAAAGGTTGATTTATATCGTTGTTAATTTAACCTCAAAAAATTCTTTTAGCCAGCTTCCCCGAGTTCAACAAATGTTGGTTCATCAACTCGATCACCAGCAAAAGCAGCCGTACCAAGATCCGGAGGAGGTACAACCGTAAAACAAAGGAAAAGTACAACAACAACAACTAGTAGAGCTCGTACAGCTGGTGGTGGTGCTGGTTCGGTTGGTATGTGGAAATTCTACACGGATGATTCACCTGGAATTAAAGTGTAAGTCTCTTTACATTAATATTTTCTAAAATAATTAATTTTAATTATTATTTTAGTGGCCCAGTTCCTGTATTGGTGATGTCCTTGTTGTTTATTGCTTCAGTGTTCATGTTGCACATTTGGGGGAAATACACGAGATCGTAGGTTAAGAATCTTTTATGAAAAATCATTCCGTTTCTAAGTTTGTTATTTAAAATATATTTGCCCCATTGACTTAAAAAACGATTTTTTTTGGAAGTAAAAGAATTAATTTTTTGGAAATGTTGGGTCGGTGGACGCATTTTTCTTTGTTTTGATCTAAAACATCCCATCATATCCACCATGTAACTTATATCATTCGTATAAAATATAAATTTTTATAAAACCTCATCTTTTTTTTAATTAATAAAAAATTGATGTAAATAAATAAATAATTAGTTTATTAAGGACGTTTTGAAATGTAATTTGCAGCAACAAGAAGAGTAATATAAGATATTATAAACATAGTAACTGTAAAAGTGCTAACTTCAGGTAAACTTTCTTCTTCTTGACCTTTACCTTTAAAATACAAATCAAAAAGATTACTTAATAAAATTTGTTTGTGGGAATATACCTTTTTCTTTAATATTCATGCTACTTAATGCAGGTAAAGTGGGGAGATCTAAATAGAAAAAAAGATATGTAATGAGTCAATTAAGTAATTCTAAAATAAGGATGGTGAATCTAAGAGGACTATTACATCGTTTAGTTCAATAAAAATACCGAGAATTTCATATAACTCGCAATATATGAGTGTAGTAATATAGCTTAATAGTTCAGCATTGGGTAGCTTTGCTTGGAAAAAGTGACGTCCTTATGATAACTTAATTTCGGTCTTAAGAGACGCACAGCTAAACCCGAATGTTTCTAGGTTTAGTGTTATTTCTAGCACCAAAACTAACATTAAACCTGGAACTAGAAACACTGCGAAACTTGCGACTAAACCCAAATGACTCCAGTTCTTAGTCTAATGTTAGTTCTAGTGACAGCGCCAAACTAAAACTAACACTATACCTAGAACTAGAATCGTTTGGGTTTAGCCGTCTTTGGAGACGTGCGGCTAAACCCAAATGATTCTAATTCTGGGTATAGTGTTAGTTCTGTATAGTAACAGTGCTAATGTAAATCAAGAACTAGAAAGTTTCCGGTTTAAAATTGAACGCATGTGGCGCTATCTGTTGGGAATATTTCGGAATTATTCAGCGAAGAACCGAACCACTAGAATACAGGTTGGATTGGGTTTATATATAAAAGCTCCAACCACAGAATAACGATTTGGAAAGTGTTAGGAGATTCCAATTAACGATCCGACTGGTTGGGAATTCTTCTGTCAACTACTGTCAAACAATGCCGTCACATTTGAATATCACACTGCATCATATGACATGTGAGATTGCATCTGACGAGCTTCTAACCAGTTACAACGTTAGCTGAAACAAAGCTATAATGTTATAACCTAATTATTTAATCATACCATTATTACTTTATTATACTCTTACCGAAAAATCACTTTAAAATGACGTTTTCATCTGTCATTCTGAACAAACTTCAACTTTTAAAAGTTTAAGTTGAAGTTAGCGGCAAATTAAAGAATATAACACGAATTGGAATCTATACTTTTTAAATTAAAAGAATGGTACTGGTAATAATTGTTATTGCTGTCTCTCATCATTCCCACTATTAATAATAAAATTGTTAGTTTAATTAAATTATTTTAGTATAGACGTTAATGCCATCTTACGGTGGGATTTCGACATACAATCAGTCAAAAAAAAATCGTTTTAAACATGTTCTAAAACGGTTCGTTATTAAGTTACAGCGGTGAATTTAAAGAAATTTACTTAAAGCTTTTCAGACCAATATTAAGTAGGCAGAACGTGCTTTTTGTTTTCAGTCTAGTGTCTAGTACAAAATGGCAGATTATTCTTTCGAAGAGATGTCCGACACACCAGGTTACACACACCACGAAGAGAGGTACGGTTAAACGGAATGTCAAATTATATTGACAGGTAGGTTGCCCGATTTCTATGAAAATATATTTTTGTATATTACACCAACCCTTTGTGTCCCAAGAAGTCAAAAATTTTGAAACTTTGTAACGGAATTAAAACGCTATCAAACCACACCCAGCGAACCACGGTTCTTAAGTCTTACGTCGTCAGCAACAGAATAGCCGTATTTTATACGTACTTATATTTATTGATCAGACCTATAGCTACAGAATGACAAAAATCTAATAGCGTCATCCTTCCTTCTTCACATTAAAAATATATGGCACAAGAATTGACGAAGCATATATCTGTAAAACCAAAGAAAAGGTAATGCCATCACTTCTTGGAACGGCAGTCGATTGCATACACTTGTCGAAGTTGATCAGCATGATCTACCATGATAGGAATAGTGCTGATATCGTTGACATGCAGATATGATACACTCTTCTGAAACCTGTTACAGACAAGTGATACACCCAAATCTTCAGCATTACTCCAGAAGAATTTATAGTTTGGCAAACTAATCTGTAGGATTAATAAAGTATCACCAATTATTCCCTCTGGATAATCCTATTCAGGAATTTCATTCTGTTTTTTCCCGTTTTCTTCATTTTCTATCAATTTCTACCTTGTGCCCTTTTCCACGTATTTCTACTACTTCAGTGTCACTTTCCTCATTTTGATTAATTAGTTGTACTTCTTTATCTTCCAGCATAGGTACCTCACCAGCACTAGTAATAACAATGTCATCTTTTTCATCTTCTATGTCTGTCTGTTCAGAATTATGCAACGGGAGATTTTCTAATTCAACACAAACTTTTTCAGCTTCAACTTCCACTTTTCACTATACTTGTAACCTCACATCTGGATAAATAATGCGCCGAATAGATGACTACAGTTTAAAATAAGTGATTAAAATTGCCGGGACACAAAGAGTTAAGTGAAATTCACAGTATACTGAATAATAATTAAAACTATAGTAGATAGAATTAGAAAGTTTCGGGTTTAGGTGTACGTCCTCAGGCGCTGATTGAGCCTTATACTGAATTATAAACAATGTAGCAGTCCTTTTAGATTTTACCATACTTGCCTCTAACCTGTATCATCCTTATCCAAATCATCATGCCAATTTAAACTCCGCGCAATCGCCATTTTCCAATAATAATAACGTTCATTGCGCACTAAAAATGAAATAAAAATAAATAAATCCTTTTTATTGTTGAAATTACTTTTATTAGTCATCTTTGGCATAAAAGTATCACTCGGAATATCAAGCATCGTTGCAAAATCCCATACGTTTATGCCATCGGCGTATCCAGCAGCCATTGCAGCACCAAGAGCTGTTGTTTCGGCCATTACAGGTCGAACTAATCGCCATAAAATTAATTAAAATAACAAAAATTTTTTGAATTTATTTACCAACGGGGACGCCGCTATAATCGGCTTGAACTTGCATTAAAAAGTTATTAGCCGTCATCCCGCCGTTAACCAAAAGCTTTTTAATTTTGTACCCACTATCTAAAGACATCGCCTCGAGGATGTCTCGTACTTGAAACGCGACAGCTTCTAAAGCTGCCTTTACGATATGCCCTGGTTTTGTAGATTCGGTTAATCCACACATGACGCTTCTCGCGTCTTTTCTCCAATACGGGGCGTATAATCCGGAAAAAGCTGGAACGAAATAAATTTCTCCGCGAGAACCTGCCGATTGAGCGATTTCGTTGGATTCGGGGGTGGATTTTAAAACGTTTAAGTTATCTCTAAGCCATTGTAATGCGACACCTAAGTGGATAAGATGAGAGAATTGTGTGGATAAGAATAATTTTTTACCTGCTATTGCAATTGCTCCTTCTAATGCGTAAATAGTTGGTGCTTTTGGGCCAAGTTTATATCCAACCGTTGTTAATAATCCGTGAGTTGATTGAACTAACTAAATTATAAATTAAAATATTATTTTGATTAAATTAAATTAGGTACCGAAGTTCCTGTGTTGTATAATAAAAAACATCCCGTTCCATAAGTATTTTTTGCTTGTCCTTTTAAAAAACATTTTTGACCAACTAAAGCAGCTTGTTGATCTCCTAAACACTATTATTAAATAGAATAAGAACCGTTAAGATGAGATTAAAATAAATCCTTACTCCAGAAATTGGAACTCCTTTTAAAAGAGTTTCAGTAAGATAACCGTAAATTTCGGCGGAACTTTTAATTTGTGGCAAAATCTCAATAGGAATATCAAAAGTGTCGCATAAAAAAGTATCCCATTTTAAAGTTTCTATGTTCATTAACATAGTTCTCGAAGCATTGGTAACATCGGTGATGTGTAATCCACTAATAACACCCCCGGTTAGGTTCTAATAACAATTTTAATCATTTTGTGTTTAGTTTTTGTATTAATTTACCCAAATTATCCACGTATCAATCGTTCCAAATAAACAACGTTGTTCTTCGATTGCTTTTCTAACTTCTTCAACGTTATCCATTAACCATCGAATTTTTAATGCGCTAAAATAGGTGCTTACCGGTAAGCCACAATACGTTTTTAAAAAACTTTTACGTCTATACCCATTATCGAGTACTTTATCAACTGTGTCTGAGGTACGCATATCAAGCCAAACTAAAATTTTCTTTAGTAACTTTTAAAAAATAATAAAAAAAAATCACCTAAAGCATTATATAAAGGTTTTCCAGTTTGGGAATCCCACAAAACAGTCGTCTCCCTTTGATTAGTTATCCCAATAGCGACTATATCCTCTTTAGAAACATCCAATTTTTGCAAATTATCACAAGTTACATCGATGGTTTCAATAATCGCTTTTAAAATTAACTCGGCATCTTGCTCAACCCATCCTTCAAACGGTGTTATGCTGGGTATATTAACTTGATGGTATGTTATGACTTCCGCTGTTTTTGCAGCAAAAACCTAACGGATTGAAATTTAGAATATGTTAGATAAGTTGTAATAAAGCAACCATAAATCTTGTGCTTGATGTTCCTTCATCTATAGCACCGACGAGGGGGCCAAAATCTTTCTTTTCACTTTTCATATTTTGATATGACATTTTTAATTTGTCAAATTAAATTATGAAGTTAATTCAAATATAGGTATATATCTTAAAATTAATAAACGTTACTTTTATTCAAAGTTATTTTATGACCGAGCTGAATATCAACAAGAAATAAGTAAGCTCAATGTATATTAGTGCTGGAACGGATATCCGGCCATTTTTTAAATTTTGATAAAATTTTCGATGTTGCAATTTTCATCGATAACTTTCAAAATTCGCTATAAAATTCATTTCTTGAAGGATCCTTGTGGAAATATCACCCATTATTAATAAAAGTATCCTTTTTTTAATGCAAAAAGCCGTTTTGAAAAATCGCTTTTAGTTTTTGAGAAATAAATTTTTGAAATTATCAAAAATTTTTTCGAATTTTACAATTTTCGCAGATTAAGTTTTAGAAATTCGTATAAAATTCAATTGTTGGAATATAAGTATGAAAATCTCCCAAAGTGTTAATAAAAGTGCCCTCTTTCCAATGAACCTACCCGTTTTGAAAAATAGCTTTTAGTTTTTGAGAAAACAATATTTGAAGTTTTGATGAAATTTTCGATGACGCAATTTTCATCGATAACTTTCAAAAATCGCTATAAAATTAATTTCTTGAAGTACCCTTGTGGAAATATCACCAATTATTAATTAAAGTATTCTCTTTTAAATGCAAAAAACCGTTTTGAAAAATCGCTTTTAGTTCTAGAGAAATAAATTTTTGAAATGATCGACAATTTTCGCCGATTACGTTTTGAAAATTCGTATAAAATCTATTTCTTGGAATGTGAGTATGAAAATCTCCCAAAGTGTTAATAAAAGTGTCCTCTTTCCAATGAACCTACCCGTTTTGAAAAATAGCTTTTAGTTTTTGAGAAAACAATATTTGAAGTTTTGATCATTTTTCGATGTTGCAATTTTCATCGATAACTTTCAAAATTCGTTATAAAATTCATTTCTTGAAGAATCCTTGTGGAAATATCACCAATTATTAATTAAAGTATTCTCTTTTTAATGCAAAAAACCGTTTTGAAAAATCGCTTTTAGTTTTTAAGAAATAATTTTTTTAAATGATCGACAATTTTTTCGAATTTTGCAATTTTAGCTGATTAAGTTTTAAAAATTCGTATAAAATCCAGTTCTTGGAATATGAGTATGAAAATTTCCCAAAGTGTTAATAAAAGTGTCTTCTTTCCAATGAACCAATCCGTTTTGAAAAATAACTTTTAGTTTTTGAGAAAACAATATTTGAAGTTTTGATAAAATTTTCGAGGTTGCAATTTTCATCGATAACTTTCAAAATTCGCTATAAAATTCATTTCTTGTACGATCCTTGTGGAAATATCATCAATTATTAATGAAAGTATCCTCCTTTTAATGCAACAAGCCGTTTTGAAAAATCGCTTTTAGTTTATGAGAAAAAAATTTTTGAAATGATCGACAATTTTTTCGAATTTTGCAATTTTCGCCGATTAAGTTTTAAAAATTCGTATAAAATCCAATTCTTGAAATATGAGTATGAAAATCTCATAAAGTGTTAATAAAAGTGTCTTCTTTCCAATGAACCAACCCATTTTGAAAAATATCTTTTAGTTTTTGAGAAAACAAAATTTGAAGTTTTGCTAAAATTTTCGATGTTGCAATTTTCATCGATAACTTTCAAAATTCGCTATAGAATTCATAGATGTACCGGATATCCGGCTTTTCGCAAAATCACTATCCGTTCCATCACTAATATATATGATTTAAATCCCAAGTTATTAAGTATATTTTATTAGCAACAATCAATAACATATAAAATAAATAAAATTACACACATCCTCTTTTTTACCCATTCACATTTCATAGTTTCGATTGCGGCGGATTAGTATTAATCTTGGCTTGTTCATCGATTCCAAAATTAATAGGTTCAAAATCGAAGGGATGATCACCTTGGTTCGATTGAAGAAATTGGCGGAAATGTCTTACACCATCAATATACATCATAGTTTCGTCGTACGTTTTCGGGAATACTTCTTTAACCAATTCGTCGACTTCGTAAGTAAAATGAAAACTGTTTGTGGTCGTTTTTGTGTTGGTGAGTATATCGTAAGTTTGGGCGTAAACGATAACTTGAACGTAAACGCCTTCAGTGTAAACAATATACGCGCTCATTATAAGGATCATGTTCATCAAGACGGGTTTTGAAAAATTAATGTCGTCTATGCATCGTAATAGTGGCCGTCGCCTCCCAAATATCCTCACCAAACTGTAACTTAAATCCGCTGCTTTTCTCATTAAAAATCCACCGAAAACGGTGTTGTGTAAATTTCTGTTTTCGGGGTGAATTAGAATGATGTTTGAAAATTCGCATTCCTCCATCCAAATAGATCCTGGGGGAAGTTTTATTTGATTCAAACTGATTTCGGCTTCTACGATAGTTTTTTGGAATTTATCGTGGATTAGTTTTTGTTCTTCCGCGGAAGGGACGCTTCTTTTTAAATCTTGCATTTTTAATTTAATTCGTAACTTTTTTCTTATTTCTCCTGCTTTTGCGAGTTCTTCTTCTTGCGGCGTTGTTGTTTTTAGGGGATTTATTAACGCCGCTTTACTATTTATCGCATCTCTTACTACCAGGAGAAACAACGCTTTCGTTATTCTTTTGTACGCGCCACCCTCCTTTTGATCTAACCAAACCAAAACTTCTATGGAGCTAGTTCCTACCCACGTTACATGTCCCGAAATTCTTATATCACTGTTTACCTGTAACATATTTTGATTAATTAACGATTTGATTATTATTATGATGACCAACCTTAGGATGATAATCACTAAAATCAATTTTGTTGACTAAAGCTGTAACTATTGTGTAAGGGGAATGATCCTTTGGGCCAACCAAAGGATTTTTAATGTAATTTTGAGCCACCGCCACTAAAAATTAAAATTAAAAGTATAACTAAATTAAATTATTTGAATTAATAAAAACCAGCAAAAATATCCATGTCTTCTAATAATTTATTGAGGCGCACAAAACCAGTTATGCTAACCATAAGTTCTTGTAAATCGTCATTCGTAGCTAAGGGAATAGCCGCAACTGTGTAACTATCACGCATCGTTCTTGGTGGTAATTGTTCCCTTTTCGTAGGGATTAATTTTTGCAAATGATCCCTAGTTTTAGGAAGTCGTCGATATCCTCTCTCAATACCCATCGTTTTAGCTAATTGCTTCACGACTAATAATTAATTGAAACGATTACAAAATACATTTTTGATTTAATAAAGTATGCACCAACCTGAGCTAACAGAGGGATGATTTTCCGTATGGATAGACTGATTTTCGTTTGTCGCCATCTTTTCGGTTCTAAAACGAAAATGATTTGATGCAATTTCTACGACGAAAATTTGGATATACCGATAAGCTATGAATGGCGATCAAATTACTACGATAAGTTATGATACAATAATTACGAAACAAATAATTTCACAAGTGCAAGTTTAAAGTTCATACCGTATACGTAAGCACGAGAATCCACTCGCTCTTATTACACTTGAACCACACATTTTTATAATTTTTGTTAACATTCTTTTCAAAAATTAGTACACTTGACACCTGTACTTATGAAGTTTATGCACTATTTTGTGTGGTTACGTTACTGTCAGTTTTTGGCACATTTTAGCATATTTTGAAATTCACCAAATTTTTTATCATTTATATTACAAATATTACATTATTTTATAAGTGTGTTACTTGGATGAATTATATATTAAATAATTTATGAATGAAAAACATCTTGTTTTTGCAAATGTGGTGTTATTGGCCAAATATATTTGGAAGTTTACTTTGTATGGCACAACTAAATTTAGATTGAACTTTAGGGATGTTTTCCAAGTTATTGAGTACAAGAATAAATTTCTAGAGCTTTTTTGATTATCATTTGATAACCACACTTGAAGCACAGTTGACTAATTAGCTTCTCTCTTTGTTGGATGGTCCTGTATACTAAAACAGCATACACTAAAAGAAAAAATCAAGCAAGAAGAGTCTAGAATGCAGCTAGAAACCTAATTAATGTTCAGAAATAAGAAGCAAACTAACATATATAGAAAATATAGTAACATAAAATACTTATATTATAAAATGATTGAGGTTCACTAACATCTTTTTAAAAGTCACTGACATAAACCCTTAGGAGTTGGAGTTGACATTATGAAATTGGGAAAAATAATTTGAAATAGTTGAAAATTTTATAATTTATTTATTATATTTAACACTTTATACTAAAAAGAAACGAATAAATATTATGTACAAAAAGAAATACTATGACGAAATAAATTACTTTCCTAGATTTCCAAGCGAAATCGTTTCATAATCGCGTTTCAGACAAATTTCAAAACGTTATCCGTCCAAATTCGAATGAATTTATAATAATTTTAAAATAAATTTTTAATTTGTTACTTAACAAGTTTTTAAAAGTTTATATATACAAGTATATTGAAGAAAAAAAAAACAAATGCTAATATATTACATTATATCCGTATAGCTCCCTATAAAAAAATGAAACAAACCAGGCCGGGTTTGTCTTTGCTCTCCATCTTGCTTCAAAATACACGGACAGTCGAGTTAAGTGCATTCAAAAGGCCTTATTTCAAGAAGCATACATTCTATTTATCTCGTGCTGATATCTTTCTTGAATATCTTTCCTGCGCAATTTAAACGCGGCCGTTACTAATCCCATATCGGGCGACCAAACTTCCGTACACAATTTTATTGCGGCTGGAATTTCAAATTTCTCTAGTTTACCTAAAATTTAAATCATTAAATTGTATCAAAAATTAATTTTATCGTCGTACATTTCTTTCCGTGCTCTTGAAGTTCTTGTAGTACAACTTTTTCGATTTCATGTGATGCGCAAAGCTCTTCAAATTGGGTTTCTTGAAAACCTTTCTTTACAATTAACTCTATTAGCATTTGTTGATTGGGGACGACCAGCGCTACACAATATTGTTTACTTGAATCACCATATACACAAATATTATCCACTAGGGAACACGTTTTAAGTTCCGCTTCAACTTTTCCTAATGAGACGTATTCCCCAGCTTGTAATTTTACCAAATCCTTTTTGCGGTCTAAAAAATTTAATATGTTAATAATTTTTTAATTGAACTAAAACTAGAACTAATATTAGTCCTATGAAAAAATGTTTGACGTTTCGGATGTTGTGTTGCAACTTTCTTCAGAAACAAGTTTGAGGTCTAGTGTTAGTTCAATAAAAATATACAACAATTTAGCGCTGAACAACAATTAAAATTAGAACTAACACTAGTAGACGTGTAAAAGTCAAATAATATTTTTACTTTTTGTACAGATCATTTTACAATAATGGTGTTAATTATTTCATTAAAGTTTTCCATTTTCCATCCAAATTTCTTATTGCTATTTTATTTTTCTTGTTCTATTTATAACCTTTTTTGATTTTTTTAATAATTCTGACATGCTATAAATGTCATCTTAACGTTTAAACGTCATTCTGACGTTTCAAAACCACAACACATCTCTAAAATGGTACCAACCTAAGTTTTTGGAAATCTTTTGATGAATATTGAATATTTCATACCAATTTTTTTATAACTTTTTTGATTTATAGTAATATATTTCGCTAAATTTAGTATTTCCATAACATTTTTTATATTTAATTAACTGATTTTTGAGATCTAGATTTTTAACGATATTGACGTTTACAATAATGGTGTTAATTATTTCATTCTGATAAATGCTATAGTCTTCCATTTTCCATCCAAATTTCTTATTAATATTTTTTTTCTTGATCTATTTATAACCTTTTTTGATTTTTTTAATAATTTTGACATGCTACAAATGTCATCTTAACGTTTAAACGTCATTTTGACGTTTAAAAACGACAACACATATCCCTAAAATGGTACCAACCTAAGTTTTTGGAAATCTTTTGATGAATATCGAATATTTCATACCAGTATTTTTATAACATTTTTGATTTATAGTAATATATTTCGCTAATTTTAGTATTTCCATAAAAATTTTTACATTAAATTAACTGATTTTTGAATTTTTTGAGATCTAGATTTTTAACGATATTGACGTTTAATTGTCAAATTGACGTTTAAAAGTCAAATAACTAAGTCGTAATGTTATTAAACTTAAAATTTATTATAAATAGGAACTTTATTATTTAATTTGTATTAAATCATTATAACTTAACCCATTTCCATCATAGGATACTTTCTAAGAATGTTTCTATTTCCAGGTCTAGTGTTAGTTCTAGTAACTATGTTAGTGTAAAACTAGAACTAACACTAGCACTAATACTACTACTGGATCTGGAACTGGAAACATTCAGATTTAGCCATCTTGACAGATGCATGGCTAAACCCGAATATTTCTAGTTCTAGATCCAGTAGTAGTATTAGTATCAGTTCTAGTGGCAGTGTTAATCCTAGTTATGTTATTCAGCGCCAAATTGTGGTATATTGTTACTAAACTAACACTAGACCTTGCATTGAAAACATTCAGAGTTAACCATGCGTTTCATAAGACAGCTAAACCCAAATATTTCTAGTTCAAGTTCTAGTTTTATTTTGCTGGATTTTGCTAGCTTTTTAACAGTAAAAAAACTATTTATATCTTAAATTGAAGCTAAAAGATTGTAGTTTATGATAAGATATAAAAACCATAATAGAACATTATAAAAAATTCCTGATAAAAATTGTTAAGTGAGAAATTGTCAAATTTATGCATAAATAGAAAATGAATATTTTCAAAAAACCGTACCAACTGGACTTTTATCAATAAAGAAACGATTTATATCTTAAATTGAAGCTAAAAAATTGTAGTTTATGATAAGATATAAAAATGTTCATGTAGGATTATAAAAATTTTGTGATAAAAATTGTTAAGTGAGAAATTGTCAAATTTATGCATAAATAGAAAATGAATATTTTAAAAAACCGTACCAACTGGATTTTTATCAATAAAGAAACGATTTATATCTTAAATTGAAGCTAAAAAATTGTAGTTTATGATAAGATATAAAAATATTCATGTAGGATTATAAAAATTTCCTGTTAAAAATTGTTAAGTGCGAAATTGTCAAATTCATGCATAAATAGAATATGAATATTTTCAAAAAACCGATTCTTAACAGTAAAGAAACTATTTATATTTTAAATTGAAGCTAAAAGATTGTAGTTTATGATAAGATATAAAAACGTTGATGAGGGATTATAAAAATTTCCTAATAAAAATAGTTAAGTGTAAAATTGTCAAATTTATGCATAAACAAAAAATAAATATTACTTGGTACCAAAATTATACAATTAGTGACTTTATTATTTCTGAAGAAAGCATCCAAAACTGTGCTACTTCTAGTTGTAAATTCTATTAATAAATTTTGAACTCACCAATAATTTTTACCACCCCATCATCGTGTATTTCGCAAATATCGCCGGTTTTAAACCATCTTTTTCCATCCAATTCGAAAAATTCCTCTTTGGTTTTACTCGCTAATTTATAATAACCAACACTAACGTTACCACCACCAACGACGATTTCACCACGGGGATACGGTTTATCAGTCACTCTATAGTTGCCTTCTTCCCAATTTACTAACATAATATCACAAACGGTTGTTGTTGCTCCTACTCTACCAACAGTTCTATCATATGCTATTTTTAACGAAAAAATTGAGTTAATTTTTGGTTGAGGAATAAAAATGAAAAAAAATTACCATCCATTACGGTTGCACAAGATGTAGTTTCAGTCAATCCATAACCCTGTATCACACTTAATGATAAGCAAGTATTAATTTGTTCATGAGTGTCTGGAGATAATGGAGCTCCTCCGGATAAAATTAACCTAACTTTTCCTCCTAATATATTCTTAATTTTTGAAAATACTACTCTGTAAATAAAAAATTAATTTAAATAAAAATAATATTAAAGCAGTATTTTTTAATTAACTTACTTATCTAATATAGGCGTACTATAACCTCTTTTTACCCAATTGACCTTGTAATCATAAGCGAATTTGAACAACGTTTTCGTTAAAAAGCTTCCTTTACTAACTTTTTCTTGGATACCTTTTGAAATCCTATCCAAAATTAACTAAAACAAAATAATTAATCAACATTAAAAAATTTTGCTACAAATTAAAGGTTTACTTACAGGTACACTGGTCATACAAGTTGGATGTAAAACTGATGCATCACCTTTAGTCCCTCTTTTAATTTTACTACTGGAATCGATCATAGTTAAAGCACTTGAATAACCGATAGAAATCCCCGAAACCAAACACACACATTCAACCAGTAATTCAAAAACATGAGCCAACGGTAAGAAACCAATTAAAATATCGTCTGGGTAAATAACAGTCGAATCCACAAAGGCTTTCATTGTTTCTATCAAATTGGAATGAAGTAAAATAACCCCTTTGGGTACTCCCGTAGAACCACTTGTGTACATGATGATGGCGGTATCGGACGGTGAAGGGAACATGTTTGGTATGTTGGATGTAGCACCTTTTTCCAGTACATCAGAAAACTTAACGATCGCCACGTCGGAAGTGTACTCGCTCATATTTAACGATTTTAATTGATCTTCCATGTAGATTAATGTTTTTACTGATGGAGTTCGTGCTAGGATTGTTTTGAATTTTGGCATTAATTCATAACTTGTGATAACTGTCGTTACTTCTGTTTCGTTTATTCCGTGTGCTATAGCATCATCTCCAAGTGTTGCATATAAAGTTACCACTAAAGCAAAAATTATTATTAAATTATTTAATTAAACTGCCGGGACATGTATATAATTACTTTGTCCCACATAAAATGCAACATGCCAATATAATTTGAGATCAATATACTTTATCAACTAATTAGTTCTAGGTCTAGTGTTAGTTCAACAAAAATATACAACAATTTAGCGCTGAACAACAATTAAAACTAGAACTAACACTAGTTGGCGTGTAAAAGTCAAATATTTTTACTTTTTGTACAGATCATTGTACAATAATGGTGTTAATTATTTCATTCTGATAAATGCTATAGTTTTCCATTTTCCATCCAACTCTCTTGTTGATATTTTATTTTTCTTGTTCTATTTATAACCTTTTTGATTTTTTTAATAATTTTGACATGCTACAAATGTCATCTTAACGTTTAAACGTCATTTTGACGTTTAACAACCATAACATATATCCCTAAAATAGTACCAACCTAACTTTTTGGAAATCTTTTGATGAACATCGAATATTTCATACCAGATTTTTAATAACTTTTTTGATTTATAGTAATATATTTCGCTAATTTTAGTATTTCCATAAGATTTTTTATATTAAATTAAGTGATTTTTGAGATCTAGATTTTTGACGATATTGACGTTTACAATAATGGTGTTAATTATTTCATTCTAATAAATGCTATAGTTTTCCATTTTCCATCCAACTCTCTTGTTGATATTTTATTTTTCTTGTTCTATTTATAACCTTTTTGATTTTTTTAATAATTTTGACATGCTACAAATGTCATCTTAACGTTTAAACGTCATTTTGACGTTTAAATGGTACCAACCTAAGTTTTTGGAAATCTTTTGATGAATATCGAATATTTCAAACCAGTTTTTTTATAACTTTTTTGATTTATAGTAATATATTTCGCTAATGTTAGTATTTCCATAAGATATTTTATATTAAATTAACGGATTTTTGAGATCTAGTTTTTTGACGATATTGACGTTTACAATAATGGTGTTAATTATTTCATTCTAATAAATGCTATAGTTTTCCATTTTCCATCCAACTCTCTTGTTGATATTTTATTTTTCATGTTCTATTTATAACCTTTTTGATTTTTTTAATAATTCTGACATGCTACAAATGTCATCTTAACGTTTAAACGTCATTTTGACTTTTAAATGGTACCAACCTAAGTTTTTGGAAATCTTTTGATGAATATCGAATATTTCAAACCAGTTTTTTTATAACTTTTTTGATTTATAGTAATATATTTCGCTAATGTTAGTATTTCCATAAGATATTTTATATTAAATTAACGGATTTTTGAGATCTAGTTTTTTGACGATATTGACGTTTATAATAATGGTGTTAATTATTTCATTCTAATAAATGCTATAGTTTTCCATTTTCCATCCAACTCTCATATTGATATTTTATTTTTCTTGTTCTATTTATGACCTTTTTGATTTTTTTAATTATTTTGACATGCTACAAATGTCATCTTAACGTTTAAACGTCATTTTGACGTTTAAAAATCACAATACATCCCTAAAATGGTACCAACCTAAGTTTATAGAAAATCTTTTGATGAATATCGAATATTTCATACCAGTTTTTTTATAACTTTTTTGATTTATAGTAATATATTTCGCTAAATTTAGTATTTCCATAAGATTTTTTATATTAAATTAACTGATTTTTGAGTGTTTTGAGATCTAGATTTTTAACGGTATTGACGTTTAATTGTCAAATTGACGTTTAAAAGTCAAATAACTGTAAGTCTTAAAGTTATTAAATTTTTAAACGTTTTTAAACGTCAAAATGACATTTGTAGCATGTCAAAATTATTTCTTAAATTTTTTTCTAGCAATGTTTCTAGTTCTAGGTATAGTGTTAGTTCTAGTTTTGCACTATCACTATAACTAACACAAGACCTAGAACTAGAATCATTCGGGTTTAGCCGTCTTGAAAGACGTGCGGCTAAATCCGAATGTTTCTAGTTCGTTAGTTGTTTTAAGACGAAAACTCAGAGCTATCATAAAACTTTTCTATGTTGCAATATATGTGGGACAGTGCAAGTGCATAGTATAGTAGTTTCGTAATTATGGTTACTGCATTCATATATTGTGAATTTACCTGGTATACTTTGTTTAAAAAGTCCTTGTGCTGCAATCATCCATTCAGATCTAGTTTCTGCAAAAATCGCAATATTTTCTCGTGGGCGATTTCCCAATTCGCGAATCCCTTTGCCGAAATTTGTTGCTAATTCATTTACTTCAGCATAAGTTTGCCAAATATAATCACCCATAATATACTTAAAAGAAAGAATTATAAGATTAATACATTATTTTCATAAACTCTTATTTCCCCTTGTACAATTCTTATTTGACCTTAAATTGCAAAATAAAGTGGTACAAAGTACAATAAAGTTTTGCGACAATATAAAAAGTTATTAAATTAGCCGCCATGGTAAAACCAATGAAAGAACTTATTTAATGATACATATACATGTCGCGTTAAATTTTTACAACAAAATCCAATTAATTCCTGACAGGAAAACATTGCATGCTGACAACGTGTTATTGAAAAGAATTTACAAGGTTTTGTATCACCTGATCGAATGTAATATTAAGTTTAATTATATTACCTTTTTAAAAACTCTTCCGTTAGATTGAACCTCGTCCTCTTCACCTCTAATTTGTCGCGTTCCAAGGCATTTTTTGTTCGCGTATTTATCCGAAACGTACTGCATCATATCGGCTAACGTATTAACTTTTTCTCGAACCATTTCCACGTGAGTTCTAGACGGTTCATCAACGGATCGATAAATAACACTTCTTGAATCTTTCACTATAGGTTGAGCCTAAAAAAGAAATAATTGAGGTTAAATGAATTGTATTAAAGTAATTGAATCCTTACTTTAACTCTTTTAGACATTTCACGAACTTTCCATGGTCTTTGTAGAAGAACATAAATGGGGAAGGTAAGAATGTCGCAGACGAAGGCAAAAGCCTTCAACGCCCCGATCGCAATAGACGTGCCGATGCCGTCCATCTCTCTGCAAAAGAAAACAAAATAATCACTCCACCCAAATACTTATTTTTAATACAACGAAGAATAATTAAAAAGGAAGTAAATAAAACGCCACCAAAAATTATTATATCTTTTAAGACATACGTATAAATCGGAAGGAAAAGATCTGAGGATATTGACCGGTGAGTTTAGGCGGGAGAAGATGTTCGAAAGAGACCAAAAGGTCGTGTCTCAGAGTCTCGGTGAGGATTAACAAATAGAGGTCAAAGTCGAAACGATTTTAACAAATAGAAAACGAGAGAACAAATTTGCTAGAAAAGACTTTTCGAAAAACATGCACCTCTCATTTCCGCTTCCTTTTCGATTAATAATTGAAACATGCACAAAATGGAATTCTTTTCCGAAATACTTACGCTTTATCGTCAACAAACATCCTGGACGATTCGATTACTGCCTTTTTTACTGCTTAATTTTTTTTTTCTGAAAAAATGATGAACGAAAAATAAAACTTTCTCTTTCTCAAAATGATTATGACATTAAAAAAACAATGCAAATTCTTCAGACACTGACGATTCCACAACAAGATCAATGTTTAATCAATTTTAATAATACAAGATCAAATTTCTACATCAATATCAATTTATGGCTCCAATTGCATTCAATTCATTAATAATAATATGATACTTCGACCACGATCGTTCGATGTTGCCAATTAATACGCACAAAATAAACGACACTTAAAAACCGAGTAATTTACAATAATTACAACATCATTTTTATATTATTTCTTATATCATCTTTATTATTCCATTTTAGAATTATCAAATAAACCGTTTTATCGAAACATTATTGTTCCACCCACGGAAATTAGCGTATTATTGCAAAAAAGTGTTTTTGTGCAGTAAGAGCATGTGCAGGAGACGTTTTACGTAACGCGGACTGTTTAAGCTAAAATTAGATTGGTTTGAAATTGCGGCGCAGGTTGTTTTGTGCGGTTTAAAGTTGTTTTTGTTCCGGAGGTAAATCTTTTATGATCGCATAAGGTAACAGAATGTATTCATAAAATATAATTAAAAAAAAATTATTTAATAACTATGCAATATTCCTAAAACTTACACACTAAGCTTTTAATAATTCTGTAAAATATCATATAAATAGGTGATTAGCCAAAAAACCGAGCACTTAGTCAAAAATATAATCCAAGTAGTCTGAAAGATATTGTAATACACATATTTCTGTCCCCTTAATGGCAAAACTTGTACTCCCCATCAAAACTATATGGAAGTAATTTTGCCCACATCAAGTTCTTGTCAACTATCCATCCCAAATTTGTACAAAATCGAATCTACATCATATGTGTACCAAGTCTGCATTAAAATTAATTTTTCTACAAGTCTGTATCAAATTCCCATTACGCCTTCTACCTTTTTAATTTGAAATCTTCATCTAAGTAGTCGCCAACAAGTTTGCTGGTCGTTTACTTTCTCCAACTTCAGCACATCATTTCAAAATAAGACGGAGTGATGATACTGAAAACTGTAATGAGTTGTCATCTTTTTCTTCTTCTTCAATGGCGCAGATACAGCTAGATATATCTCCTTGATTGTTTTCCAAACCTCTCTCAATCCACCTTGCATTCCATCTCCAAATTATAGTAAAAGTGAAGTTCTAAGTCTTCTACAATTTCATCTAACCCGTCGCTGAACAGTTAAAGTTCAAATATGAGCATTTAAAAAATTTGGTGAATGTTACTAAAAAACTTTTAGAACGAAAGTTGTGGCAAATTCCATTCTTAACAATATTGCTCTCTTGCATTTTTGCTGTTAGATGCGTCAATAGTGAGAAAAATACAAAAATATGAAAATTTTTGAAATTTCCTTGTTTGACAAGTTGTTAATGGTATCATTCGGAAATTGGAGCATGTTACCAAAAAACTTTTAGAACGAAAGTTGTAGCAAATTTCATTCTTAACAATATTGCTCTCTTGCATTTTTGCTGTTAGATGCGTCAATAGTGAGAAAAATACAAAAATATGAAAATTTAAGAAATTTCGTAGTTTGACAAGTTGTTCATGGTAGATCACTTGGGAATTGAAGTATGTTACTAAAAAACTTTTAGAACAAAAGTTGTAGCTAATTCCATTCTTAACAATATTGCTCTCTTGCATTTTTGCTGTTAGATGCGTCAATAGTGAGAAAAATACAAAAATATGAAAATTTAAGAAATTTCGTTGTTTGACAAGTTGTTAATGGTATCACTCGGAAATTGGAGCATGTTACTAAAAAACTTTTAGAACGAAAGTTGTAGCAAATTTCATTCTTAACAATATTGCTCTCTTGCGTTTTTGCTGTTAGATGCGTCAATAGTGAGAAAAATATAAAAATATGAAAATTTAAGAAATTTCGTTCTTTGACAAGTTGTTAATGGTACCACGTGGGAATTGGCGCATGTTATAAAAAAACTGTTAGAACGAAAGCTGTAGCAAATTTCATTCTTAACAATATTGTTCTCTCGCATTTTTGCTGTTAGATGCGTCAATAGTGAGAAAAATATGAAAATTTAAGAAATTTCCTTGTTTGGCAAGTTGATAATGGTATAACTCGGAAATTGGAGTATGTTATTAAAAAACTCTTAGAAGAAAAGTTGTAGCAAATTCCATTCTTAACAATATTGCTCTCTTGCATTTTTGCTGTTAGATGCGTCAATAGTGAGAAAAATACTAAAATATGAAAATTTAAGAAATTTCATAGTTTGACAAGTTGTTCATGGTAGATCACTTGGGAATTGAAGTATGTTACTAAAAAACTTTTAGAACAAAAGTTGTAGCCAATTCCATTCTTAACAATATTGCTCTCTTGCATTTTTGCTGTTAGATGCGTCAATAGTGAGAAAAATACAAAAATTTGAAAATTTAAGAAATTTCGTAGTTTGACAAGTTGTTCATGGTAGATCACTTGGGAATTGAAGTATGTTACTAAAAAACTTTTAGAACAAAAGTTGTAGCTAATTCCATTCTTAACAATATTGCTCTCTTGCACTTTTGCTGTTAGATGCGTCAATAGTGAGAAAAATACATAAATTTGAAAATTTGAGAAATTTCGTAATTTGACAAGTTGTTCATGGTATCATTTGGAAATTGAAGTATGTTACTAAAAAACTTTTAGAACAAAAGTTGTAGCAAATTTCATTCTTAACAATATTGCTCTCTTGCATTTTTACTCTTAGATGCCTCAATAATGAGAAAAATATAAAAATTTGAAAATTTAAGAAATTTCGTTGTTTGACAAGTTATTAACCCATTTAGTCCCACGATGCACGATGGATTAAATCAACAACTGAGAGCGTAGGATACGACACGACAATGAACTATAAGAGCTATACAAAAAGTATAATACGGCTCTGCTGGACGAGATATGTAGAATGCATGCCCAAGACACCTGTCTCAAAGAAAGTGTTTCCGAAACAACCACGAAGAAGAGGCTTACTTTAATTTGACTCAAAGATTTTTTTAGCCTAAAATACTTTTTGATAATGCGTCTTTACACTGTATGTTTGTTACTCAATGCAATGAGTTGATTAATTTGTATAGTTTATTGATTAGTAATGTAATTTTTATACACTAATATTAATATTAACGAACAAAAAAATACAAATTTGATATTAATTTGTAAAACAAATCATTATTTGTAAACAATGCAATTACCATATGAATAGCAGCATATTTTTGAATTTAAAACAAAACGTTTCAAGTTCGCCTCGATCATCATTTAACTGACGACGCATCCGGTTAAGAGGATAAATTTATTAGTGGCTACAAACCGGATATCACAAGTTCTATGCCGCAACCATACCAATAAGATAGGTCAATTACGTAGATAAAACGATTGACCTAGACCTCGAAAACTATTCCGAATGAATTTAACCGCGATCAATTCAAACCAATTCGTATTGTGCCAAAAATCCTATTAAGCTTAATACGATTTAAAAATAAATATAAATAGTGTGACTACATACCAAGTTGTATTAAAAATTGTTTTGCACTAAACTCAAATAGTGTTATTAGAGGTTTTCCATCGAGACAATTAGCATCGTCCACGTGGTAGTTCGTAGGCAAACAACAAATGGGGACCCCACTCGATGTTATATTGCTTATATTAGCGTACATCAGACGATCTGACGTCAGATATAATGCGACGCATAAACAGTTTCGTGACTAATACAATTTCTGTTATCCTCAACACCAAGAACATTCTACCAATTAAATCCATGTAATAATTATTAACAAAGAAATATTTGTATTCTCTTTTTTTTTGTGGTCAAATTAAACTTTGGAATCAAGTTTTTTGTTAGGTAACTACAATTGGCGTAGAGTTTTGTTTAATATTGCACTTGGTTTATATTTATAATCCAAGGAATTTATTCTACATATCCGATTTTACAAATAAAACCAGATTTGATTATTTACAACCTGATAATCACATTAAACGATTAAATTCGCTGTTATTAAGAAAATATTAGCGGTGTTTCAGCTTATCGTATTAACCATAAATCTAATCGGAAATTCGTTGTAGCGAAAATTTAACGTGGCATTTCCGCTATTTTAGGTTTAAATCAAATTAGATTAAACATTTCCACGTGCTCAACATACACAATAATGAGCTCTTTGCGTTATTACATTTCAAGGACAACATAGAAAATTATGATAATATAACCACGTGTCAAAATATGTTATATTGCTTTCTTCGTTCTTAGATTTCCTCTATCATTTCGCTATAACATCTTGAGGTTGCTTTCTTTTGCGTTATCCATCTGTATTTGGGTATTTTAACACCTGAGTATATGTTAAGTTTATTTTTCTCTAAGATTGTAGTTGTGAACTATTATTATATTGGTTGTCTTCTTATCTGACTATACATTTAAATTCCTATCTTGGAACAAGACCCATAAATATCCAATGCCATTCATCCCAAAGCAAAAATATAGAAAGACACGGAGACAAAGTCGGAGTACAAAGTCCAACGTTTAATAAAAAAAATAAGAAATAAGAATGAAAAAAGTCTGAAATAACTCGAGTCACGTCGAAACGATCAAATTTAAGTTTAACTGTGTGATTAAAAAAAGGATTCTTGCACAATCGCAATTCGACGGAATTAAGTAGTTACTCTATCCGCTGACCGATAACGACGATTTGGACTTCGGCCATACTATTTGCGGTTCATAAAGTGACTAATTGAATTGTAAAAGGAGAATATCGCAATCTCTTTAAATTATTAATAAGATTTAGTATATCAAGATTTTTCGGACAGCTTCAAAATAAATCTAAAGCGTGGAGAGATAAGAACTTGAAGAGGTGTTGCGGCACTCAAAAACGTTATGTAAAAAAAATTGGACTTTAAACCGTCTTGGAATGTTTAGACTAGACGAGGTCATAGGTGTTTTTAATGGATAAAAAGATTTATTTTTTTAATATGGGATTTATTATCGGGAGAGTTCAATATATAAAAAGTGTATTACACAAGATTATTTACTAAAGAAATTAGCGTACAAATTCTAAGTGAACATTTTTTTTCATTCAGTATTTTCTACAAACATTATTGAAACGTAAAGGTCACCTTAACGTTTATTTAATGCAATTATTTGGTTTAAAAAATATTATTTAAAGATTTATTTTAAACAAAACACAAGTATAACAAAGCAACAAATAAATAAGTATTTCATTCACCAATTAAAATTAATTAAAATTACTAAATACTTACATTTTTATTCAAAAAAATGAGACCAAAACCAAATAAATTTGCAACACGCTTTCTAATACAACAAACTAACACAAATTAACAGCTCGAAAGTCGATGTTAAACTGTTGAGCGCCGGCTACCTGAACCTCGTTTTTATCATTTAACGGACGCTTGAGGAACCAACACAGCATGATAGAGACACACATACACAAACGATAAGAGTTCGAAAACTTTAAATGGAATCTCAACTAGACGATTATTAGACTATGGACGAAGTAGCATGTTTTCATGTAAATATTATTTAGATTAATATTATTTGTTTACAATCGGTTAATGATGTTCAATAAAACATAAATTAATTTCATGGAAATTATTGATTTTAGCCCAGATATCAAGTGTTTGTACTTTGGATGTACTTCCATTTAAAAAAAAAGGATGTTGTAGATGTAGCCGGTTAGCGATAGCACTCATTTAGAATTATCACCTCGTGAAGTCGTGGTTGCTTAAAAAGATGAACTTTAAAACGTTTGATATATTTCAAATTCGATAAAAAGTATATCCGGCATAAATGAATCTAATGATTAATGTAAAATAAATTCATTGAATAACCCAGCAAGATTAATTAATACAACTTATTGTTTGTAGTTAATTATAATTGATAGCCAATTTCTTGGAAACTTTTTTTAAACTTCGAATGCAAAACAAAACGGGGAACTAAACGGTATAATTCCGCATGATAACCAACCAACAAGCGCATGTTCTATTTTAATGTTAATTGGTTTGGTCATAGGTCGACGTGTGCTCTCTTACCGGCAATTATTACGAAAGTATTTGTCATAATTATTGTACTTAACATCAATTACGATAAGAAATATACCGCTCCACAATTGTAAATAAATCTGCGATTATCAATGCATTTAAAATCGATAACAAAATAACAATGCTAAATTAGTTGAATCAATTACTACGTTTGTTTGAGGTTTAAGCAAAACAATCATATCAAAAAACTTGTGATCGAGAATAAAGGCAAGAAATTGGAAGAGCCTACCATAGAAATCAGACTTACATTTTCGTATAACCTAAGAGTGTCAAAAAAGATGCTAATTTAAAAATTCCTGGAAGCCGTATTTATTGAAATTGAGGAATTAAACTTATTTTAAATTAAAGTTCAAAGCTTTCTCTTTAAAATGATGTATAATAATTGTTGGGTTGGATAGGAAAAATATAGAGAAAAAAAATGTTGAAACAAAACTTACATTTTCGTATAACCTAAAAGTGTCAAAAAAGATGGTAATTTAAAAATTCCTGGAAGCCGTATTTATTGAAATTAAGGAATTAAACTTATTTTAAATTAAAGTTCAAAGCTTTCTCTTTAAAATGATGTATAATAATTGTTGGGTTGGATTGGAAAAATATTGAGAAAAAAAATGTTGAAACAAAACTTACATTTTCGTATAACCTAAAAGTGTCAAAAAAGATGCTAATTTAAAAATTCCTGGAAGCCGTATTTATTGAAATTAAGGAATGAAACTTATTTTAAATTAAAGCTCAAAGCTTTTTCTTTAAAATGATGTATAATAATATAGTAGAAAGTACCGACAGCTCTAAATGTGCCGAATAGATAACTACAGTTTAAAATTAGTGTTTAAAACTACTGGTACTTTAAAGTACCGTCGGGACAGAAAGGGTTAAATCCAGAACCACGTTGAGCAAGGATAAAGATAGAAGGCACATGTCTCCAACTTAATATTAAACAGGTGGACCCAACAGACTCCAACCCTAACAGAGATAAAAGAAGCCCTTCTAAAGGTAAGAAATAATGAGTCACCTGGCAGCAGCCAAATACCTACGGTATTTCAAATAGGGAGAGATTCACCTGACTTGTCAGTTACACGAGATATAAGCAAATATTAACTACAGAAAAATGGAACCAGAGGATCATTTACCTTATCTTATATCTATATAATTTCAACATCCCAAGAAAACTGTTAGATCTGAACTCAGTTATGTTTCATGTTGTTTTTATCTTTGGTTTTTGAGTGCAAAAATTCTGACACTCTTTTAAACACTTCAAGATATCTCATCAAGTCATCCAGAACATAACTGTTTTCTAAACGTTCTTGGATGTTAGACTGAACGTACTATGTTGAAGCCCTTGAGTCTATTTTGTAAAAGTAAATTAGGGTGCTTACATTTAAAAAACAGGAATACATTTCATCCATTTTATGCTCATACACGTGCACGAACCCTTATTAAAAAAAATTTTTTTTAAACCTACCGCTTAATAAGATAAACTGTAGCTGCATAGGGTTAACTAAACGCGATTGTATCAAGCGCTAGTAATAACCTGGCGTGTAGAAAAAGAGATTTTAAACAAATTAATTAAAATAATTAAACCGCAAAAAAAATCAAATTGATATTTTATCTTAAAGTTGAGATGAGAATTAACACAATAAACTTCAAAAATTGCGCGTTCAGCAAAAATAGATTTTTACTAAGTTGTCATGGCAACCGTAAACTGAATTCCCTGAACTGCAACTTGACGTTTACTTGAATAACCTTAAATGACGTTTGAACATCAAATTTGACAGTTAATTAACCTACAAATTTAACATAAACGTCAAAATGTATTAAATCAGTTTAAAAAATTGTGTTTATTTGGATATAACAAATTTTTAAGGACAATAAACACGAAATATATTAAAACAATTCAATAACATAATTAGTTTTTAGATTGTGACTTAATTTAAAGTCGTTATTAATAAGTACTTGGCCAATAACATTACAAACTCCTTCATGAAACATTAATTTCAACTGTGGCCTACTTTTAAATGGAAAGGACTGTGTCCCAGAGACCCGATATCTAAAAAAATCAATGGCCACTTCCGTTTTACGAACAATGTTAAGTAAGCGAATTTCAAATTTAAAAATAAATAAACAAATAATTTGGATTATGTGATTGTTATTTCATTCATAAATAAATAAACTCAACCAAAACAATTTTTAAAATTAACTTGTGAAGGTTATAAATTTAGCCGCAAGTGAGTCACTGAAGTTTCCTTTTAAACCTCAACGTTATTAGAAAAAAAAAAGGGTGAAACAAAGAGATCATCTTAATCGAATTATAAGTGTTAAGTTTGTCGGTGTTTTTGAAATCGTATTACGTAACGACGGTGTACATGCACTTAATAAATCGATGATGTCCCGAGGCGTAGTTAGAGCTCCTTAAACGTTTTATAAACTGTACTCGTTTTAGCCTCATTTCCAAATTGACAATTTCGTAATTTGATCCCAAGTTTAGATGTGGCTCGTGTGGTTGGACCCTTGGACTTTGCCCTCCCTTCTCTCTCACACCAGCATATAACACCCGCGGTAAATTAAGAATTTCCTACTAGACTTTGAATCTCATTTACCAATAAAATGAAATTGTCGAGGGGATGTTGGAAAATTTAACGTTAAGCGATCTTAAGGTAGGTTAAGGTTGGATTGAGGAGATGCTCTGTTAAATTTAGAACCGTTAACTCTCCAAGTAACTGTACTACTTTGGATGGTATGCGAAAGAAATGCAAGTAGCTGCATTTTCTGTGTCATACCGTAATGTTTTCTTTTTCTTTTTTTTTTTATTACAATAATCTTGGCAAAAAAAATTGTAGTAACATAATTGGTTTTAAATATATAAATAAAATAGAGAAACAAACGCCCACGTTGTTCGCGGGCGTTGTTTCTAAATTTAAATTACACGGAAACATCAAAAAACCAATATGAACATAACATAACCTATAAAAGAAACGTCAGTGTCATAAAAGAACTACAAATTTTGACGCATATATTAATTTATAATTAAAATTTTTATTGAAAACTATGTAAACTGCATCTAAATTTGCGTTTTATATACAAATTATATCTGTAATGGTAAAAGATACGTGTTTACCGAACGTTTTATGTCCGAAATATGAGACTTACCGATGCGAGACCGGCTTTTTATCGGCGATCTCCTGTCTTATCTGCTTGGCGCTTCTGATAAAATTAAGTTTTTCTGATAGGCGACACACTCACACACACAATCGGAGCGTACGCGTTCAAAGTCAACAGGCAAAGGGCATTCACGAACGATAAAATTACTATGTTTCTGACGCACCGTTCGTCCACCAATAACAGCTTAACATGAATGGGAGGGATAGTGGCGTGATTCTACGTCACCGAATCATACAGTAGGATCAATATTTTTCGTTTCGCCGGGAATTTCACACGCCCGTTTACGTTTTTATTGCATTTTTGATTTTTCATTACACCCATTTTCATTATTTTCCAAGAAAATTAGTGTTCGTTTAATTACAACGTAAGTTTAATCTTTAATTTCAAAGTTATTTAAACACGTGGTTTTCATTACAGGTTTCTACTTTATCTCAAAGTTTTATTTCTTTTTAAATACAATTACTTATAAAAATCACAAAAATAAATTTAATAAATATCGTTTAATTCAGTTTAATTCGAGTTTTATTTAGTAATAATTAAATTATTTATTAAGTTTAAATTAAAATTGACGTAACTATCTTCACGATTATTTATATTTATAGATGTCACAAAAGCAGTTTTGACTTTTAAACATAACCTATAAAAAGGAAATATGGAGGAAAAATTTGCGATAAATACAATTAAATATTTGTATTCTCTCGATGATTTCGTTAAAAATAACGTAGAAGTTAAAAATCAGTTGCGACAATGTTTATTGTAAGCGTTGAAATATCCTACATACTTTTTTTATTATATTGATTTAAGGCAAAAAGCAAGAATGTTGGAATTACAAAAGAATATTAGCTTACCTAAAAAGGGTTTAAACTCTAAATTAAAATGCCCCAAATGTTGTATGCCTCGGGATCAAGGTTATGGATCGTATAAGTTGTGTAAAAATAAAATTAGTAAGTTCCAAAAAAAGATGATTAAAAAATCGGAGGCTGGAGGGATTTTAACTAAATATCAAGAAAAGTATTTGAAGAAACATAAAAATCAAACATCGCAGATTATTGTAAATATATTTTTGTTTAAATTTTATTAAAAAACTAATTTTAGATCATTTTAGGAAATAAATTGTAGAATTTGTGGGTATAAAGTAGTTAAAAGTGTCGATAAACCACACTTAATAAAAAGTAATAAAGATAATAAGGAAATATCTGTGATAAAGAAGCAAAATCTTCAAAAACCTAAAATTGATCTTAGTAGTAATATTATAAAGAATAACAAGCAATCATCAAAACAGAAATTAAAACAACAAAAAGTGGAGTTGCATCAAAATCCATCCAAAAATCGAAAAAGTAATGCAAATAAATTGAATAAGATGAATATTTTGTTAAGCTCTACTTCTAAAATTAAAAATACTGGATTAAAAGATTTTATAAAAAGTATTACATAAAATCAAACAAAAACATAAAGTTATTTAGATAAATTAAGTATATTTAAGTAGTTTGGAAATTAGAAACTTAGTTTGTAAGTTGATTTGCAACATTTTAACCAAACTAAAACATTCAGTACCACATGAATAGGCTCATTTGAATTATAACATAAACATTTGAATGGTTAAGAAATTTGTAAGGATGTTCTGTAAAGGGGTGATACTTACTTTAATTTTTTAAATGCATTAAACTGGTTAATAACTACTAAATTGGTTAGTGAGAAAGAAGGCGTTACAGTGGGTCTTATTGTGAAAACATATCACTAACTTTATTTGTTTTTGTAAACTTGTATAACAATTACAAAATATTGAATTAAACTATGTTAAAATTCTTAATGAAAAACTCCATTTCAACCTACATACATTTAAATAAATCTTCCTTGTTTTTTGCTTCAACTTATTCTTCAACGTTTGTATATTTTTAATCTAATGGGATTTTTTCTGAGACAATCTAAAAAAAAAGAAATAATTAATAAATCTGCAAAAAAATCTTAGAGGCAAGCAAAAAAGTTTAAAACACCAAAAACTAAAGCTGCATGACATTATTAAGCTCCATATAAAGAGAGACTCCTCAAGATTATTTTTAATAAATTTTTATTTTAGTATGGGCACATTGAGAGACATATTTTTACCTTTGCGCACAATTGTTGGTACTCTCGATCGGTAGAATTTTGAGTCCTCTCCGGAACATCCTTACCGTGTCGCCTTAACTCTTGACAAACCTCGACCAGATCGAGTATGCTCACCGGATCCAATCTCTGTCTACCAATGAGCCCAACTAAATACTCGATGTAATGCAGCCTAACACAACAGAGACAGGGAATTAGTTAGACTTGGGTTACTTCTATTTAAAACAAAAAAGTCACACAACAACAAAAATTTAATAAAACATTTTTAATTAAATGTTAAATGATGTTTGCTTCCTTCTACCTGAACTAAACGATCTCTATAAACATTAATTGGTAGTCCATAGGCGTTTGGAGGAAGTTTTTTCGCTGCACGTCGAACTATCGTTTCTAAATCATCGGCGGTTAATATTTTTATTGGATCAATTTTCTTGTTTCTTATTAATATACATAGGTATTCTATGTAATGGTGCCTAAATTTTTTATTAAATTTTGGGTAAACACATATTTAATGAATTTACCTGCATAAACCAGCTTGTCCCGGCGATACCTCGTTATTACAAATCGTATCTAATAAACCACCGGGAGTTTCTTTTTGTAATTGAACTGTACATTTAGCCAAAGCTGTTGCGTTATCTTCCTTTTCACCTGGTCCCTCAGTATCAAATGGGATATTATATTCCTTTAAAAAAATTATATTATTTTAATTAAAATTTTTTTTGTGATTGTATTTACCATTAATAATTGTTGCAATTGATTCGGTTCCTTATCCCGGAGATAAAACAAACAATTTCTGGGATGATGAGCGTGTAATCCTAATTTGGCACAATACGCGCTAACCCCGCATTTCGCCCCCATCGTAAAAGGCTTCCCACAACCGCTACAGAACTCAAATTTGCATTGGCTACAAGTGAAATGCATACATCCACCTCGGGAAAGGGAATATCTAAATTTGCATTTTGGACAATCGATTCCGTTTTCCGCCAAATGTCTCGCAACGGCGGAAGCTTGATTATCCGGATCGTTAGCTTCTTTCCATTCGGAAAATTTCTTGCACGAGATCCCTTCGTGTTGTTTTTCCCACTTAAAATGAATTAAATTTAGTTATAATCGTTATTTGTGTGCTAAAGTCGCTAAACGCTAATCAATAACGTTACGCGGCTATCTTTTGTGCAACAAAAAAAAAACAATTTATCTTTTATTTACTAACGGGTCTTCTGCAACTAGCGCAAGTTACGGATCTGCAATCAGGACAAATTAATCTTCTCTGTCGTGGATTTGCAATAAATCCTGAAGAGCACTAAAAAATAATAAAATTATAAATAATTTAGTCCAACAAACAGTATTAAATTACTTACTTGCGCACACCATTTAAAATTTGGATCTTGCATCAAAGTTCGATCTCTTAACTTGCTTTGAAATAATTCATGAACTTGCGGTTCGACGATCCCCTTGAGTAAAATATCCAAATTAGCAAAATACTCAGATAATTCATCTTCGGTGTTTTCGTCGACGTCGGGTTTTTTACAAAAAGGACACGTGCAATCGATCACATTACGATCGGTGATTTGGATGGTGAAATAATTTTTGGCACAATCACGACAACATCTATGGACGCATTTTAACATAGAAACGATCTGCAAACGACACTTTAGTTAATAAAGGAGTTTTTTGAATTAATTTCATGCGCTTACCTTGTTCATGTGGTACTTCCCCGCACATAGTTCGCATTCTTGTTGGAGATACGCCACGGCTGCGTCTAAAGTTGTGCAATCTTTAACTGCTTCAAGAACTTCTTGGGTTGAAAATTTTAGTGATAATAAACTAACGGCTAATTCGGCTTGTTGGTAATTTTCAACTTGCCCCTCGGCTAATAATCTTCTCGCTTGTCTCTAAATTTAAATTTAAATTTTATTTATCTTTTAATTTTTGTTTAATAAATTTTAACAAATATAATACAAACATCGACAAAGACTTTAGGTGACCCATGATACATCTTACCTCCATTATTTCCATTTCAGTTAAATTCTTCATTTCAATATCCAATTCACCTCGTCCATTAACACTTTCAGAAACTTCCGATTCATTCTCAACTTCCTCCTCTAAATCTTCCAAATCCTCATCATCTTCATCATACTCTTCCTCGCTCTCACAAGTTTCGGAGAAATACATTTTCGTATTAGTCTCATTCTCAAGTTGATCCAATTTACTTTGAATATTCTTCACGTTTATATCAAAATCATCGATCATTTGGGCGTTTTGTTTATCAAAATTTTCGTAATCTTCACTATCGGATTCGACGATCTCATCTAACTCATCGATTTCTTCGTAACTTTCATCATCAGTACTCGGATCGAGAAGATCTTCAACGTTGCTTTCAGACACTGATGAATCACTATCGTTATCGAGGGATTTCGTGTAGGATTGTTGTTTTGAACTGGTTGAATCTAAAGAACTTTTTTTTGAATAACCGAATGATAAACGGCGTGTCAGTAATTTATGTTTTTCCATTTCTTCGTCTGTTAAATCTAAAGATGCTGATCTTGGTTTGGTTTCTTCAGTACTTTTTGATTTTGGAAATAATTTGTATTGATTTGATGTAATATTTGATAAAGTATTTGATGCACCATTTGATGTATTATTTGATGTATCATTTGTTGTATTAGTTGATGTATCATTTGATGCACTTTTTGATGGTTCATTTATTGTAGTATTTAATGTATCATTTTTTGTATTAATTGATGCACCTTTTGATGTAGGATTTGTTGTATTATTTGGTACACCACTTGATTCACCTTTTGATGCTGAATTTGTCGTATTATTTGAAGCACCATTTGATTCACCATTTGATGCACCTTTTGATACATCATTTGTTGTATTATTTGACGCATCTTTAGTTGTATTATTTGATGCCTTTTTCGATGCACCACTTAAAGCACCTTTTGATACATCATTTGTTGCATTATTTGACGCTTCATTTGTTGTATTATTTGATGCACCACTTGATTCACCTTTTGATGCTGAATTTGTTGTATTATTTGATGGATTATTTGATTCAACATTTGATGCACCTTTTGATACATCATTTGTTGTATTATTTGACGCATCTTTAGTTGTATTATTTAGTGCATCATTTGATGCACGTTTTGATGCCTTTTTTGATGTACCACTTGAAGCACCTTTTGATACATCCTTTGTTGTATTATTTTTTGCATCATTTGATTCACCATTTGATGCACCTTTTGATCCATCATTTGTTGCATTATTTGACGCATCATTAGTTGTATTATTTGATGCAGTATTTGATGCCTTTTTCGATGCACCATTTGATACATCCTTTGTTGTATTGTTTTTTACATCATTTGATGTACTATTTGATGCACCATTTAATGCATCATTTGTTGTATGATTTGATGTACTTTTTGATGCCCTTTTTAATGAACCATTTGACACACCTTTTGATAAATCATTTGTTGTATTATTTGTTGCATCATTTGATGCACTTTTTGATGACTCATTTGATGCACTATTCAATACACCAATTGATACATCATTTGTTGTATTATTTTTTGTACCATTTGACGCATCATTTGATACACTATTTGGCCCACTTCTTGATTCACCTTGTAATACATCATCTATTGTATCATTTACTTCACTATTTAATGCACCATTTGAAGCACTAATTAAAGTACTACTTGATGATTTATCATTTTCAGGTTCGTATTTAACCAAATCAATTTCTTCTTGTTTTCCCAATCGGTTTACAATATTACTTTGATCAAAAATCTGAATATTTTCTTCATCTTCATTTTCTTGGTTTTCACCTTCATCATCCTTGTGCTCACCTTGAATACTTATTTGATCGTTTCTAACATTTTTTGGTGATTTCACGGCAGCTTTTGACTGTCCAAATTTTTTAATTGGAATGTGGCTTTCCGATTTTGATTGGGTAGCGTTTTTTGGTACCAATTTTGATACGGAATTTTGACGAAAAATTGGAATCTTTGACGATTTTGATTTACTTATCGACTTGCATTGAGGATTTTGCGAAACTTGGATTGTTGTGGTTGTTTTTGGAACTTCCTTTTTATCTATTTCAATTTTTTGATTACCTTCGTTTTCTACAGTTGAACTTTTTGCATCAATTTTATTACTTTCTTCAGTTATACTCGGATTATCTTCAACTATTTCAGGGATATTAGAAGAAATTTTTGGCTCATCTAAATTTTGTTCAGATTTATTTGATTCAAATACAACATTTCCTTGTTCCGTTTTCATGACACTATTTATTATTTGATTCTCTTCAACTTCAGAATCATGTGTTTTCGATGATTTCTCTTCATTAATTTTAACATTAACATTTTCAATATCATTATTAACATCTTTATCGTGCTGACTTTCACCTTCATCATCTTCATTGATTTTCTTTTTAACATCTTTTTCATTAATTTCTTGATTTTGAATTATTTCTCCATCATTAACTTCCTCAGATTCACGTTTCCTTCCTTCCTTTTTTGATTCCTCATTTAATAACTTTGTTATTTCAACTTTATCCCCCTTTATATCATTCCCCATATTTATTTCTTCTCGACATTCAATTTCATTTGAATCAGTTGAACTAGATTGCTTAAATCGATCATCTTCAGACTTAACATTTTTCTTCTTTGATATTTTTTTCCACTTCTTCGAAGGAATCCGATTGATTCGAATCTTATTAACCGACAATTTAATATTGTTCTTAATGTTTTGTAACAAACTCGGACGTCGCGCAACATCTTCATTTTGTTTAATTTCTTTCTTATTTTCCCCATCTCCATCAACACTCGTTTTAGTACCAACATCTACACTACTATCTGGGCTACTATGTTTGTTAGATGAGGTGCTTTGCAAAACAATGCTCAGTGTGCTAATGTTCTTGTTCTTTACCTTATTCGAATTATTATTTCCTTCGTTTTCATCGCTTTGCTGATGATGTGAAGAGTCGGAGCTTTCAGAATCCGAATCATTTTGTTGAGTTGTATTTTCAGTTTCGTCATTAACATCTTTAACTTGAATAACCGTGCTACTCTTTTCGATATACAATTTTCTTTTTTCTTCTTTTGGTTTTTTAGTAATTTCTGGTTTTGTATTGGTGCTCAACTCAACTTTAAGATCCGTTTTATGGTTCAAATTTTCTTGATTATTTTCTATAGAATCCGGTTCGATTTGAACCATTTTTGGATTCATATCATTCATATCTCCATCATTCTCAGTTTGTTTAGTTTCAATTTGAGATATATCAGGTTCATTTTTAGTATTAATTTGTGATTCCTTATTTTGTATAAAATCTGATCCGATTTGAACCCCTCCTAAATCTTTAACATTACATGTTTGTTCTTGTTGCATTTGAATATTTGGTTCCAACTTTAAATCTGTTGTATAATCATTTCCTTTTTGATGATTTTGAGTTTTATCTGATTCCTGATTTTGAGACTTCTCCAAGTATTCTTCCTGTTTTAAAATCTTGTTAGTAAGTGAACTCACCGCTTTGGCCGTTTCGATAAAATATTTATCATTTTGGGATTTTTCATCCTCGTGAGCAAGCTCTAAGTAACAAAAATGTCATTTTTAACTTTTACGGTTTACCTTTTTATTCGCTTTTTAACTTACCACCCTCGTTTAAAGCAATTGCGACCCCCTCATTACCCGATTCATTTTCCGCTCCGGTTGGTGGCCCCCAAATTCGAAATAAAAAAGGTTTTAATTGCGTTTTGCCCAATTCTACGAATGCTGCTTCCACATCACCGTGATTTGTCGTCAATACTGTTAAAATATCTTCACGCGAGAATTCGCCGCGAGATGCTAACTCTGCATACTAAAAGAAAAAAATTGGTATTGTTTAATTTTGCCATCTAAAATTTAAACGCTTTTTACAGGATGGTTCAAATTCGATGTCCGAATAGGCTATCTCGGAAAGATTTCATTTTTCGAGAAACTGCTAATCGACGTTTCATAAAATTGACATTTAATTTTGACAAATTGTTGTGAAGTTGGTTACAGTTCGTTACATTCTCCTAGAGGCCAAAATTGAAAATATCGTAAAATAAGCAAGTGCAATTATCTTGGTTATTATTATAGGTGGAGTATTATAATTAAGATATTATATGGACACTTTTTAGCAGAGAATTTGACGACGTAGTCAAAAAAAATTTTTCGGTTTTAGATTTTGAGATATGACAATTTTCGTTTTTTTAAATCCAGACAACCATTCGCTTATTAAATTCGTTATTTTTTTCTGATTACAAAAATATGGGGTTAGATAGGTCTATTTCTTATTGTTTTACAATAAAGCTAAAAATAAACGGTTTTTTAGTGTTGTCAATGAAATTAAATTTACAGTTTCCTGTAAATTACGGTACTATAACTAAAAATTTATATAAAATTTACTTTATTTTCTAATATGTAAAATTCTAACATGTTAAACTTTTCGTAATTTTCGTAATCCATCTTAAAAAACAGGATTTTTAATTTGACATTTCAGAAAATTTTTGATTATATGTTTATTTGAATTAAAAAAATATATATGAGCGCCATCTATCAATAATTTATTAAGTCATTTAATAATAATATTAAATATTAATAAAAAATGTGAAATAAGGCAATCTATTCCAACTTTTGTGTAAAACAAATATAAATTAAATAGTTCAACAAATGTATTTGATTCAAATATCAGAAATAAGTTTTTTTTATTTTTAGTTATAATTTACAGGAAACTGTAAATTTAATTTCTTTGACGACACTAAAAAAAAAGTTTATTTTTAGCTTTATTCAAAAATGATAAGAAATAGACCTGTCAAACCCTATATTTTTGTAATCAGAAAAAAATAACGAATTTAATAAGCGAATAATAAGACATGTAAGACATATACATATACAAGACATGTAAGCTACTTTTTCTCTAACTCTTATAGTTTCACCCTGTACAAATTAGATCATAACCCAAATAAAATATCAAATACCTTTCGTTCCCTTTGTTCAACACATTCCTTAACAGCATCCCATAAAACACCTTTATGCATTCTAAGAGCATTTCTGGCTTCCGTTTCCGAAACAGTTCCAACGATATTCATCGGACTTTCCCTTCCCATTTGCGTCGATAAAGTTTGAACGCCGGTGATCGTTTTTTCCCAATTTTCTTTTAACCATTCAATCGGATTTTGATCTTTGCAATGAACTAAAGCCGCTTGAACTTCATCCGCCGTGTATTTATAATGTTCGGCTTCCTATAATTTAAAACGATTTAACAAATTCGTCGGCTTCGTAATTATCGAATTACCCGAAGTAATTTGACTAATTCCATTCCTTGGTTTTTGAACGTATCGTATCCGTGGAAATGTTGATCGGGCGGGTAATCATCTTTGAATGCGTGAAATGAATCGGAACGGTTTCGGAGAGGATGCTCATTCTGAAACAAAATCAAAAGGAGATTATAAAAAAAAATTATGTTTTATTATTATAAATGATGGGGTTTGGTTAAAATAAATGATGATGGTTATTAAATAATCTAAAGCTTTTTTTGGTTTACTAGAAGCGCTACTAATGCAATGAAGACAACACACGATGCAAGCGATTTATTTTTTGGTACCCAGTAATTATAGTCGTTTCTATATCTCAAATCCATGATACTATGAGATCGATTCTTCCCCCCATATTTTCTGGTATATCTCGGGTCTAAATACTCCATTGAATCAACTTCAAACGGAGTATTGGCTCTTGATGGAGAATCGGGTAAACTCTAAAACAAAATAATTGCACTACTTACAAAGAAAGTCTTTTAATAAATAATTAAGTTTCGCAAGGTTATTTTAAATGTAAATGAGGCACCCACTTTTGATTGGATTTTACCTTAATAAATTATAATTATAGTGTGGGTTAAGTGGTTTATAAAGTTCATCATTTTTTTGTTTTTAGCATTATAAATAGAAAACAACTTACTTGCGAATCTAACGAAGATTGTCGACTCATTGAGTGACTTCTATTTAAATTATTATTAAAATTCTGATTCCCCATGTGCATAGAATTCGAACGATGCATTTTGCGTTTCGAATTGTTTCTATTTCCATTCGATTCGGCTTTCGATAAAGGACTCTTAATGCGATCTTCTCCACTTTGCGATGGGATTTGAATCATTTCATACGTCTAGAGATAAAAATAATGTTCTGAGTAAAATAATTTGGCAAGCGATCAAAATGTATTAAATTAAATATTTTTTTTGCTTTTTCTAGAAGTTTAAATGACTCACCTGCGTTGAGATATTTTGAGGGGGTGGTGAAGTTCCGGTTGATGTGGTCGATCGTTCTGGGGTGTTATTAGTTTCGGTTATCTTATTGTTGATAGTTGATGTTCCGACACCGGTTGAAACCTTTCTTGTGCACTCATCACTCAGAATATTATCCACACTAGAGTTTAACGTTTGCAAAGAAATGGAAGCGGAGAGCATGTCGGATTCGCTTTGCATCGCTTCAACTTCACTAGAATTATTTTTCGACATTTGATGTCTTCCTGGAAGAACGGGAAAACTGTTAACTTCTTGATTTTTAGTTTAAAACACATTTAACTTGACACTAACACACACTTGACTAGATTTTTATTTTTAATTTAATACACATGAACACAAAGACTAAATAATAACAAGGTAAAACAAAACATTATTTGTGTAGTGTTGAAAATTTTGTTCCTGGCCAGAACGAGATTTTTCGAATTGGTTTACCTTTTTTATCTGGCGTTCCAGTTTGAACTCCCCTTTCAGATTTAATATCATCTGGTACTTTTAATTTTCCTAATTTGTTTAATAAAGATTCCGTTTCGCTGTAATCTTTGCTGTAATCGTCGCTTGATTTTCTTCTTTCTAATTGTGTTAATTTTGGTGGTTCTGCATCAACGTCATTTTCAACTGCATTTATTAACGCTGAAGGTGTTTTACAGCAAACCAAACAAATTCTTGTACCCGGCTCATTTACGTATGTACAATGTTCGCACTCCCATTCTTTATTTTCGATATCTTTTACACCAACTTTTGTTCCTATTCCAACTTGAGTCGATGTTTCAATTTTTGTCGCAATTTTTTTCGGTGATTCTTCACTCACGTCTTCGCTTTCAGCATCATATTCCTCACTTAGCGATTCTTGAACACTCCCCCTCCTAATATTTCTTGGTAAGGGAACCCGCTCCATTTTCTCAATGGTATTCCTCCGCTTCAAATCTCTCGGCATTGAAGCACTCTCTCTCGTTCTACTAATCGATTTTCTTTCGCTCCTCTCAGCATGGCTAAATATCGATCGGCGATCATCGACGTCATCATCTGAATCATCGCTTTTCCGATACGATTTTCTCTGGCTTCTTTTGCTTACGTAAGATTTTCGCGATTTTACGCTATGAGTTGGTGATGCAGGTCTTGAGCAATGTACGTGGCCCATATTGACTCCCATCGGATATGGGTACATTCCCATATTTGGATGCCATGTTCCCATCCACATTGGATTGTATCCGGGTGGTATGTTAAGGCTTACGTTGCTTCCTACTTGTTGGGGATCGCAAACGTTACCCCATTGATCGACCCACATTCCTTGATAACACGTTGGACAATTTAATTGAGCCATCGATTGAGCCTAAAAACAATGCCAATAAAAAGTATCAAAAATTAAATTATTTGTAACATATTTACGTGTTGCATCGAATTTGGAGCAACGTGCTGATGAACGAATTGTGTGTTTAAATCGAATACGGAAGCACTTTGTGGTAATCTTCCAGTATTGGGGGGACAAGAAGTGTTACTGAATCTTCTAGAATTTTTCTGGCCCGTATCTGATCCAGAAACCGATCCAGATCTTAATCTATTCCATTGATCTGAATCAAAATCTACAGATGATCGCTGAAAGTATCAAAATCAGCTTTATCATTTTAGTATTGGTAAAGAATAACTCACTTGACTTGATGATACTGATAAAGGTATATTTGGTGTCGTTCCTCTCATTATCGCTTGATGCTGTAAATACCGTTGTTGTAAAGATGGACTTGGAAGATCACTTCCTCGATATCGATCCGAATTGGGATTTGAAAAATCAGATCTTGCAGCTAATAACATCACATTTAAAGTAGATTAAATGTTAAAAATTATGATGTTAAACTTACAATTTCCTGATGGTGAAGGTGGGGGAGGAGGAAGTGGTCTCGAAACCATCCTTTTCAAGCTATCCATTTTATCCTTAAAAGAAAACCCATCTTTTCTAGGCAACGTTGCTGTCGCCTGTAAAGATAAATGTTATCGCTTCTCACTGATTTTAAGTTATTTATTTTTAATAAAATCATCCCTATTTAAGCTAAGAGGCTTTGTATTAATTGAAACAAAAAATTAGCTTCTACTTGACTACTAAAATATTGGTTAGTTAAACAGCAACGAAATAATAAATACATAGATTTTTGATTCCAAAACATTATTGTTTTTACCTGGACGTTTCTAAAAGGTAATGGGCTTGGGCACGGTGATGGGCCATTCGAACCGGAGCGGCGATGTCTTCTTGGGGGTGGAACAGGGGCTGAAGCTTGCTCACCTTTCGGTGGAAGAGGTGGTCTTATTTGAGAATCTATACTCTAAATTAATTAATAAATAAATTTTTATTATAACAAATAAAAAAATTTACGTACTCTTCTTGTATGATTGATTCTTTTAGGATGTCTATGATACATATCATCACAGGACAAACAAAAAATTTGTTTGCATTGTTGGCAATTAACCGAAGGATAAGATGATCCGCAAAGTTCGCAATGTTTCCCATCTTTTTTGTTAACTAAAACAATTAATTCATTTTTGATTCAAATTGATTAAATAAGACTTTTTACCGGAAATTAAGTTTTTTTGTGGAAGCGGTGGTGCGTTGCAGTAAGCTCCAAATTCGATTACTTCATAGTCTGGTTCTTGATGTTTTCCGTGCTTTATAGGTGGTTTTTGATCGGCTGGAATCGGCGGAGGTGCTGGACCACCACCAGATTTATTCTAAAAATTAATCAAAATTATTAAAATTCTTTTCGGGAGGTAAATTCCATAATGTCTTGAGAAATTCTTCTTAACTGATTGTACCTGATTATAGTTGTAAAAAGTTGTAGCTAAGAACATAATCAGCAAAACAAGAAAAAAAGGAACCGTTTTGGCATAAATAGGATGTAAAGATACTTATTGGAGAGAAGAATGAGACATAGAAAAAGTATTTATGCTAGAAAAATGTGCAAAGTGGAGAACATTACAGATCTGTGATGCTCTTGAGTTTCAGAAATGGCATGGAAACACGACAGAATTTATATTCACTTAAGATTTTAACGCAGAGATGTAGAAACATGAACGTCGATGTCTACGCATGCTTTATAGATTATAGAAAAGCTTTCAACTCTGTACAACACCAAAAGAATGTAGAGCTCCTAAGTTCTTTGCACGTGGAAATCCGAGCGATTTTAAAGAAAGTTAGACAAAGCTGTGTATTGTCAGAAGATTTCTTCTGCCATGACGTGAAGTCCAGACTCTGAATGTATGCTAAAGTTCTCATCCTGAACTTTCCCATAACATCTCTCACCTTCTTGTCCATATTGAACACATGAAATTTATCTTGAAAAACCTCAATTTCATGGCATTTCTCAACTAATTCTTTTCTTTATGATTTTGTATGCTGATGGATTATTCTTTTACTTCCAAGAGCATCATCCTTGCGGTATTTGATATAATAATAATAAAGTTTATTTTAAAATTTTACAAATCAAAAACGTCATAAAAGTAAAGTATGTACCATAATGTACAAATACAAGAATCTTCATAGAAATAGTAAATTACATAAAGTTACTCTTATATTATAAAAGTAAGGGAATAAATTACAGACACAATTTCGCCACATTTATGTAATTTTAATCGACGCCAGTACAAAAATCGCAGTTATAAAAATCTTCGAGAGAATAAAAGCATTTCGATATTAACATATTTTTAACTCTTGTGTTAAATTTCTGGGGAATTTCTGTTGTGTTACATTTAATCTATGAGTTGGTAACTCAAAAAGATCTTTATGGCGAGTATTATAACTATGTAGTTGAAAGTTGGTTGTAAACTCACTCTTATGATTATGAACATAGTTCAAGCCAAGATATAGATGGCAGCAGTAATAAGTACACAGTGCCTTTGAAACGACAACCTACAAGTCTCATTTGTCTTAAGGTTATCAAGGGCACCTATACACCGTTTTTGTAGAAGAAGACACGTGAAGTTGACCCCCAAACTGCTATACCGTAAGCTGCAACGGAGTGAAAGCACGAAAAATAAGCCGCCTCAAGAATAGTAGAAACCCTCAATCTGCGCACCAGATACACAATACTCGCGAGTTGCTGACATAGCCAATCGATGTGACAATTCCAACTCTACATAGGATCAAGGTGCAAACCCAAAACTTCACGCTTGATTCTTCGCGTGGAAAAATTTCATAAATTGGGTTTTCTCATTATTTAGTACCAATCAGTCACCATGCTTAGAATTGTACATTGTATTGTCTCGCGCTACAAATGTTGTGTCATCGGCGTAGAGGCAGGAAGTAACTCCAGGCACACAGTAAGGCAAGTCATTTACAAAAATAATAAAAAGTAAGGAATTTCTCCATTCCAGTAGATACGCTGATACCTATTGGAAAGGTAAGTTTCAATCAGTTTGTAGGATGTACAGCTCTGTTCAGATTTAATGCGAATCGTCCGCTGTTAGCTCCGACATGACGCTGGTACTGGAAGAAGACGGAGACATCTTTTGTTTCTATTCAATTCGATTTCTGAGACTGAATTTTTAAATTAACATCTTTTTTGACACTTTTAGGTTATACGAAAATGTAAGTTTTATTTCAACATTTTTTTTCTCAATATATTTCCAATCCAACCCAACAATTATTATACATCATTTTAAAGAGAAAGCTTTGAGCTTTAATTTA